TGCCGACGAGATTGTCGTTCTTGCCATCACGCCTTCATCTGTGAAACTTCTTCACGAGAATCTTATTTTTTGTTTTCGGAGCTCGTGGTAGTTAGAACGCAATCTACTGGGCAGTTTCTCATGATTCTGGAGAATCTCTCAGAATTCCAGGTCCCTTCAGAATCCCTCAGAACCTCAGAAGCTTTCGTAACTTTCCAGAAACTTTCTGAAACGCTTGTTTGTCAAGAAAACCTGAAATTCAGATTCTCGGGACATTTTAACTCATTCAAAAAGCTAATCCGGAAACCGGAATCCATCATCCGGAATCCGGAACACAGAATCCGGAGTACATATTCTAAATCCACTACACACAATTCAGTAAACATAATCCAGAACCCCAAAAAAACCGACATCCGGAACTCTGAACCCGGAAATCCTGATTCCGGAATCCGGAAATCCGGATATCAGTAACCGTGTATAATGGTCTCTGTGTATGGGGGTCAGAATCTTTAAATTCTTCAAAATCAGGCCTTCACAAGGTAGTCGCAGAGCTTCAAAACCTTCAAAATCTCACTTTTTCAGAGTGGAATTAAACTTTTGTGGATTGGCCAAAACGGGGTTTTCGGAATTTTTCCGGTTTCTCGTGTCCGGATCACGTTGCTGGCTCCAAGTTTTTCGTACGTAGGTTTTGAAGGGAGACCTTTACTTTTCATGTTGACTCCTTTTCACGAATATTGACCTAAATAGGTGTTTCAGTACAAACTGAGGTTGGAATTAAACTTTTGTGGAGTACTGTATTATTCGTGAGGCCTCTAGAGGGCACTTCAATTAGAGGGGCCCTTCAGTTTCAGGGGCCCTTCTAATACAGGTTTTACGGTATGCTTTTCCAAGTTTCGAATTAAATTTTAAAGGAAAGAGAGCATACAAAAATGAGTCAACATACTTAGCACTATTAGATATGTTTGATTGCTAATTCGAAATATAGACTTGAAAAACAACTTGTTTGATTGTGGAAACAGAGAAATGGATTAAGAGGGACTTAGGGAGAAATTTTCAATTCTCAGAGTACAAAACAAGATTTACTAGTATCAAGTGAGAATGTCTAGAAACTAAGAAGAGGTCTTCAGTTTTCCAGAGCTAAATGTGATTGTAGGGAAAAGTTTCTGAAACTTTCCAACAAAAATATTGACACAAATACAACTTTTGTCATTTTTCAATCTATATACCAGCTTGGTTGTTCTGTAGCGATTGGTCATGAGAAACTATACTTAAGATGTTTCCTTCAGACAAAAAAAGTTGAATTTTCAGTTGCTCAGTTTCATAAAAACGTATACTGTTCGTACATTTACCCAACCTGAACCGGAGAGTCGAGCAAGCATTTTGAATAGATTCTTATTTGGTCTCTAATTTTCCTTTCCCACGTTTCATGATCAATAGTCTCTTGAAATATTATTCTATTCATACACCAGTCACACAGATAAAGTGATAGAGTGTTGGCTATACATCGTAAAATTTCCATATTCGACGCCTCACAAAATCAATACGGAACGCCCCAGCGAATGTATTTTTGAATTGCCAGTCACTTTTTTATTTCTCCCACCATGCATTTCCCGCTATTTCTTCTTCTCATTTTCTTCGGTGCCCCTGCATTTTGTGCACCGGATCGTCAATTCCAAGAATGGGTCGGAGGAGAAAAGCTGTTCTCAAATGATATTTCGACTTCTCCCGTTCTAAACAGTCCAGCCCCTACAGAAGTCTCCTTGGATCCGGACCAACAAGCAGAAGTGGAAGCGAAAAAAATGACTGCACGAAATATTGCGATTGACTTGAGGAGAATTATCATCATTTGTGTATTCCTTGTTCTCATCGTTTACGACATCTGGATGCGTGGTGAGAATGGTGTTTCAAATTTTAAGAAATCATTCAGCCTTTTTCAGCTATGGGCCCAGCCTTCCAAGTGATCGTCAAATACCAGCCACCAGGCGAGAAGCGCTTTTGTTCAGCCGTGGAGGAAGTATGATGTGGACTTGGAGCAGAACATTCTGTTGAATTTGTAGACTTCTATTCTCCTACCTGCGAAATAAACTTTTCTGTTAAAGAATATTGTCAAAGATTTATAAAGTGTCAGGGAAAGCGTTTTAGATATTTCAGAACTTGCATCATGATAAATTAGGTGATTTCCATGAAGTGCAATATCACTGTTGTGCACATACGGCTTTCAACAAAAAAACACGTGACAGAGAATAGGTTCCAGCTTGTATAAGTTCAATTTTGATTCAATAGGCAATTAACATATGAAAAGTCGGGGATCAAATCTGCTCGTATAGGTAAAAGCCGGACATGGAAGTGTGAAAATTTTAAAAGTGTGATTCACAGAGAAATTAGAAATTATGTCAGAGAAATTATGATGTGTTGGGAGTATATAAAAAAGTGTGAAAAACGAAGAGAGAATAGAAATTTGGAGTTAAAAAATCGCAAAATAAGCTATCAACCGTGAGAGCAAAGGATTATCATACAAAGAGACTCGACTTTGGGTGGATATTAAAGGATTTTAATATAATGAGATTGATATTAAAAAACAGATGGTTTTGCATCTATTGATATAGTATAGATAAAGTGCGAGAATCAAAGAAGGGGATATTGCAAAGTTGATATCAAAGACTAGAAAGTTGAGACGTAAGCATTCGATTAGACTTTAGGCAGAAGTCGCAACAAGTTCCAGCAGTCTCTTTGGCCCTTTAGATTCTCCCGGAAACAAAAGTCAGTAGAATAGAAGCTGGACAGTATAAGCTTATTGGATACAGCTCATGTTCAAATGGTGTTCACCTTCAATTTGGGTCATTTTTCTCTATATCGATGATGAATTAGTTGCCTGGGACATCTACCCTCCAACCCCTTCTAAAGGTTCCCTCTACCCACGCAACGACACTCCGCTATCCCGCTCGGCGCGCGCGCACAATTAGAATTTAGTTTTATGAGTTTGTGACTGAGAGCTGAACTTAAGCTCGTGTTCTAAGATTCCGAAAGGAATTTAAGTTCATTTTGCTGGATTTCTAGGCTTTAAATATTCTTCGTTTCATGTTAACTCAGTTTCTCTCTTAAAGGAGGCCAGACACCAAAAAAAAAGTTTTCCTGATATTTTGCATAGAGAACCCCCATGAGGGGTTGAACTCATGGCAGGCAGCTCAGGGGTACAACGCCGCTACCGGTTGAGCTACGGGGGCGCGAAGGCGCCTGACGACCGATGGTCTACATAAGCGCGGCGCGATTTCGTCCCCCGAACTATCCCCCGAAATTTTTGCTGTCTCGCCTCCTTTAATGAATCGTTATTTTGTCATATCTTCTTGATTTTCTTCTATTTTTATAACAGGACCTTGATACCATACCGCAGGCAACTAATTTTTTTCCCGCAAATATCAACCTCACTTTTTTTTTGTTTTTTCAACAATCCTTCAATACCAGTTTACTGAAAACAGCACATTTCGAATCCGAAGCTTGAAAGAACGATACTCAAATAATTCAGCATTGGTTTTGGAAAGAATCGATTTGATTTTCATTAAAATGACAGTGAAAAAATGATGTCGGTTTAGAGGGAGAGGGGAAAAATGCAGTCATAGTTGGGGAAGGGGCTTATACATCAATAAAATCTAAGTTTACAAATTTAATGATGATGAGGAGATTAGTTTCCTTGCAGAGAAATTAGGCCTACCATGACGAAAGCGACAATAAGCTGAGGCAAGAATGCTCAACCTGGCAACATGTAGTTGGGATTGGAACGGGACAAAAAAAAGCTGGGAAATTCTCTATCTATAGCATAAAATGATATTTTTTGAAAAAAAAATTCCTCTGGGAATTGATAAATTGAATTATGATTTACAATCTTGCAATGTCTCTCATAGAAACGATTTGTGATGATTTTCCGGGTTCCAACACTTTATGAAATCGGCTGGACAAGGAAACTGACTCCAGCAATGCCTCTAATTTTGAATTTATGCATATCGGAAGCTGCGATTCTTCTGTAACGTAAATTTCTAAAATTAGTTTTTTAAATTTATAGTACTCACTTGATCTTTCGTTCTCGCGCGGCATTCCATTCGTCTCCTTTCTGTGTGTGTTTCTTGAAATCTACTTGCATTTTAACACCGCAGATGAATAAGGTACAGGAAGGTTTGTTTCTCAAAAAATGTTCCTCAAGATACTTCTCATGTTTTGGGTCATACCGATACCAGAAGCCACGAGCCTGAAATAGAAAGTTTGTTTTGTCCTCAAATGAATACAATATACCTCATAGATCCAATAATGACGAAGTTTACTCTCTTCACGCTTTGAGCTTGACTCACCAACTGAAAACAGAGTTCTTGTAAGGAGATGAACAATTTGAAAATCTTACCCTCTTCATTATCTGGTTTTTTGAACATGGCCGAGCAATCTTCGGCGAATTCTTCCGGACACTCTACATCAAAATCGACATCATATCGAATCGGATTAACAAACAATGAGGTAGGGAGATCTCCACGACACATTGGGCAAGGCAGTCTCCTTTTGAAATTTGCTGAAAACTAATTTTGAGAACCTTGTTAACTCAGATTTTCATGAAAACTTCAGAATACTGTTTTTCCTTTCATAGACGCCCATGGGCTTCTATTTTTTTTACCTGTTTTTCTCAGATTGAGCTTCTAATAGAAGTGGGCTTCTATTAGAGGGCGGGCTTCTATTTTTCAATAATTAACTTTCAAAAAAAAATTCATTCAAAAATTCAGAACATTGACAATTCAGAAGTGAAGAATTTTTAAATTCAGTGTTTTGGAAAATTCGGAATTTTCATTCTGCAATTGTAAATTAAAAAATTCCGAGTTTATAAAATTCTGATATTCCAGGATCTTAAAATTCAAAGTTCTGAAACTCTGAAATTTCGGGAAAAAATATAAAATTCTAAAAATCTGAAATTCCGGAACTTAGAAATCAAAACAATTCAGAAATTGAGAAATTGTCGAGTTTGAAAATCATAGCTCCAAAAATTCTAGAATTTTGAACTTCCTTGCGGGGTGGACTTCTATTAGAGGAAATCTGGTAGGTTCAACATAGTCTATCCAGACATTTTTTCCACCGCTTGTATTTCATTCGAAAAATTGAAAAACACAAATTTTGAGAAAATATCATTAATATGTATGTTATTTCATATGATTCTGAGTAAAACACAACGAACTTCATTTTTTACAATGTTCTCAAAATTTAGAATGCTGTCGTCTTTCAAAATACTGTGTCTGCACTGAGAACGCTATTTTAATACTAAAAATAATGAAACTCGGCTGAAGCTGGTTAGCGGAATTTAGCGTGTTCCAAATTGTATAGAAATCCATAAAAATGTATAGAAACTTTCATGAAAATCTGGCTTTCCAAGATGTTGAGATTTCCTTGTTAAGTAACAATTATTCGACTTACTCTTAATGCACGTATAGCAAAACGAGTGTCCACAGGCTGGAATTCGTGTTGGAACCATTTGTTTGTGAAAGCAAATGTTGCATTTCTCGTCTGTCTGTTGGTATCCCTTAGTAGATACTGCAATGCAAAACATTTTTTCGATTCAGTACGATGTCTCATAAACTTACCATAGCTAGCTCCGGAAATACCTTTACACTTTGACATGTGAAGCTTAGTGCTGTGAACTCTTCTGAAATCACGTTTGTTCTAATTTTTAAGCTTACATTATACTCACTTGATCTGTCGCGTATCTGAGCCAGACGAATCGGACATAAAATCGAAACTGAGCGTGCGCTTTACTCCGTGGAAGTTGATCATACACTTATCTTTATCATTCAAATATGCCTCCTCAATATGGCTCTGTACCGCTGGGTGATACTCGTAGCAACCATCTCTCATCTGAAATAAATGGCATTGATTTGTGAGGTTAGGGTGTCGACAACCGTACTTTTGGATTTCCATAGAGCCAGACAAACTTATCCGGGCAATCCGGGCGTTTGACACGTCTAGTTGATGGTGCCATTGTGATTGTTGAGAGCCAGGTGGATGTCTGCAATATGGAATGGTTTTTTGTTTAGCGGTAGAAAAAAAAATCAATATAAGACGTGGAAAACGAACGAGCGAGAAGAAGAGAGGTGAACAATGACGGAAACAGGGTGAGAGAACGAGAGGCGATGCGTGTGACAGAGCAATTCTATGTGGATGATTGATAGGATGCCAATGCACATAGCAGGTTGGGAGAGCCATAAATTAGAAGAGAGTGTTCAAGATAAGATCTGTGTGTCGTTCGACAACTCTGGGAAATCGTTGTGCAAATGGAGGAGTATTATTTGGTCAACGCACAAATTGACATTAGTTGAGTCTACTGCGGTAAAAGGAATTCGTTTACCGCGCTTTTGATCCTACAAAAATTAAGTGAGAGATTATCCCCGAGACAGCTTTAAAAAAAAATTGATCACATGGAAACGAGGGAAACTCTTTTGTCAATTCTTCCTGGAAACGTCTGTAATGTTAGAAATGGAATTTGTAAATTTCCGGTTGTGAGAAGGCACATGACCCGCTTTTGTTGAATACCGCGTGAGAAGTTGTTGGGTGGAAGAAAATGGCATCGGGGTAAAATTGAACAGTTTACCGAACAAAAGGTCTTGGGAAGGAATGTTCTGGAATAGAGAGAAGAGAAAGTGAGATGAGTGAACTGTTGAAAAAATGCCTGATGGTCTTTAACATGGTTTGGTTGTCTGTCTAAGACTATTGATTCAGGTGAAAGGCGAGAAAGGAGAGGGGTACTAAACTAATGATGTTTTCTGGAATAGGGCAGTCGAGGAGTTAGATGACATAATCAATAGATGACATAATCAATAACGGGGTGAAATAAAAGATCCAAAAAAAGTCTAATGGTCTTTTTGCACTTTGAGACGTTTTTGGAAGAATGTTCTTCTACAGTTTGGTAAATGAGAGTTTTATGCTTATCGAGAAAGCCGTGAAAAAGATCTTATAACTGCGACATGGTTTAGCTAACTGTCTAAAACTATTGAATTGGGAGCACCGTAAGACGGGTAAGTAGGGAGAGGGGTACTGAACAAATGAGATATTCTGGAATAAGGCAGAGAGGGGCGGTAGATGACATAATCGATTGTGAACACGATTAGATAAAAAAGCCTGTCTTTGGTAGTTTTCAGAGAAATAATGTGATTTAGATTAAAAGAGCTTCCGAGCAAAAAAAGAGTCTTACAGTTAAAGTTAAAATTTCCTACACTCTGTATGAGCTAAACAAAAACCTGCTCCTCTAATTCATCTGTAATTAGTATCAATTAAGATCATAGGGAAAGCGTACGATCTGAGAAAAACGAAGGATGGTGTCAAATGTGTAATAATTCCGACGAACTCTCGTTCTCTCGTTGACGCTCGTCTCCCGCATTCTCTTCACTACACCAACCCAAATTTCCTCGTGCGCTCTTCGTACAACCTCTGCGTCTCTCCAATGTAACCGCGTGATACTGCTAGTGTTGTATGAGAATGTGTATCGACCCGTTATTTTCTCGTTCCTCTTGTGTCCGCCGTTCTCTTTTTGTTTTGTATAGCGTTATTCGTCTCCAATCTCGATTGCGTTTCTAGTGTTTTGGAAGACGGCCAGTGCTGTAGCCGCATCTTCGGGTTGGAGTTGAAAGTTTTGGAAAGTGTTAGACACACAAACAAATGATTGGTTTATGTTGGAAATATGTGCAATAGGATTTTAATGAGTAGGAGGACAAATATGGACATTTCTTGGAGCACTGTGATGCTTAGAAATATAGGATCTACAACATTACAGTAATCTCGACACAAAATATATTCATGTAGACAAGAAAATAACTGAAAACCCGTTTTTCTAGAAAAAAAAACACCAAAATGATAATTTTGAAAACATATTGATTAATTTCATTCGGTCTTCCTAGAAGAAAAATCCGTCAAACCTAGTTTGATTTGTCATAAAAATTTTAGTGCCCCTTTTCTCGAATTACAATTCCAAAACTGTTTATAAAAACTTTAGCTACCGAATATGTTTTCAAATCTGTCTCAAAACGTGAGGAGCTAAAGAACAAAAACAACGCACCAGCTAGATGTTTGAAGCGATGGACGAAAGAAGGTGATAAAAAATTTTTTCAAGGTAATTTTCAAAATATTTATTTCGTTTTCCTTGCATATCCCGTTTGTGTCCCCGCAAAGTTTGTCTGATACTCCAATTCTAGATCTGTCGTTTTTCTAGTTGGATCCCAAGAAAAATTAGTCCTGAGAGTTAATAAAATCTGCAGTAAGCTTTTCTTTTGAAATTCCCGTCAACTTCCAGGGCAAGGCCTAGAATAATAGCTGTTTGTTTCCAGGCCAGATGCCGAGTTGGTTCCAACTTGGGCAGCGAACGATTATCTTAAAATTTCATTTACTGTAAAAGGTGGTGGGACACCAAAAACAAACATTTTTCTGAGATTTTATTTTGTCGAAGTCTTAATGGAAGTGGAACCTGCTGAAAAAAACATGGGTTGCTTCAGAGCTATGCCATCAGCAACCGTGGTTGTTGAACAATAATTCTTTCATGTAAGCTTCAGATCAAAACTATTTGCATCAGATAGGAAGATCAAACAAAGCATGGAGTTGATGAAAAATGTAGTGGTTCCGATTTAGATCATTTGCAGTTTCAGATCAAACTTGGATTTTCATTGTTACGTCGACCCACCTAACTCTAGTGACTTATCCGACGCTTTTGATGTGGATCACGTCCATGATGCGTCCATGACCCTTTAAGGACACTTCAAATTCAATTATCTCCGTTCCTATTAGAAATATCAATAACTTGACAACAATCAAAATGTTTGTGATAATAAGATGAAGATTTTATTAGTTCACAAATTTCTGATATCACGCATAGGAACATAGTTATTTGCACTCTGAGTGTACGTATAGGTTAGGTTTATATTAAATTATTTAAGGTAAGTTTCGAATCTCGAAAGAATTCTAAATCCAGGCAAAAGTGTATAATATCTGCGAAATTGAATTCAAGCTTGTTTATACCACGTTTTAAAGAAGACCGATCATAATTCTTACATCCTGTGCAACCCTAAGTCAGTGTTTTTGAATTAAGACCTGCACAGAATAATAAAGCAGAAAAAAACACGCGTCTGGTTTTTTTTTCGCCTACAGAATTTTTTTTGAGACAGATATAATTTTAAAAAACGCCGAGAGTTGAGAAACACTTTTTGCTTTCCATCAAGCATCAGGAGAATAAATTCATAAACTGTTTCAAATATCCTGTCTTGTCTCTACTATGATTCCGATGTTGTAACCCTGCCGAACACTTATTTCAGATCGTCATCATCTTTTCTTTTCACTACGGGATATCACTTCCACCATTAGTTCCAATCGCTAAATGCATGAAAACCATAGTTGTATCATCCGAAGGTGTATCGCTGTGTACACTCAGGACCAGAACGATGTCAGCCGTCGTCGTCGTCGTCGCGCCGTCACTGGAGACGATCCGAAGACGGTGTGATGTGCGTATGTGTGTATTGGGAAGGATAGAAAGGAAGAGAAAACGGCGAACTGAGAGAAGATAACGAAAAGTGAAACGAACTGGCATTTTCGGATTGTGTGAGAGAGGGAGATCGAGGAAGGGAAGAGAGGGCGCGGACGACGACAACACAGCCGATGGGTGATGCAGTCCGTCCGGTGTCCGACGCGCACCATACTGATCCACACTTTCTCCCAAAACATGCGGGTCTATTCGCTTATACTCCTCTGTTTCATTACTTCTGTTTATGGGCAAGAAAAAGCTGAAGTGGATATCCGAGTTTCAGGAGCATGTTCCCCAAGTGAGTTTTTTTAAAGCATTATGACTCTCAGTTACTGGTTTTTCAAATATTTGAAAACATAAAAATGCTTAAAATTTGACGTTTCATGAGGATTCGCAAGATGAATCGTTAACCTTAATAGTTTCCTTTTTGCTCGAACTTCAAAAAACAATGGCTTCATGAAATTTTGCTTGGCTAGAAAACTACAATCTCTTCTAATTTCCTTCTTTTTACTGATCATATTGCAGTCTACTTGTCAAGAAAAGGAATCGACATCAACAAGTACCGACCGAGCATACGTTTCAACCCAGACAAGATTCAATTGATCCCAAAAAATCCAGTCATTCCAGGATGTATCAAGATCAAAGCAGAAGGTACGGTGTTCTCATCTTTTCCAACTAGTCTCAATTTCCTAGATTGATTCTTTATAATTTTCATTTTCAGGTGTTGAGATCACCAAGCCAACCAAAAATCTGATCGCTGAAGTTGAGATGAGAATCGGTGGCACTCCAGACCCAAACAATCCATCTCTTCCATGCTCGAAAAAAATTGACGAGAAGGTTAACCAGTGTCCATGTGCCAAATTAGAGGGATCTTGGTAATCGAAATATTCCTATCATTTTTATCCTGCTCAAATTTCTTCAGCGTCTTCTGTGACTTCTGCAAACAACTCAAAGCCCAATCATCCAAAATCACAGCCAGCAAATTAAGCAGACCCGAACACAAATTGATCGATGAGGATTGCAAGTATGTGTTGTGATGTGTTTTCACTTGCCCTCCTGCCAGTCAATTATGTCAAAAAGTACACGTTCCGCGCTATTTCCATTTTGCTAATTGCTACTGCAAAACGGGTTCGGATGTACTTGTATTCGTTTTTTTTAAATCTTGTTTGGGGGATTGTTATTTTGTCTCGTACAAAGATAGAAACGTTAAGAGACAAGGTGTGGCCAAAAAAAAAACAAGTTCGGTTTCAGATGTGGTGATATGCAACCAGGCCTTTACGACATTGAAACCGAGATGTGCACACCAGAAATGGACGACTTCAAGGATTACATTCCACCAGAGATTCAAAACAATATTCTTGAGAAGAGACCTGTTAGTTTGGAAGATATAGTTGATTTCACCAGAATTATTTTCAGATTTCTATGTTCATTACTGTATACTTGATGGATATGGAACCAAGATCTTCAAAAGAATCCTATCTCTCAGCATTCGGAAAAGCTATTCTCCAAAGAAGAATGGCTCAAAGTACTGTGGCTTGCTTCTTGCTCGGAATCGACGTTAAACTTGCTCTGCCGTCGTTTGACTAATAAAAAAACGATGTATTTTTCCCAATGATTTAATTATTTATACCTTTCAAAACCTCATCATCATCAGTAGCTTGTAAATCAAAGAAATGACTGTGCCCCTCCTCTTTCAACCAAATAAAAAACTGAAAATCAAATTGTTACAAGATATATCGAAAACATCAAACCCCAAACAGATCCTGTCAATCCTGTTTTTATCTGATCCTCAAAAAGTGAAAAGTGATAAGGATTTCTTTTCATCGAGAAGAAGAAGAAAACTTGCAATCATCATTGTTTGAAATGGAACCCAGGTCGCTATTTTTATGTTTTTTGCTGATTAACACTGTTCTAGCCGATACGAAAAGTTCAGATGACGATGGTTTCTACAAGTTTCTATCAGACTCTTTTCAGGTAGATAATAAAGTTCCAATGTCTTTTGTAGCTATAGAAAATTCAGAAAGATGAAGAAATCCGTCGAGCTCCACCTCCACCGCCAAAGGAACGTAACAAACCGAAAGAATATGAGCCAGCTAAGCTAGCAGATATAGTTCAACTACCAGGTAATTTTCCGTTTTCATTTTGTCACCGAGAAAAGTTTTAGGAGGCTATAACCCGCTTCCCGGTCGAACATCATTCGGTGACTACTGGCCACTCATGCCGATGTCCAACCAATATCACGCAGCGGTGACCTATGATACGTCAAAAGGAAGGGTATGATGAGTGTGTCAATTAACGACATTACCGATGTGAGAGATAGATTTATATATTATGATTTTTCAAGCACGTCGGCGGTGACATCCTTGTTCCTGTTCCTTATTGGAACAATTTTTTGAACATCGGAGGACACTACATCGAACGTTTTCAGGTATTTAGAAAATCTCACAAACTTTTTTTAACAGCAGTTTCAGGAAGAATGGGTCAAAGTCGGATATGTGAACAGTCCAGTTAACATGTTAGGACTAACCAAAGAACAAATTACTAGACTTCTTTCAGATCCATCACTTCATTATAATAGACGTAACTTTGCATTTATGGAGGAATTTAAGAATTGAATTTCAGAAATTCACCCCAAGCTACCAGTTGGTGCATTACCAAGAGAATATGAGCCAATTTCTTGCAAACCACCGCTGTGTAATCCTTACCAAGGAACTCTAGGTGTCGGGGTAAATATTTTTTGAGAGGATATGCTCATAAATTCATTTTTACCGTTTCAGGTCGAAGCAAATTACCATATTGAAGATGGAGTGGAAGGAGAGCTTGATCTGCCGATACCGGTTGGAAAAGATATTGCCTATCGTTTCCCACTTTCCGGAAACATTCATTATGGTATACTTGTTTGGTTTTTCAAGAATCAAAAAATGTGTATTTTTAGACCATGATGACACTTCCTTTAACTATGGACAGAATCTGAGCCCACTCGATCCGCTTGGTCCTGGATTTCCAGATGAAAAGAAAACGAATCCTAGAACTTTCAAGTTCCAGACGTCTCAATAATTATAATCTAATAATTGGATGGTGTGATTCTAATAAGTCTAATAAATCTTCTTTTAAAATTTCGTGATATGATCAGTGTGCTAAAAAAGAACAGAAGAAAATACAATAAAAAACTGGCTTGTACATGAAACCAGATCCATATCAATTGTCACTTTTTGAGTGAACCTGGTGACTGAACAGGAATCGAAATCTTGAGATTTTAAAAGCGAAAGGCTATCGGTGATTTCTCAGCAGCACCTCACCATGATCAAGACTTTTGCAGCAATTTTATTTTTGGCTTCTTTCGTTTCTTCACAAATTTTCTTGAGTAATGATGTAATGTTTGATTATCCAGAGGAACCATCTTGTAAGATACAATCTTAATTTATTTAATGCAAAAAAATATTTACAGATGTTCCAGTATTCCAAAATTATCCTGATATCCTTCCAGACTATCGTGTGATGCCATATTCTCCACAAACCTATTCTTACTCCCAACAGGTTAGTGATTTCGAATTATTCTTAAAAATTAAATAATTTTAGATGTGGAATGGATGCGGATGTGCAACTGCTAAAACATACGGGGACTATGTTAAAGCGAAGCCAAAATCTAGAGCTCTTCAAGTTTATTCTTATTATCAGTTGATGTAGTTTATTGCTTCACTGTGTATTGTATGTAATTTTTTGTAATAATAATGTGAATAATAAATATTAATAATCATATTATTCAATTCTCATTTACAAAAATGTATTCTCTTTCACATGTAATCTTTCAGTGTTCTAGGCGAAAAAACAATCTACCACAAACTATTCAAGCAATTTTTCTTCGTGCGACCCTGAAATTAAACAACATATACACCTTCTCGGGCGAGCCCTTTGTCGGGTTACTCTGCTCTCAAAACCAAGCAATTTTTTTTCATTACTAAAAACAAGCCTAGATACGCCGAAAATTATTTTTGTTGTCTTGACGTGCTTCCAATGAATATCACAATAGAAAAAGAAAATTTCTTGCCCTTGAAACTTTTTTTTCCCGAAAAAAAAGCGTTCTATTGTTAGGAAGAGAGACTTTGTATTAAACTGAAATTGTATAATGGCACGTATACTGATGACGACATTCAAGTAACAACAATTTTTTAGAATTTCTAGGAATAGTGGTCGAGACGAGAAACAACAACAACTTGTACCAGCACATTCTGATTCTGGATTCTGAATAACTGAAAAAATTTGATTTCAGTTTTTTTAGAGAGCCAGAGAAATCAAACCAAGGTTTTTAGTTTTCAAGTTTTATGTAGCACATGTTGAGTTTTCTATATTTAGGTTGTTTTGGTGAGTTTATCAACATCATGAGTCATTTTTCTGAATCGTTTTACATTCAATTTTTTTTCTTCCGCTATTCAAAATTTTCGAAACCTATGAAAAATATGAATAGCAGTGGGGGCCAAATCTAACACCTTATCGTACCATTCTGAAAGTAAATGGCGTTCCAATTCACTATCTCCTTCTCTTCCGCCGTATCCCGATCAAACAACCACAACCGACCTCCGACGCACTGTATTTGGGTAGAGACACGCAGAAACGGTCAGAGACACAAGTACCTTCTCCCAAAAGAGTCCTCCAAATCACACGGAATAGAGAGGTAGAGAACATTAGTGTGGTGCGCATAGAAACAAAAACATAGAGACCCTCACTTGCGCACTCTCACCTTTTTCCTCATTCCCTATATTTTTCTTTCAACTCAATACAACAGCCAAATTCTCCTCCGAGTCGTTTTTTGGATTGCTTAATTTTTATTTTTCGTTTCAGTCCGGTTTTACTTACTTTTCTCGGGAGGCATATCACCGTAAAAAATCTCTCTTATAGCGAAAGGCGAAAGTTTTCTTTGAAGTGTCCGAAGTTTTTACTATTTAAGCGAAGGCTGATGAACTTGCAATTACTTTGACACTTTCATCAAGTGACGTCTTGCGATCTTCATTTACCATCTCTAGACAAGAAATGATTCATTTCTTCTCTTCTCGACACTAGATCATTTCATTTTGTTTTTGATACGCTATTTACTTTTTATTGCGGAACATATTTTCATTCTTATTCACTTATATTTCAAAGTTTTTGAATTTCAGGCTTAGCTTTAACCTGGTGGACCGTCAACAATGGAACCTAACAAAGAGCCACCCAAAGGTTAGTTTACCTCCGCAGGACGCAAATGTGTGCATTGTTGCGTCGCGGTGTTTGCACCGTCCTCCTCCGTATTCACTTCAGCCACTACTTATAATTATCTAATTTTGGCACTTTAAAAGAAAAGTTCTATCAAATCTTGCTTAAAAATGTTTGAAATAATATTTTTCACTTACAGAATGGGAAAAATTCGACGAATTGTCTTTAAATGGTGTGAAAATCTCGGTTGTCAATGAAGAATCGACCACTAAGCCAAAATCGGAAGAGAAATCGATCGTATCGTCACCAAAAGCTCACGGAGTGGAAAAGCCCAATGAGGAGGTGGAGGACAATGTGCCAAAAACTGGGAAAACCACCGAAGTGAAAGAAGCGGATGACAAGATTGAGGAGGTCCATGTTCCAAGGACAACGGAGAAAGAAATCCCGAATCCACTCCGTATGAAAATCAAAACACAGCTTAAATAATATGTTTGCATTTACAGAATGGGAGAAATTCGACGAATTGTCTTTGAACGGGGTCAACGTGGCGACCGTCGACGAAGAATCTACCAATGAGCCAAAGTCTACAGAAAAATCGTCAGAAAGGACACCAGAAAAAGCTCCTGAGGTGGAAAAACCCGATAATAAGGAGAAGGATGATGTCGCTAAAACTGTGAAAAAAGAGATCCAAGATCCTCTCCGTATGAAAATCACCTTTGAGTCGGATGATGACGAAGTCGTACAATACGAGCCACCAAGGTCTGCTCGAGTAGGAGGGAGACCTCCTGCTGCGGCAGCATACGAACCTAGGTGAGATTATCGATTTTTCATTGGCGGAGGAATTAACATGGTTTTTAGAACTGCTCCAATTGCGCCTGTGCCATGCATGCCTATCCAGAAGAATGGACGGTCGCCGATTCCTTTGGGTAAGTACCAAAAGCTTACTATCTTTGCTCTTTAGCGGTTTTTGTTGCCAGAAAAAAAGAGAATTTTGATTTTGAAATCTGCGAAAACAAAAAACCCTCGAATGCCCATCTTAACTGACCAAAATCTGATTTTTGCTGACGGTTGGGCTCGTAAAATTTGCTATGTCTGTGTCGAACAGCTCAGCAAGTTTCGTTTCTCCCTAGAATCGAGTAAAAAATGCTGCCTATTTGAATTCTATGTTTTTACAGATGTGAATCGCTTGGAAGAGGATGATGGTACACCACGCTACGCAAAATCAAGTGTCCTTGTTAACCCAACTCATGTCAATGGAAAAGTTCTGGCCACTGTCTACCCGGATAACATCATTTGTGACTGGATTGTTCCACCACATTATGATGCTCTCAGCATGCCGTCAATTTTGGCTATCGATGTTCCAGCTGTAAGATTTTGATTTTTTCTTTAGATGATTCTAAACTTTAAATGTAGTATAATTTATGAGCTTAGGCTGTAACCCTACAAGACACCCATCAAACTCTAGAAACTCAGACACCAAAGACAATAGAAAAGTGTTTTTCAGTTGCCCGGTCCAGACTACATCTCCACTATCCAAACCATTGTCGAAAGCAGTCGCTTCAAATTGTGAGTTACTCAGTATTCATTTTCTAAAACTCATTATCCTTGCTTCTCAGGTATTCGACGATCTACTCTCGCATCATTGCCATCTGGATGACATTCTGGATCCTTTCGCTCACCGTCACTCTTCTTCTTCAATCGCATGGAGGATGGCCTGTTATGATTTGGTGTCTCGTATGGACGGTGCTCCTCTTTGTTGGCATCTACGGTTGTGCAATGATAAGGCGACAGGTGAGTGGGGTAGTGATAAACATGCAGCAAGAGAAAAAAGAGAAAACGCAAAACTCGATGCACATAACCTTCAATTCTCTTTCTTTTTGCAGATTCGGATCGGACTGAACCATGTTGTCAAGAAGGCAAACAAAATCATTGTTGATCGGCATTTTCTCACTGGAGTGGAGGACCGCGGCCAACTAAGTTGCCATAAAGTTGTTGTAAGAGACCAATAAGTACTGATTTCTCTCAAAAAATGATTTCAGATTCACTTCATACGATTCAACGTTTTAGAATGCAGAGCCGATATTATTCGTCAACTGAAAATCATCAAAACTGGGGGATGCGTCTTTGGAGGAGCAAACCAACAAGAGGATCCAAATGAAGAGAGTATTGAGAGAGAAGCTGCCGCTTTGATTCTTCAATACAGTCAGGAATACGTCAAAAGTGTTGTTAAGGTGAGAATTATGAATATTTGAAGCTTTCAAATTAGAGTTATGTTGCTTATGGCTAGACAGTACCGCTTCAGCTGAACTGAGTAGTTTTTCACAGCGAATCTAGGCGGTATCTATACTGCTGAAACAAATCGACAAATTCTCTTTTTGAGTATATTAAAGTTCTAAGTTTTTGTTTGAGGGCAATAAGAAAAATATAATCTAATAAATCAAATCAATTTATTAGATTATACTCTGTCTGTCTCCTAACCATCATATTTTAGTCTGTTTCATCAGTGAGCAATACAAATATCGAATTTTTAATTTCAGAAGCGTCTCATCTTCCCAAGCAAACCAATACACGGAGTCTCAAACTACGCACCAAAGCACTGTAGAGCCATGATGTGCCTGTGCCAGTTCATCGACGAAGTAAGATTTTTTCAAAAAATTATGCTTGACAAGGATCGGGCTGCAACAAATACAAAACTTCTTCGGCCTAATCCTGATCCCATTTTGAGGTTTTCAAATCGAGAATTTTTGAAACTAGTAAAAAGCGGAGCGTTTCCATCAAGTATCCATTAATTAAAAAAATATATATGGGCCTAATGAGTCAAGCCGGGGTTCGGCGAGTGCGTGAGACCTGAGTACCAACCAGATAAACATTAAAAAAATTATGCCGTGTACGATTGACCTACTCTTCCGGAAATATGTCGTGCGTATTATACTAAATCCCATCTTCAAAATAATGACTGAATTATGCGTCACTTTTGAGCGGTATATCTGCTTTGAGTAGATGAAACAAACTTTGGACTACGCGAAACACATTTTTATCTTGTTCACTGAACTCTTGAAAAATCACGGTCCAGCCGGGTTGTTCCTAAAATTTTGGCAAATTTTCCAATTCTTTTTTTCATTTCTCAAAATATATTTTTAGAAAAAAAGTTACTGGGAACCCGAGTTGAAACGGGCTGGGCCGCGCCTTGAAAATTTCGAAAAAAGGAAATAAACATTGTATCCTTCTTGTCAGAATACCGTAGTATACGTCATTCTCCTATTGGGTCAATCTTTTGAAGACTGAATTCATCACCAGTTACCGTAACCCTTTTTTTTCGGTTTCAGAATCCTTTTCAATTTAGATCAAACCGATAAAACTTTCTTTCTTGAAAACTGGTTTTTTTCAGTTTCACCCAAAAATTCCTCAATTTTTAGTAAAAGATAACCATCTTCTAGTGATGACGGTTTCTTATCTCCTCATCTAAATTGCAAAAAAAAACAAACTTTCCAGCGTCACTTCAACCCGAAACCGAAGAAGTGGTATGCCAAGTATATCTAACTGTGACAACATTGCTATCTTTTCCCGCAATCTGTGATTTTTTCGTCGCACCTTCTTGTCAAAACTGATGATCGACTACTACTTAAGGGCATCCATGATCACTGAATTCATTCTTGTATTTTTTTTTAAATATCCCCGTCTCTTCGCACAATTACCCTAAATACCCGTAAATTCTTCTCTCTTGTACCATTTCAAAATCTGGTTTGTATTGCTTTTGCGCAGTAGATGTGCCCGTGCCTCCCAATTAGTACATGCCCGGCGTGCATGTTCTCTTCGTTTCAAATTGCCCACAATTTTTCCACATTATTTTCCATCCATTTCATTCTTCTTTTCTGTAGCTCATTTCTTTTTTGATGCCCTTTGAATGCCCCCAGTCTCTGCTCCATCTTCTCTCAATGTCTCGTCCCATTTCATCCATTCGTTAGTACGCATTCTTTTCTCTTATTTTTCGACATTGCCGCCCTCACCGAAATAAAAATTTTTTTTGAAACTCACAGACACATTTTGTTGCTTTTGGTTTTTTTAAGCAATGGGTCATATTTTACCGATTTTACCATATTTTACCTATTTTCTCAATTTTTATCTTGTGTGATGCTGCATGCTTAATAGGTACGGAACGAGGAAAACCTGTATTTGAAAACAAACAAACCAACATTTTTTGGAAAAAAACCTTATTGTGTTGACCGAGAGTCAAGCAGTATGCTCCTTTTTTCCTTCTCTGATTTCCTATCATATTTGTTTTGCAGTGCGAGTAAAAAAATAGTGTTTCACAATTTATTTTCTCGAATTTTCTAAGTGATATGCGAGAAATGAGCTGCTATATGTTTCTCATTTTATCTCTCACAGCTGTTTCATTTTTTTTTCTCATTCTCTCTTCAGCCCACCCACACATTTTTCGTGTGTGTGTGATTTTTTGAATTTCGAACATTTTTTCTAAGAGACAATTTCTCGCGTTTTTGAGCCGATTATTTAGATAGGCAAGACTCTAGGAATTTTATCAACGAAACACAAAGTTGTTTTTCCTCTCTCCGAACTTTTCAAGAATGTTGTTAATTTCAAAATAACTTTTTATAGGGCTTTACCGTAGTCAGTCATGCCTAAGGATAGATTAAAGGAGTTGCAGGTGAGCAAAACTATTATTATTTTTTCTCGAAAAACATATTTTTCAGGAGAGGGCAGCCGCCAGTAGGAATATATTCCAGCCACCGCCAGATACCGAAATAAAAGATCCCGCTAATCAACCGCTTATCGATAAACAAACTGATCTTAACATGGTAAGAAAATATTTCGTTCAGAAAACAATATTTGAAAATTTCTTTTTGCAGTTCCTAGAAAGATGTACAAACCTTCGGGAAAGTCTTTGTAGTTTGGAGGATGAATATAACGCCATTGTAGACCTTCATGGAGCTCTTTTATCAACCCCAGGAGCTGATGCTGAGAATTCAGAGAAACTGAATAAACACTCACAAACGTTCCTTACGAAGGCCGAATATATTCAAAAAAGTTTGAAAAGTAAGTTTTATTTAAAAAAAAAAGATTTATTTTAATTTTCCGAATTTTCAGTGCTTACGGAGGAAACTAAGGATATTCCAGCAAATTCATGTGGAACAGATCGTCTGAAAGCTGAGCAACCTCGAACCATCTACAAGACGTTTGAGACAATAATGCTGAAGTTTAACAAGGAGCAACACGAATATAAAGACAAAGCAAAACGAAAAATTGCCGATTATCTAAAAATTAGTGAGTGGACCTACTTGATAAATAGCCGCTAATCTGTCTCAAATTTTCAGGAAACATGCAGCTGAGCGACGAGGAGATTGAAGATGCGGTTTCATCTGGAAATCTTTCCGAGCTCACAAAGGGCGTCATGTTGGCAATGAATGAGAAGAAGGCGCTGTACGATGATGTGAAGTCTCGAGCAGATGAGTTGAAAAATTTGGAGCGACAGATGGGAGAACTCGCGCAGATGTTCCATGATTTGCATATTCTGGTTGTTAGTCAGGTAAGAATAAAATAAGTTTGGAAAAAGTGAACTCGAGTTGGACTTTATGAAATTGAAAACACTCGGGGCAGCTAATTCAGAAAAAAATTGGCAAAAAACCAATGCGTAAAAATCATCAGGGCATCGTATAGAACATAAAAACGTATATCAGTGATATGTGGAAAGAAATTTCAAAATCGCGCTGATTTTAAAATTTTCCAAGAATTTGTTAACATATGATGTAAATATTTGACGACAATTTCTAAATATACTAAAAAACTTTTTGGTCGGAGAAATTGACTTTTTTAGATTCTCATCGGTCCGACTGTACCGATATCGGTGCACTCCGAATTTTATCCTGAAAAAACTACAGAAAAATTAGATAATTTCTCATGGAGTTGCATTTCGAAAAATCTCTGATTTTTGTAAAGTACGGAATTCTTGAAGTTCTGAAACTCAGTTTTTCCTACTCTCCGTTAGCTTACAAAGATCTGAAAAACCGTATGAAGATTGCATCCTTCAAGAATGTGTGTACAGTGTTAAAAATCGAAAAATAATCTTAAGCTCTGACAAAAACTTTGATCACTAATTGAGTACAATTTTCAGGGTGAATTCGTGGACAACATCGAGAACAGTGTCCAAAACGCCACCGAATATGCGAAACGTGCGCGTGGAAATGTTGAAGAGGCGAGAACCCTTCAAAAACGTGCTCGAAAGATGAAGGTTTGCATCATCATCGGTGCTATCATTGCTGTACTTATCCTTCTTGTCTTCTTCCAAGCAGCAGTATGCCACTTCACTCCAATTTGCTAACTTCTCATCTTTTTTGTCACATTTTTTACTTTTATGAACTCTTAACTGTACCTAATGAATAGCTTTTTCGTGAATCCCCTCCCTGCCCTTTTTCCCACAACCTCACCTATAGCTTTTATTCAATTTCTAATTCAAGCCAGTCACATTTCGATCGCTTTAAGATCTTTTTCCGTCTCTATCGATTCGCCTTCCTTTCTACTTTTTCTCATTTGATGCTTGTGTTCACTTATCTATTTTCTATGGTTCTCTTCGCTTGTTCGCCAAATTTTCCTCCTGAAATGCGTGCCTTTTTATTTTTAAAAGTTTTGTATTTTTGAAATATCAATGAATTTTTCGAAATTTGTATTCATATATCTTTTCCGCTACGTGCCAAGCACGATTTTTTACTCTTTGATCTGCTAGTATTTTATTTCCCATCAAAATAGACCCATGAAAGGCAGAGCGATCGAGATGAATAAAAAGTCATATGAAGAACCAGGGAAAAAAGAGCGCATCGCTTTTCTCCCGATTTTTTTCATTCTTCCCTTTGCATTTCATTTTTCTGTGTTTTTTCTGAGAGTTGTGGTAAGTTGGCATTCTTGTTACAGTATTTTTATATGTTCAGCTCCTTCAGAACATGTCACATCGAGTAGAAATCAATTTGAATACTGCTTCTGATCGTACTGAGCAAGCTCGCGCTGACGTCGTCGAAGCTCACAAGTTGCAAAAACGTGCTCAAGCTCTGAAGGTGATTATCCTTGTTGGCACTATTCTCATTCTCCTGTTTCTTCTTTACGCTCTCTTGGAATACGATATGTGCCAGTTTTTGTCATTCTGCTGACTCTTTCAAATCAAATCGTTGGATAACTTTGTTGTTTTTTCTGCTTGAGAATTCTGGTATATGCAAATGTGCTCTAACAAACAATTCGTATGTTTTTTGATTTACTTTCCTTCTCTGAATGAAAAATTTTTGAAATTCTATTGTCAATATATTCTTTCCAGATTTATGCATCAAAAACTTTATGAAAAAATAAATCCGTTTGAAGGAAACATCACATCAAAAATGAGTGAATATTTAGAGGGAGTGAATGGTAGCAATTCGGGAATGATTGACCGAAACCTCGAGAAATTTAATTAAATATTAAAACGTGAATGTAGAGAGAGGGAGAGAAATCAGCAGGTGCTTGTTACAAAACGGGCGAATAAGAAATGAAGCGGAGTTGGGAGGGTGGTGGCAGCTTGTACCGTGGCGACCTGCAATTGTTTAACTGGCTATTTGATTATTTATGAAACAAAAGATTCAGTTACCTTGAATGTAATCTAATATCCAGCGCTTTCCAGGTAAGAAGCCAGGTATTCAACTCCGGCACGAACTGCTGCCGACTGAGCGTTGTCTCCTTCGTACATAGCAATGACGATGGCTGAAAGTTTCAGATTTCATGTTGGCCATGCGTTGAAATCCACGAACCTTGATTTGTCTTGGCAGCAAAGAAACCAGTCTGTTCCTTCTTTCCGAAAATCAGTTTCTCCTCGACACGTGGAACAATGTAGTGGACGCCTTCCAGGTCGGCACCGGTACCTGGTACAGATTTGATGTTGGCAAAAAGAGCAGCAAACTTTTTGAGTTCAGCGTCGGTAGCCTGACATTTGGAATTCAGACTTGATCTAATACAATGTAGAACTCACTCTGAAAGCGCCCCCGTCATTTGTTCTCGCCCAAATTGATCCATCAGTTCCGATGATAGCGGCTCTCTTGATGGCACTGCTCTTCTGGAGAAGGATATTGATATAATCGTCCCAGCCAGCCATGGTTTCTTCTGAAAAAATAACTTTTTTTCCAAGACGAATGAAACGAAGCGATGAGAAAAATGAAAGATGAAAAGGTATATAGGAGCACATGAATCAGAAACAGGGCCAGCCGTTATGAATCACTTTGGGAATGGAGGAAAATGCTTTTCAGCCTCCCACCACCTCCTCCTCAAAAAAGATGCTTTTGAAAGAATCCAAAAGGAAAATATGATATTTCAATACATTTCATACACAAAGAAAATACTTTCTAGTAAATAATAATGAACGAAAAGACAATGACAGGAGGTGACAGTCGCGAGGTTGTGTTGTTATCAAATGTGTGATTCTTGGGAGAAAGTGAGAACGCGCGCCTCAAAATTTTATGATAATACAGATTTTTTGAAAGAGAAGAGAAAATAAGAATGAGAGAATCCAGAAACGAAACAAGAAACGAGAAAAAAAGCGTTACTGTAGACACGTGTCCCATTAATCGATAATGTGCTCTATGGTGGGTCTGTTCCATACAGAACACACAAAGGTATTTTTCGTCGCTCTTCATTCGTCGAATATACACTCCACTAACCCGCGCACACACTCACACACACACATACACAGGCAAAAGAAAATCTCTCTCTTCTTCACTCTCGCGCAGCGCTCACTCCCTCCGATACACTAACGCATCTCTCACGGACGGATGGACGGGACGGCGGACCGAACTGACCCCAACCGGACCGAGTGTTGGACACAGTGAGAAGATGGGAAGAAAAATGGACACAACGGCCGAGAATGAATAGAAAACGAAGGGTTGGTTTGGTGGAATAGAGAAAAAAAGAAAGAGAAACAAAAAATTGAGAAGAAGGATGTTGCTGCAAAAACACTCCTAGGCTATTCCTTACAGCTTGAACACAGGCTGTTGAAATAAGAAAATAAGTTTTTCTTGTTATAAAACTTGGAACATAGACGGCCTGATTCACATACCAACCATTCCTCCGACGATTGCCAATCGGTAAGATAGAATCATTTTCGGTAGCAAAATTTGCGAGACTTCGATGCAATTATTCTAACAAAGAATTAAGTGAATAGGAAAAAATTTCGAAATAAGAAGACATTGAAATTCAATCTTAAAATAGTTAGTAAAAACACACACTAAATATTTTCAACCTCTAAATGCCTCAACTCTGACTACGTGATAAAGAGCAACATCCTGAACTTCGAGAAAACAAAGCGCAAGTCTGTGAATTGTGAAACAGTGCAAACTGTTGGTTTGGAAAAGAGAACTGGCGGAGCGCTCCTGTGCCTCCGCGCGACACTAAACGGCAAAAAACAGTCTCGTTGATGTGATGGAGCGGATGGAGCGATAGTGCTGGCCCAGCAACCGGTGGCACCCGCTGCAGAAAAAGACAAATGGTTGGTCTGTGTACGCGTTTCGGGAAAGTTCTACGGAACTCTGGGTGGTATTTTCCAATTTCAATAAGTTGATATGTAATTTTTTGAGAATTTCCATTATTCTAGCAATAAAAGAAGATCTCTTAGAACTCATTCCGTACAAAAAAGGCCAAACTTTCAATTTAATTTTCATCTTTCTTGTTAGATTTATCATAGTACGAAAAATTCCAAATACAGTTACAAAAATCAAACCAAAAATACATCGACGTCATCAATCGATATACATAAAACAGTGTTATGATTTTTTTCGGACGTCACCAAAACAACGCAAAGCAGTTGTTTGGTCACAAACACATCTTCGTTCGGAAAAGTTTGTTTTGTTCCCTGTGAGGCGCGTTTTGCGTTTAGCATGACGATAAACACAGAAAAAAGAACTGGAAAAAAGCGTTTTTGAAAAGAAAACTGTTTCATGTGTACAACAGGTGTTTCATGAGTGGACAACAATAAAAAAATAGTGATGACCAGCTGATGGGGTTGTGAGGGCGGTCGATAGCAAAATTTACAGAACATGACAGAAATGATAACAAAGATGAAATGTTGTGTTAGTGTGGGAGTTATTAGTTCGAGAGCAAAGGAGCCGTAATTCTTCAAAGAATTGGTATATTCTACCTGTACACATGCAAAAATATGTTTCACGGGATGGATTGGGGGTGTAAAGAGATGATACAGAGTATAAGTTAGGGAAAGAGAGATAAAACAGATTTTCGTCATGTAAAGCAGGCATTGGCACATAGATTTTCGAAAAGAGATCATTTTGTGTGGAGAGGAATTTCGTTTTTGGTGCCAAGAATCTCCAGTAGCTTCTGCGACATGAAGTAAGGGCGTTCAAGGCTTCCGTCATTTTGTTCACTGTCCTCCACTAGAAAAAATGAGGAAAATTAGAACAAATTCGGATAAAAGTGGTTTGCACTTACGGAAACAAATGAAAGTAGTATCGACGGCCATTTCGTAGACATCAAAGAACAAGTCGGCCATGAAGTAACTTCCTGAAATAGGCAGTTTGTTTGTTTTTTTGGCACAAAGAAATGGTCTTACCAATGACAACAATGACGATTGGCACAAAGTAGTAGTAGAGATCGACTTTTGGCACTCCTTCGACAACCCAACGTCCAGAGAAGTAGTAGAAACTGAGGATGCCCATTCCAAGAGTGATCATCGCTTTTCCAAGGAACAGAAGAATTCCAGCCACTTTGTGGACGACCACAGTTCTGACTATATTACGAGTGATGAGCAGGAATGAGTCTTTTGCCGACGAGAAGAAGTTCTTTCCATAAATCGCAATCTGAAAAAAGATCACTTTATTTTCCATGGAGACCAAAACACACTCACCATAATATACGCGTTCTTGGTCAGGAACTTGAAGAACATTTCAAGACACCAGAAGCAGCATTTGAGACACATTAGGAACCACTTGACGGCCTTGTTCTCCGACTTGCCAAGCTTGTGATCGATATATTCCAGCATCACACGAATAATTTTGACAATTGCAATGATGAGGGAACCAAACGCGATGGATCCAAGATTGTATCTCATGGCACGATTCAGAGCACGTATCACCGGGAACGTTGGCACGTCATGACGTTTATCGCGAGCCCAGTAGTACGATGCAAACGCTCCTGCTAAAGCGATGTCTCCAAGAGCAGTAACGAAGCAAGAGAGCCAGAAGAAGGCGAATAGATTGTAGACTTGGAGCCAGAAGATTGTATCGCTCTCCTTCTCGATTCCAACATAGGTGCATCCGGCAAGCTTTGCATTGCAGTCACATTTGGTAGAGGTGTTGTAGACTTGTCCGTTTGTCTCTTTCATGCGACAGATTTCTTGTCCAGAAGAAGCTAACCAGATAGCAATTGATCCCCATAAGGCAAATACTCCAATATGTAAAAGGAACGGGAAGAGAGGGAAGACCAGTGTAGACATCATGCTTCCGATTGCTCTGAAATTAAGTTGATTTGTAGTCGTTGAATATTGTTCTTGTGCGGTTGTATGGTCAGCTTCCAGCCTCCGGCAGCTAGTTGGATTTTTCGGAAGCGCTTGAAAACTCAATTTTGACAAACTAGCTCGGTTGACAGGCGTTTTAAAATTGAAATTTTGAGTAGAATCTGATGAAGTAGTCAAGCTAGTAACCATAACAGAAAAAGCTCTTCAAACCTCTATTTCAGGCATAGTCACTATTGATGGCAAGTAGCTCATGAGCTGTTTAAGTTCAACTTGCTCGGACTGGATATGATCCGTCCCAATCAGCAACAGGGGTATATTCCAGTATAGCCCCCAGAAACATTCCAATATAACACCCCTGGCATAAATGTTGGAACACACCCCCACCCACCATCTTTCATAAGGAGGGTGGGGGGTTCAACAACAGTTTTCCTGTTTTTTTGCCTGAAGATCAAACGTACGCAGCCAAATTACGCATATAAAAATATTTGTAATTTATCGTTTTTGCACCGGTTTTTTGTTAGTTTTCTTTAGATTTCCGCGTTTTTCCTACTTTTTTCTAAAATTTTTCCTGATTTCTGGTTTATATCACCGTGCATTTTTTGTCATTCTACTAGAGAAATAATTAGTTAATGCCAGTTCCCAACAAAAAATAGGCTTAGGCAAAAACGGGTAGAAATATTGAAGATTCCAAATAAAAATAAGCTTAGCACCCTAAATCGGCGTATACCTTGAAAACAAGACCCCTAGAAATTTTTATGATTTCAAATAAGCCACGGATTCCAATATAACCCCCCCTCCCCAATCAACGGTGGGGGAATATTCTGAACTCTAAAAAAAACGTAACTGTGGGGGGGGGGGTATATTGAAATTTTCCCAGCAACAGTTATCAATTTTCTCAGTTTTTCAAATTGAATCAAAAACTCACTTGCTGGACTCTGAAATCAATGCACACGCAATGCTGATCCTCTGACGTATGAACAAAATGACCAATAAGAAAATGACAAGCAAGACGGATGTGGCGATAGCAACAACGAACCATGTTGTTGGCATCTCGAAATAAGCATCGAATGCTGGATGGAATGAGTAGTCGTCAATTGCTCCAGTTGCCTTCAAATTATTCCACTTTATCCAACTGAAGCCAGCTCCAAATCCAAGTGCTCCAAGGACAAGAAAGATAGAGAGCCATATGAGAAGAGACCCGAGAAGTCTCATGATTACTGTCCAAATGAAGGACAGCATTCCCGCTGCGAAGATGAGAATGAGGGTTTGCCACCAAGTTTGAGACAAGTCATGGATCACTTTATGGGTTACAGGTTGGTCCTCGACCACTGATTTCATCACTCTGAATTTAATGCTTTATAGATTTTCAGTTCATTTTAGTGAAAAATCTTACTCTGAGCTCTGGCCAGTGATTTGAATGTCTTGAGGGATCAATGCGTCGTCTCCAAAAGTCCTCTTGAGGTAATCCAACGAGTTGGAACTATTGAGAACAGTGTTTACATTATCGACGGCGTTGAAAATCGCCTCGGGGAAACATCGTTGGAGTACTGGAACTTTTTAATTTATGAGTACATGTCGCTCTAACACAGTGGACTTACCAGGCACAGACTTGACCGTATAGGACACACACTTTCCTCGCTGTACAAGACTTTGGAGAGCAACGAAAGTGGTGACCGTAGACTTATCAACATCGTCAGTGCAATAAACTACATTTTTCATCTTATTTTGAATCTCTGCGGCAGATGCTGTTCGAAGTTGGAGGTAGGAAAAGTACTGTGACGGACACTCTTCCACACAAATTTGAGTCGTTTGGCATCCTCCGAGAGCCGTCGCATATGAGATACATTTGGTGAGATCGAAGTAGAACAGATATGGCCGCTTGCTGAAAATGTCTTTGTTGGTGAAAATTTGAAAAAACTGAAGGTACCTGAAGTTATAGTATCCTCCTTGATCGACACCACATCGTCTGAATTCCGAGTCGGTTGGATAGATGAGTCGTTGCGGATCTCCCCACATGATACCCAAGCTGGCAACGACAACCCATCCGCAGAGGAAAACGAAGAACAGGAAGCAGCAGAAGACATCCGTACATCCTCTGAAAATAAAAGTGGTTAGCTTATAAGAATTGTAGAGCAAAAGTTAGCCGAGCAGGTGCAACTTTTGCCGGTTATTTTTGTCAGTTACACGTAGTTTCATACAAAAAGCCTAAATTTTTGGATATGTTTACTTTCCGAACATCATGTTTGAACGAAAAAAATAGTCATTTCTGAAGTGGCACAACTTTGAGAACATTTTATCGAGCTGTTTTGTTTTTTTGTGTTTGAATGATATTGTGTGTTGCGTACTGTATGCCATTCCACAGCAAGTACGCATATTTATTTTACCTTTTAGTATACAACTGTGGATTATGTCTTTTCGCCAGCCGATCCGGCTTAATAACGTTGAAACGTGCAATCTGATCGGGTACATAGTTGGCACGTGCTGGCTGAACATGGTAAGCTTGATGAAGTGGTGGTGGTGATCCGTAACTGTCTGGATAGATATGGTCCATTCGATGTGGTGATATTGGTGGTGCTGATGGTAGCTGTCCGAAACTGTCCGATTTCTCGTACACCTCGGCGGCGGGCATCGTACGCTTCTTGCGAGCCATTTTTGTCTACTGTCAAAATATGAAATAGTTCTAGAAGGTCTTAAAATAAGACGAAAAAAGAGAGGATATTGTAGAAAAAAGAAAAATGGAAGAATTGACAGCGGATTCCTAGTCAAGACAATAACCATTATCTGCCTTGTGAAAACACTAGAAACACATGACCTTCAGAAAATTTATAATTGGGTGGAAGTCGAAACCCACGGCAAAATAATTGCATTATTGGTTTCTGTTGGACGAGGTTGTGTCCCCAACGCAACGACAACAAAAGTTCCACTGGAACAGTTGTTCTAAGACATTGAAAAAGAAAAAAAACAAGACAGAAGGTCAAAGCTTACGTCACATTTCGGTCTCAAATTTCAAGTTTTTGGGGAGCGAATGCAGTACTAACGGGAGGAGAAAAGTCGAGAATTGTAGTTGGGGATTGTGTTACTAATGCTAAGTAAAGAATGTCCGAAAGTTTACTTTATGATAAAATCTAAAAGGTGTTGGAGATGTTGAAAATAACAAAAACGGGAGCGAAAAGAAATAGAGAAAACTGAAAGAATCTGGAGAGACTAATGAGGACGTAAACATCTATAGCCCGCACGCGCACACAACACAATGGTCCGCTCAGCACGTACTGTTGGAGGCCGAGGTGAAAGAGAAGATACGCAGATGGTGCAACAGAGGGTCCCAGACAGTAAATGAGTAGTGGTCACGGACGAGAGGGCACTCTCTCTCTCTCTCTACCCCGCCCATTGCATGTCAATCCGCCAGGAACAGTTTTTCCCGCGCAACCTCCGCCGTTGCAAACAATACGGTCGTCGGGTAGACGAATTTCGAGTGAGTGACCGCACCGCCTGTTTGAATTTGGTTCCAAATAAAGGAGTGAAAATGAGCGGGCTAGTGGTCAACATAAAGAGATGAGTCACAATACAATGAGAAAAGAGTTCGTAAAAAAGCAGGTGGAGATGCTGCCGATTCAAGGGAGGACGTGCCTAAGTTGTTTAAATGTGTTTATTTGTCCGGATTTTTTGGTTTGGAAGAATAGAAGAAAAAGAAACCCTGAAAAGCGTGCTAATATGCGTGAATACATCATTGAGAGGTTATGAAAACGAGAGCTTGATTCGGGAAATGTGAAAAGTGCGAAAGAACTTCTGGAAGTTAACGGATATGACGTTTTGTCTGATTTATCGTTATCCATCTTCTTGTTATCCGTCAAAGAAAGAAACATGTTTGGCAGAAGTTCAATACAAGAGAAAAGTCGTTATAATAATGAGCGTATTTCCAAACGGCTAAGGATGTATCTTCGAAAGATTATTTTGATGCAATATTTTCTTTTCATTGAAAGAAAAAATAAAGAATCAAATTTAAACTTTTAAATTGTTAAAAGGTTATTCTAACCGTCAATGTCAAGCGGATTTTTACCTATTCCAGAGAAATTGCTTTTCCGTGGAATAATGGGAACATTCTGATATGTAAAAAGCAACTTTGCACTTCAAACCCATTCATCTCAATTTCTACGAGAGATATCGAAAATGTGTCCAATGATCAAATATTGGTGATATTATGACAAAAGTTTTATTAGTTAGCACTTTTTTGGTATTTATTAATGAAATTGCGATAACTGAGCTCAAAGTGCAAGTATAAGCTGACCTTCTATTAGAGTGTTTACGGTAAGTTCTTGTAATAACTTTTTCAAATCTTTCCCAGAAAACGACGCTCGAAGTGAATTAGAAAAAGGTCCGATTAGAATTTCATGACATTTTAAAATCATTCATGACATTTAAAGATTCATGACATATTTAAATCAATACGTGAGATTTCAGTTTTCGCAATTTTGATTTTCGTTATAAAGTCAAGTCGAACTCAGTGCATTAAATCTGAGAAAATTTTTATTCTTATTTTTTGTTTGTACAGATACTGTAACATTCTAATTCTACCAAAAATCTATTTGTTTTTAAATATCTGCTTTATTCCGATCAGATTTTACTTTTTTTGAGTTCGAATAGTTCCTATACACCCCAAAGAATCCAGTTCTATAAGCAATTCGAATGCAACACTTGGAAATTGTTCATGTTAATCTTTTCATAACGAATAAAAAATTGGCGAACAAAGGAAAACGAACACCTGATCGGATGAAACAAAAAAAAAACTGAAACTTATACCCTCCGCTAGTTTCGAGAACGCCCCCCTGAAAAGTGTCGGATTTTTCGCCTGCACTCTCACTTAGTCCCTCTCATCTCATCCACACCGCTCAGCATACACGATGAAAACCAGTTTCTCACGTAAATACATAGATAGTCATGATGAGGTCGAAGGTTGTGTGAGAAACTATCTTTTTGTCGCATCTAATATGGAAAACAGGGCTAATGTGTGGAAGTGAGGGTAGGTGAACAAAAAGGGAAAACTTGATCATGACGCATAGTGTTGGCTGGAAGCTGGGAGAAGCTTTTTCTTCTCTCCAGTGAGAAAACCAGTAACAAAGTGATAAAAAGGATAGTGAGAGTAAATTTGTTATGATACGACAGCTGAAAAGCTTTGATTTCAGCTGCAGAACCTCCTAGAAAACAGGTGAATCTGAATCTTATTTTTAAATTTAAAAAAAAGAGAAAAATACGTAAAAACGAAACCTAGAAGTATAACCATGATTTTAAGCGGTGAGTCTACGCGAAGAGATTCGTAATACAACAAAGGAAAAAAAAAGAAAAGTTTGAAAAAAAAACTTGATTTTTGTGTTTCCTGATGAAGGTAAGAAGAGGAAAAAATCTCAGAAATCTTTCTTTCTTCCCATGATGGTTTTATGAGGCAAAAGAGATTCCAAAAGGGAGGGTCGTTGTTGGTGGTATTTGGAGGAAACAAGTATGAACAATAGGTAGTTTTCGTTTTTCTAGCTCTACATGATTTCCAGTGATAGTGTGTTTGCCGAACGGTTGACTAACAAAATGAGTGTCGAGGGGTTTGTAACGTTTCTAAAAAAATCGTAATTTCTACGTAACAATAAATTTGTTTAAAATTTCATCAAACTAATTTCTAGAATTGCTAATTTATTCTGAAAATATTCCATTTCTAGAAAAAGCAAGAAATTGAATTTTTGAGGAAAAAAGAAAAAAACGCGAGAGCCATTTACGTCACGTCACATCAAATCAGAACCAGGAAACGAAAAACTGGAGAAGATGTCATGACTATTTCAAAATGATAACTTCCTGACTATTTTGAAAACAGAAAATAATAAAACAAAACAGACAATTTTTGAAAAAAAAAACTGAAATCTTCGCCAGCAAAAATTTGTAATTGCACCAGTTTATATATGTTTTCACTTCGCGAACAATTTCTTTTGAATTGCACCTGCTCTTGTGTTGTGGCTTCTCAGTTTTTAGTCAAAGACTAGTACGAATCCGTTATTCTTTTCAAATAGCTTGAACACCGAATAAACTGACCTTTTTCCCAAATTGAAGTCGCTCATTGGATTGTTGTCCCGTTGTTTGGACTCGGCGGTTCCTGAAATTGTTAACAGTAAAACCATATTTTCAAAATACAGGCCGAACCCCACACCCGGGCTCTCGCTGGACCAGAACAGTCCCTTTCCAGGATGCCCAGTATCTAATATCCTTGTTTTTTAAGCCAAGTTCTGAACTCATTACATATTTTTTCCTTGTATTTTTGTTTCGTTTATTTTTTTGTCTGTTTTAAGTTTTCTGTACTTCTGACAGTCTTGATCAGAATTTAAAAAAAATAGATTTCGCTTGCTATAAAAATCATGTCCGTAAAAGTTTTGCCAAGCGTTCACCTGCTCAGTCAGGTTTCCTAAAATTGAAAAAAAAGCCCGGCCCGATCGATTACAAGTATTAGTAAAACGGATAGCTCATTGTTTTTATTTTCACTTTTCTCGTTTTTACATTCTTTCCCATACAGTCTCACCTATGTATTTCTGAAAATTTACATACAGTTGAAATAATGCATACTTATGCTACTGAGTCTAAACATTCGTTGTTTGTTTGCTTCATGAAGTGCCAAAATAATTGCTTTTTACGTTTTTTGCAGCTTGTTCCTAGCTTTTAAATTTTTTGAACCTACTCCTTTGAAAGTACTTCCGGTCATTTTTTACTATGGTATACATGTTTTTCTTTTTTATGAAATCAGGAAGATATACGTGAAAGACATCTGAAAAAAAATCACCTGGAGCTGTTTGATTTGCCATTGCTGGATAACGCCAATCTTGAGGAGCAGCTGAAAATAATTTTAATTCAGAACATATGCCTCCCAAGTTGAAAAAAAACCTAAATGATAAAAAGAAAGTTTTTAAGGCTAGACTTTCAAAGTTATATAACTGAAGCCTTTCATTCTTGCTGTCTCTCTCTCTCTTTCCGTTTTCATATCTCTATAGTAACCCGCATAACATTCAATTTTCATCAACCCTCTCTCAAAATCACACACTATCCAAGTCCCTTGTTGATAAGTTTTTTGTCGGTTGTGCGAAACGAAACGGAACTCAATTAGGGGGTGTCTCTATGTGTCTCTACTTTTTACATAATGTCTCTTCAACACCAACATCATTTTTCTTCCTAGCTTACGTGAGTAATTTCAAGCTCTTGGCATTCATTAAATCACATCAGATTGTGAAATTTGTCCAGAATTTTCTATCGGTTGAAAATTGCCTCTTTCTTAGAATTATAATAATTTCAAGCATTTTCTGAAATAAATTTTAAAGCAAAACATTACCTTCATACATGTAGTTGTACTGTTTCATGGCTAAAGCCTTGGTATGCACCACAGAAACAAAGAAGTAAAAAAAAAACCAAGCGGCACAATGAAAGCGAAACACAACTTGCCAGAGGTGGGCTAACCATGTATTTACCTTTGGCTCTTCCTTCCGAATGTTCAGAGATGAAAACAAATAGATCCCTATGCGGTTTGTAAGCAAACGTGTGAATTTTATTGCGTACTGTCAAGTTGGCTTTTGAGATGGGAAGAAAAAAACAAAGGGAAGAAATGAAATGATGGGAAAAATATCATAATTGAAATTGAGTTTTGAGGAGCAAGAGCAGGAGCAGCGGCAACGGTGGAAAGGATCTCAATGGTTACATCTTGGAACACAGCGCGCTGAAAATTGCACTTTAATAATGTTGTGAAAAGCTGGGGCTGTTTGTAAAAGCGCATTTTCGGAAAATTAAACTCACTGAAGGAAGAAAAAACAAAGTCAAATCTATCCCGGTTCCCAAAATGAAAGAAAGCAGAAATGTTGAAAATACTTTACTGCTGATTTTCAATGTAACGGTTTACAGAAAATGATCTTCTTTAAATCAGAAAATAGTTGTTAACTTTTGAATTGAATCTAAAATAATTTGTTAGAGATTATTGGCAGAAAACTTATAATAACAGATGAGTAGAAATGTTATCAGTCTTGATATCACTGAACATGATAAACATAAGCCAACTCGTTTCAGATTTTCGGAATCAAAAATGAGAATACTCGAGAGGGACTATCTGAGAAACCTTGGCCCGCGGCATCTTCTGGCAATCGTCTCTTGGTAATTGCATTCCCTGAAAATTTTGGAGAAAGTTTAAACATTTGAAATCTAAAAACATATTTTATCATATATTCAACATCATCAAGAATACGAAATTAAAAATATTATTCTGAAAATCAAAAAATTCATTAAACAACATTTCACTTTCTAGAGCAGCTATCCCCCGCTTATTCAATTTTTGGGTGGATAAAAAATTCTTAGATTCTGCTGGAAATCATTCCAATTTAAACCATTCTGCAGAGCTGAATTTAAAACCTACGGGTTTCTCAACTTTCAGTAATCATTCTAAAAAAATAAATTTTGAGATGATGGTTTTTGTTGATGATAATGTAATTGTTTGGATGAGACTGATAAAACGAGAGCGTATCATTCCATTTATAACTCTCCTTGACATGTGAGATATCAGCATTAAGGAATTATTTCTCAAGGTTTTTCATGTTGTCAGAAGGTGATAAAATTCTATTTTATCTCAAGGTTCTGCAGTAACATTCAATCGGTTCGTTTTCGACTAATAACTCTAATAACTCAATTTTGCATTAATAAACTCAAAACCCCTTATCACATCGAACATGTGATTTACGTCTGACCCGCTTGAACAGTATCTATCAGTCCAATTAATTTTTCGTTTTTTATATCAAAGCATGGTTTGTGCTGAAAGTCATGAATTGATTGTAGTCTAGTCCTTTTTTACCCATTTCACTCCCCCACCGTTTTGCAGTACATATTTAGCAGCACAGACGTCTTTCATTTGGCTTCTACCTGACTTCTTATCACTAACCATTCGATTGATAATGAGACACATAGTTTCATATTCTCAGACCATATTTGTTGTTGGTATTGACGTTTATACCGGACTGAGCTTTCGTCTTATTTTGATTCTTGATTTTAGTTTTTTTTCCAGATGTTAGACCTATATCCTGTTCATAATTTCACTGTTGAACAGTTGGAGTATGAAAAGAACACAAGAGTTCTTCAGCCAGTTTGGGACTGGATTAAGGTAAATTGAACTATTCTGATCGGGTTTCAAAGAGTGATGCATTTTTGAGTTTAGAACGGAAATGAGCACATTCTGAGCTCACCACTCTTCCCACCATTCTACGCACTTTCTATCGATTATACATGGGTTGCTGTATTCACATGTGAGAGCACCGTACCAGTCTCTGCTTGTTAACAAAATACTTCGTTACAGTTATCGACTTGTTTCTCTACGATGTACCATTTTTCAAAAATGCCAAAATTCAGAAGGATCGCGTTGTCACATGGGATCTGATGAAGAAATCCTTGAAACTTCAAGGATGGAATCAACTTCTCTGGATTTATCCAATGGCTCTTGTTCAGTTGATTTGGGTTCCAGATACAGAACTGCCGATTCTTGCACCAACAGTTTTTGAAATGGTCTCGCAATTGGCAATATTCTTCCTTGCATTTGATTTCACCTACTTTTGGTTCCACTATTTCAATCATAAGGTTTGTGAAAAGCTGTTGATACGACCCGAGACGTCAGAGTCAAAACGGTGGACGTTAAAACAACTGGAAAATTTCCTACCTCATATGGTTGGCATCATTCAAAACATTTTCACTTGCAGTCTTGTACTCTAACGAAAAATCATAAAACGTGCAAGAAATGACTACGTGATTTCAAAACCCATCGATGCTTCCTAATAAAATATTTTGGGTGATTCATCGCTGATAAATTTGTCGTCCAAGTATAGTTATTAAACTTTAAACAGAGTCAGTGACATGAAAGTTAAATATTACTTCCATGTTTGGAGCTACTGAACAATGATTTCAAATAAAAATGAAAAATCACAGTTTGGCCGTATTTTCTTGCTGTGGTTATTAGAAAACCGTGCAAGAGTCTGAATAATATACTTACCTTTCATTTTTAGCTCTAAATTTTCAGTTTCTGTGAGAGATATGATAATTGTGTAAGATAAAAAAGTGTTGACGATAATATCACAACATTTTTCAGTAGTCACGTTTTTTGATAAAATTAATAGAAATTGAACTACTTGAGCTTCAAGTGCATGTTTGATGTAGAATTATACTTTAGAACGTATTTCAATTCATCGTTCAAATTTGTATTTAGATTGAAATCTTTTTCAATCATTTCAATTTCGAAAGCAAATCTTCAGAAAGGACGATAAATTTTTAAAGGTGGGGGGACAAGAGATTTTTCGGAGGTTTTTTGGAGTTAGGGTATGCATTCTAACGTGACGGTGTACAACGCTTAATGCCACTCTGCGTACAGCTGTCGTCCTCACCTTTATGCAATCGGGCGGCCGATTTCTCTTTGCCCGCGTGGCTCAGTCGGTAGCGGCGCCGCGCCCTCACTACTCACCCCCACAAGTTAAACTCCTCGAGGAGCATATTTAGAAGGAATTTCGAGAACATTATTTTTTTCATGTCTCCCCACCTTTAAGGGCATAACATTTTAATTTCTTAAGTATCCAATCAAAATTTTTTTTTCTTATTGTAGTTTTCACAGTTTTGAAAAAGTTTTCTGAACCTTTAAGGAATATAAGTTAGATCATGAGTAAACATTGTTCCCAATTACTGAGGGATTTTTATGTTGTTTTAAGTCACAATATGTTTTCAGCATTTGAATCAGAATTTATCACATTCAGATACATCTAGTTAAATTATTTTTAATTGATTTGTAGAGTTTTTTTCAACATTTTTCTTGGAATTGTGCATAATGTTTCTATGTATAAACTTACTGTCTCATACTTCCAATTTTCAGATAAAGTGGCTCTACAGATGGTGCCATTCCGTTCATCACATGTACTCCTCTCCTTTCGCCGCCTCCGCACAACATCTTCATCCGTTTGAAGTGAGAGTTTCTTTGCCAAACTCCTAAAATCTCATGATCCTTACATATTATCCTGAGAATCCCAAATTATTCAATCTCTATAATCCCACGTTTCAGCTGTTTTTTGTTGCCACTTTCATCACCACGGTCCCATGGATTTTCCCAACCCACTGCTTGACCTACTGGCTCTGGTTTTTCGTTGCTCAAAGTGTTTCCTATGAGGTGAGCAAAAAGAGAAAATGTAACCGAATAGTTTGGTTCTTTTCAAAGTTCATTGAGAGAGATCTTTGGAGAAAAATGTTTGGTCTCAGGTTCACATCGGCTACGACTTCCCCTTTGCTCTTCACCGCATCTTCTGGTTCTATTCCGGTGCTCCAGCTCACGACATGCATCATTTGAGACCGTTGACATGTTTCCAGCCATGGTTCAACTACCTTGATCGTCTCATGGGATACCATATCACATATGAAGATTTGAAAAAGATGACAGAAGCCAAATTCAAAAAGTTTGGATTGTATTCTGTCGAGGACGAGAAAGGTCTTATTAAGATCAATTAATTTTCTGTTCATATGTTTCCCCAACACCCGTTTTTTCCCTCAAGTTCAGTAAACGTTTTTCAATGCATTGTTGATGACGAATTGCTCAAAGAAGCCCTTGCTGCTTTGTAGACACACCGGAAGAAGTGGAGAGTTTCTGAATTAGGAAAAAAGAGGGAAATGTCAAATGGAAATGTGAAACCATGTAAGAAGATCGGATCAACGGATCAAGAGATCAACTAAGATTAGGCCATTTTCTAAAAGAAAAAAAACATATCGCTTATCTTCTTGTAGTTTCAACTGCGAATCCTTGCTCTGAAGAATTGTTAATGAGATATAAAACTTGAGGCCCCGCGAAAGAAAAGGGAAGCTCCAGCTGGTCATGGGTCCATTGTCAAATAGCCGATTAGCGTTTAGCTTTACACTCTCTGAAGGAAAGAAGCCGCAAAGATTCGCCTATCCCAAAAGCGTCGAAAAGAGGATTAGGAGTACCAATTGGAAATGAGACATGACCCAAGAAGACGGGGAGAGGGTGCCAACGGAAGAAGAAAAGAAAAGCAGTCCTTTCCCGCATATTTTCACTAGTATGTGCTTGCATTTATAGCCTAGCCCTCTTCTTTTGCCATCTTTTTTTCTTCTTTCTCTTCTTCCTACAGCAGCCACGTCGTGGTTGATGAAAGAAGGAAGCAGAGAGGGTCCAGACGGGAGCCCCTCCGACCAGTTTCTGCGCGTCTTCAACTTCTATTGTGCGTTCAGAATCGATAGGCAGCGTGTGTGTGTCTTTGCCATTGCCGTCTACTGCCATCTCAGCTGCCTGCGTGCATGCGAAGAACCTCGCATACATCTTCTTATTAAAATTTGGAACGAGAGCGACGACGGAGAGCCCCGCCGACGGGTCATTTTCTGCCTTTCTGCCTGCCTGGACGACTCCACTCTTTTTGTTTTGTTCTCATTCACTCTTGGATTGCGTGTCGCCTATAAATGGATAATGTCTGCTTCCAGCAACGGTTACGAGGTAATATTCTCGGTTTATGGCAGTTTTTTTATTACCTAGTTGCGTGTCAAACTTGCTATTAGAAAAGCTAATAACTAGTAAGGGATAGACATAAAAAGCGTATACAAAAAAGCTAGTTATAGTTGGCATTAGGGTCAGAAATAGCTACCAATGGGATAGATAGCATGTTGCATGTCTACGGGTAGGTAGAAAAACGAAATTTCTTGCTATTGCAATGAAAATGTATCAGGAGAGAGATAGAGAGAAGGACTTTGACCCTTGCACACAATGTTCTTTGTAATCATGAATTGTTCTGATAAGAAATAAAAGAAAAATTGATGTGAGTTTAAAACACGAATAGGAAGGTTTCTTGATTCTTCGAGGGTCGACATGCCATTGCAAATTAAGAAATGTACCTAAGAACATTGAAAATTTGTAGTTGTTTACAGTTAAGATCTTATTTCTTCAAGAATCTTGGGGTGTGTAGAGAATGTAAAAATACACAATTTCATTTTTCAGATTTGGAAACAAGAGTGCGGAAATGGAAGTTCCTGAAATTAGGACTAACAGAGGTCCGCCTCCGACCTCGGGACAGAAGATCTACTTCTGTCGACCAAAAGCATAAAGGTTAGTTGCGGTTTTCCGAAAAAAAATTGTCTGGGTTACTGTACTTTTGATAGAAAAAAAATGCATTTCATTTATTGGCTCCAGTTTTCCAACATTCACCATTCAGTACAGTGCTCAAATTGTAGCTAGTTAGTTTGAAGTGGGCGGTTTTTGTAAACGAATCTCGGGCATACTGTTGACCAATTATATACTGATCTTTGCTAATTTTCGTTTTCAGAATGCTCCTCAACCTCATCCAGTCCACAACACCAGAGACCGAATAATATCGGGTACTTAACCAGCCCGATGGAACGAAAATGTGAGTCTCGTTATTTTTGTTTATTTTTTGGAATTATCGAATATGAAATTGTTCTATTTTCAGTTACCCCGCTCTCCATGAAACCGTCACCGTCTAGGAGGGACACGGAGAAAGATGCGCTGGAGTTTGAGTTTCTGGAAGGATGTAAAAAATCTGGAGTGCTGGATATAGATGGTTGGTTTTCGTATCATTATTTTCGAATTATTCTCTGAATTGCATATTTTTAATTCCAGGATTGAAGCAAGCCGTGGATCCCAACGAAATTCACATAATTGGTTTGCTAGGAAGTGGCTCATGTGGAGTAGTCGAATCGGCGATGGTGAAGTCTAAATTGATGGCTGTGAAGGTGAGCATTACTGTCAAACGGGGGACCCTTGTTGATTAATGGTCACGATTCATCACTCAAATAGAATATGCTCTGCAATTTTGTGTAGCTCTTGAGAATAAGGAAATGAGATTGACAGAATCGTTGCATACGAAATTTGACAAAAAATGGAGAGGGACATTGTTGTTTTCAATGGGTTTAGGGGTTTTTCAATGGGAGCAAGTGGTAGTGAAGAGCATTAGTAATTCCATTGTTGTTTTCTGTGTTGATCCAATCGGCCACTCTAAAGAGTATTTGAAGAATGACGCGACTAGGAAGTGGGGATGCACAGTATACTTGAACTTTCTGAAAGACTAGTGAGAACATAAATTGATATACGACACCCCAGAGAATCACTTGACACGCATGCAAACTCATAGAGTCAGATATTTGTACAACTTCATTTTTTTTTCCTCAACTTCAGACAATGTACAAAAACGACAATAAGGAAAATTTGAAACGAATACTTCGGGATGTCAGGATAATGTCGCTCTGCAATTCTCCATTTATTGTAACGAGTTATGGTTATTTCATGTTCGATGTATGTGATTCTTGGCTCTATTACCCGTAATAATCAGTCTTCCAGTCATCCGTCAAAATTTGTATGCAAATCATGTCAGCTTGTTGTGAGAAGCTATTACGGCGTATTTACCATTCCAAATTAGAGTTCTTCCCGGAATACGTCGCCGGTCATATTGTCTACTCGGCGATTAGTGCATTAGATTATCTGAAAGAGAGACACGTGAGTTGTGCAATACGAAAAAATATATAAGTTTCCCGATTTGCAGTCGATTATACATCGCGATATCAAACCATCAAACATCCTCTTTGACGACAGTGGGAATATAAAATTGTGCGATTTCGGGATAAGTGGTTTTATGACTAATTCGATGGCACATTCCAAAAGTGAAGGATGTCCTCCGTATATGGCTCCCGAACGATTAACCATTGAGGTGAGAACAGATAAGAAGTTGAATTTTTTCTAGAAAAAACAAATAGAAAATTATACTTGTAAACTGGGTACTGGCGAACCATCGTGAGCCCTGCCACAGTTTCTTTAAGCTTTAATATTTTTGGTTCAACTAAATCAGATGTGAGAGAACTTGACGAGGTCCATAAAACGATTTTTTTGAAAAACTGAATTTTATCCATAAAGAGCCATAAAGTGGTGCGGGCCGGGCCGTGCGGGTCTCTTCCTTTCGTTGGTCCGTTTTGTCGGTAACTTTGTTCAAAAACAAGATATAGTTTTTCAAAAAGTATGATGTTGTAGTACTTGCAGAGTTCTATCAAATCAAACTTATTTGATCCAAAAATATAAATACTGAAAGAAACAATGGCAGGGCTCGGTTGACAAGTATGGAAAATTTTCAATTTTTAGCAATATTATTTTCAGACGTACATTTATTTATTATTTGGATAGTTTGAAATTCCAGACTAATTCGAAATATGACGTGAGAAGCGATGTATGGTCCCTTGGAATTACGATATACCAATTGGTAACTGGCATTTATCCTTTTCCACTGAATGATATGGAATTCACCACTCTCACTATCATAGCAAATTTGAATTTACCATCTCCAAGTTTGAAAGGAGAGGTGAGAAAACAAAGATTTAGATTATTTTAACGAAATCGACAGTTTCAGACAACTCGGAGTTTCTCGCCTTTGTTTATCGAATTTTTGGACTTTTGCCTCCGCAAAGATGTTCGGGAGAGACCTGAATACAAGCAATTGATGAAACACGATTTCTTTTTGGATTATGACCCTTCCAGGGGAGATTTTTATAAATTGAAAACGGTAAGTGCTGAATCTGAGGACTCATTCTCTTTAAAAAATCACTTAAAGATCAATGGAAATCCTAGCCATGTGGCAGAATGGTTCAACAGTGTAATAGCTAGATCGAGCTGCGAAGACGAGCTGAAACCGATTCCCAACACTCCATGCGTTAATTAGCTTTTGTTTTTTAGTATTTTTATCATTTTATTTCTAGATTTCTAGATGTCTCTGAATTATTGTCATTTTGAGTACGTTTTTTTACGAGTCACATAACATACCACTGGTGCGTCAAACACAAACGCTGCTTAATAATTGCTATTTCGGTTGCTTTCACTTCCTCTCCTCACACACCCTTTTACGTGGCAATACCTCGATGACTCTTACTTTTCTGCCTTATCAATAAATATAATAATGCTCTCATGAATGGTGTTTATGAGCTCATGTGTACTGGTTCTTCTTTTTTGCGGGTGTTGATCGGTCATTCTTCACTCCCAAACGTTTTGAAGTCACTGATTACAGACTGTTATTCAAAATGCCAGTTGTTGTCCCCAGACGAATTGCAAGACCAAAATTAGATCTTCCGGAGCTTAAAGAGCCGGAAATTAATTATTTGAAAAATGGCCCGACTGGAAACATTTGTCTATCCGGCGTCACTCTGCCTGTTGTTGCTGATATGATTCACGGCGGAACTCGGATTGGTAGCGGAGAAGGACATGCTGCAGTGTATCGATTGGTGTATAACGGGATGGTTATTGCGAGAAAAGTAAGATTCAAAAATTTCGAATAAGTTTTAATTCTAATTCTTCAGGATGTTAGAGTTCAACTAACAGCAGGTGGTGATAATGCTGATATCAACAAGATGTTAAATAAGAAACTTCGAGAAGTGGATGTTATCAAAGGATGTTCTCCGTGCCCATTCATTGTTCACTTCTACGGTTACTATGTTCATAAAAGTGTTGGGGTAAGCTTAAAAACCGTAACATAATCTGGGATGCTTTTTGAAAAAATCATACTTGTTTAATTTTTTCAGATCGTGAACATTCACATTTTCATGGAAGAATTGGCATTGAGCGCTTCATTCTTGAAAAAAGAGATCCTAAGAAGAAAAGAAACTATTCCAGAATTTGTGATCGGCCGAATCACCTGCTCTGTTGTTCATGCGTTGTGGTTTTTGAAAGAAAAAATGGTGAAAACGACTTTTTCGTACCAGAATGAGTTGTAAAATTACAGAACATCATTCACCGAGACATAAAGCCATCAAACATCTTAATTGACAACGACGGAAGAGTGAAAATCTGTGACTTTGGAATCAGTGGAGTTCTCCAGGATTCTCTTGCAGTTTCAGCAATTGGCTGCCAGCAATATACTGCTCCCGAAATCAACGCGGTTTGATAGAATTAATTATTTTACATTCTAAGAAATGTTTTTCAGCAAGCCTTTATTTTTTCCCCTGGTTACTCAATCAAAAGTGATATTTGGTCCCTTGGTATCACTATATTTGAGCTGGCCACGCTAACGTAAGTACCACGCTTTAGAATCTACTCATTACATGATTGTTATCGTAAGCAAACAGTTGAACAACAAACACATTAAATAGTTGCGGTTTATATTAAACCGGGAAAGAGGTCATATTGTGTCCTGAAAACAAACAATTTGTTATTAAAAAAAAGAAATCTTCGGGTTCAGACTGCCTTACCCAACAGACCTCCAAGAGTTTGCTTTGACTGCCTGTATCAATTCTTCAGCAGCGCCTCGTCTAAAAACAGTAAAAACGTTTGTGTAAAACTTCAACAAAAAATTAACCTTTAAGGGCGAACACAGCGACATCCTTGTGGATTTTGTTGCAAAATTACTCCAGTTTGACATAGACAACCGACCAAATCTAACTGGAGTTCAGGTAAGAGGAAAAAACATGGATGTTCTTTTACTTTGATAGGAAGTCTAATGCGTGTCGTAATTGGAGGAAATTTGCAGGAATTGGCATTCTTCAGAGAGCATGACGTGCCATTTTCTTGCGTTGGTACAGGAATGGGAATATTAGACGATAATGAAGCTAGAAGACCGTCTGTGGGAGCGTGGTTAGATGAAGTCCGTTTTTATTGACACTATGTTTTCGTTTCTTCTTGTTCTGTGATAAATATTGATGGGATTGGGGTACAATAAAAATTACAAAGATTACATTGAATTTTGACAGGTCACTGAAAATTTGGCAAGAACAACGAAATTCATCAGTTTGGTCTAGACTATTCAAATTTGGAAAATTTGATTATTTCGTAAAAACATTTTAACTATCAATTTCTGGAAATAGTTTTGATCTCTGCGTTTTGAAACAAGGGGTGGTTCTGATTCTTTTCGTGAACAAAAATACGAACTATGTTTGGGAGAAGATTTTTGCTGACTTCAAAACGTACTTTCTCTTGTAGTTTACAAAAGCAAAAATCTTAAAATCCTAAACTTTGAAATCACAAATCTTTTGAATAGGCTCCAAAATTTCGGAGAAAAATTATGCGGCACTTGTATATTTTTTCTCAGGAAAATATAAATTCAGTGATGTCATAAAAGTGATTTCCAGATTCTCATCATTGTACTCATCTGTATTTTTTGTCACTCTGCTAGTGGAAACTAATGGCCAAGTTTGCCATTTTATCCATAATAATTATACCCATATCGTTCACATACATTGACAGTATCTGCGATTTGGATGTTTTCTAGAAACGATTTTTTTCAAATCAGTTGAGTGATAAGGATCATTGTCAATAACTTCAATTGAGCGCGAAAATGGTATACTGATAAATTGAGCTCACGAAAACAAACCTCCCCCCCCCTTGATTGTATCACCTGTGAAACGTTCACAATCAGATTTGAATTCACATCAAATTTTCACATTACTGAAATAATTGAGATTGACAGAATAATTGCTCACAAAAAAACGATACTCTCGAAAAAATATAATCTTGTGTTTGATGGCTAGAAGAAAAAAAAGGTGGATAGCATTAGAAATGTTGAAACTCGCTCTAAAATGAAAGAGGGAAAAACCTTGGTTGCCCTTTCATCTTCTTGGAAGGTCTTGTCGCAATTAGAGAAATTTTGCAGAAGTTGACATTTTTCAGACGGCATGACGTACCATTTTCTTGCATTAGTACGGGATTGGGAAACGCAGACCATGATGAAGCAAAGAGAACGCCTGTTGGGTGCTTGTTTACATTAAACCCGCTTTTAATAATTAAATATGTTAATGTTTTTTTGAAGAAATTCACTGGTGTCACAAAATTTGCCTGCTTCCCTTTCCTAGTTTCATTTCAATGTTCAAAAACGCTTCTATGGTATTAAGTTCATTTTACGTAAGTGATGTGAGAAAAACTGTTTCTTTATTTGTAGAAAATAGGATAAATCTATGTATTATGCGATAACAAAAAATCAAAATAATTTTTGAAGACATTCTGCGCTAACATTACAATTGATTTTTACTTCCATTTTTAGAAACGGAATCTCCACATTCTCCATTTTGTAATCATAAATCATTTGATGAGGCTCCAAAACTCAGAATTTACAAGTAGGTATATTATGTCTCGTATCAATAGCCTAAATCAAAATTTTCTCACGAAAACAGTATATCAATGATGTCATGGGTGTGATTCCCAGCTTCTCATAATTGTACACCCATTTGTATTTTCGTCTTGGAGACATCCATTGTTTTGTGCTCAAATCACAACCCTCGCATTTTCCGAAGAGTGATAGCTGTAACTGGTTAAAGATTCAAGTCTGACTCATTTATAAATACAACTGACACTGGTTTCTCTCATTTATTATCGACGCGGATGCTGTTTCTCCCGAATGGTTCCCTATTTTTTTTGTGACCCCTTTCCTGTTGATCCAGTGCTCGCAGTTTATTATTAATTTCAAGTTCTAGCTACTCAGATATCAATTCGAAATTCATCACCTCACCAACTTTGATTTTTCAACTATATCTTCTCCTCCAATCTCACTAGCTCCATTTATAGCGCCAAAAACCAAAAATGATCAGGATGTAATCGAAAAATCTGGATGAAAAGGGGAGAAAAGGCAACGGCAGAAAAAAGAAAATAAATTAGCTCTTCCGGACTTTTATGCCCTCTGATTCTAGTCTCGCTTTTTTGATTGCATCAATTGTTGTTTTTTCTGACGTTTCTGGAAACTAGGTTGCCTACATTTTCATAGATATTTCTGGTTGAGGTTAGAAACAAGGAAATGCTCGTTTGTCATCTAGTTTCCTGAGCGTTCTCATATCTTTCCTCTCATCTCAAAAATATCTCAAAAAAAGGTAATTTTTCTGTGTCACCCTTCAATGACAACTGGTTGACATCAAAATCGACTTGTCTGAACTATTTGCCTCCATTTTCCCAGGCTTTAATCCTGCAAGGAATGCGTAGAAGGAATTGGAATAAAAAGAAGTATCCAGGAATATAGTTCATTTTCCTCGATGAGCCAGCTTTTACTTCCTCTGTTCTTCTTCGTCCGTCCTCAGTTTAAGCACCCACTTTTCTACTATTTTATGAGTTGACTCTGGATGTGGAGCGACTAGAGACATTGCCTCCAACGGGACGACGGGACATGCACTTTACCCGAAGTTTTCCCAGCTTCGCTTTTTGTCATCGCTGAGAAGTAGAGCGGTTTTTTAACGATTCAACATGTGTTTTAGTTGTTGTTTTTTCTTTTGTTTCTGTTGTTCATTTTGACGTGTTTCTTCCTGAAAATGAATAGTGAAAAAAAAGTATTTCTTTCCGGTCTCTAGTTATGATTTTTGAGACTTGTCGGGGCTTCCGTCAGGGAGGAAGCTAAGGCAAGGACCCCGAGCAGATAATGAAATAAATACATATAGCTGCTTCGAATCAAGAAGATGATTTTCTCACATTACTCACGGCTTCACATCCTCTGCCTTCGTTTCCTCTTATAAATCGCAACCAGTTCGTTTTTAAACTTCATCTTTTATTTTTATTAAATACAAACTTGTTGTTCTGAATGCATTGATTCTCATTTAAGATCATCACCTCCATGATAGAGCATACCAACTGATTAATTGTTTTCTTGTTTTTAAGAAAAAATAGGATTTAAGAAAAAAATAGGATTATTTATGAATTGAGGGAGATATCAAAAAGAAAAGCAAAGAAATAGATACAAAGGAGGGAATCTATGATTTGACCACCATCCCAAATCTTCAATTATTTTCGTTTTTTTCACCGGTAGTCATGGCGAAGGAATTTCTAGTCGTGCAGACTTTTTTTCTGAGAGGAGACGTACATATTTTCAATTTTTGGTGTGCGAATTTTCTTTTTCTTTTTTCTATAGAATCCTCAATCTGTACCCGGTAAAAAACATTTTCAGAAAAAGGGGTGTGAGAAACTCTTTTTTTTTCCGAGTCATTCTTTGTATAAGGTTTCTTTTACGAAAGTTGCAAAACATTCCTAATTAGGAAATGCATTTATAGCTTGTCATGTTGACCTTGTTGAGAGGACGGTGATTTATCGGATGGAAAATCATTACTTCATTCTCATTAGCCCAGTATCAACCAATCCTAACATCATTTTCTAAAAGATTTTCCAAATACTATAGTTTGTGATTGCAGGGAAGTAAAATAAATCTGTCTCATATCAAACTAAACCTTTGATAATCCCTGACACACACACATGCACACACACACACACACACACATACACACACACACACACACACACACACACACACACACACACACACACACACACACACACACACACACACACACACACACACACACACACACACACACACACACACACACACATATTCAATTTTCTTTCTTAACATTAACGTTATCTATGACGTTAGACGGATTATTTTTTTTGACAAGATGTTTCTCACAATCCTATTTTTATTTTCTTCAGGGGGTATGTAGACGGGATGAACTTTGTGATAATGAAATGACGCTAGCTCTTTTGATTCTTGTATTCTATAGGACACAGACTCTTTTTTTTGAACATCATTAGCATTCGTTCGTGCTTATTGTTTTTACAGTGCACTAATATCTTTTCAAAATTATAGAAAAATTACATCTTTGTTCATTTCATATTGTATTATTGATCCCTCCAAAAATGTGTCTGTTTTTCTGCAAACACACGTGTGTCATCATTATTGTTAAACGAGAACCAAATATTCTTGTTCATTTTCTTGTTTATTTCAGTCTCTCTCTCCATCTCTTTTCCCTCATTTCTTTCTTCGTTTCCGACCTTACTTGGATTACTGACGACACATCTTTACATTGAAATATTGTGTTAGCGAGATAAATCGCAAAATATGAAAACTCCGGAAAATTGATGAAAAAGTGTATATGTAAATGTGTCACATGGTGTTTTTAATCCATAGACGTGATATTAAATAAAACATCTCCCCAACACCAAGAGTTCGTCTATCAAGATGTGCGTAATAGTTGTACCAGTTTAAGTTGATTGCCTTTCGCATCTTTTGGGACCAAGTTGATTTGGTAATTTATGGTTTGGCATATGAGGCATCTTGAGGCAGTATAAAAAAAAGAAAACCACTTTCCACTGCCAGCATATTTGGAGTGGTTATCAGCTCTCGGTGGAGCCATCCGGTGTTATTTATTCATCATCAGTTCTGGAATATTTGACGCGTTTTTCTAGCCACGATTCTTATCAACACGAAGTACTTAAATTATTTTATTGATTAATGAGAATGACAAATTTTTAGTAGAACTCTTTTGTGATATTTTTAACTAGAAATGGAACATGTACATATAGTAACGCCTAAATAACGGTTCCTATTTTTCGTGTAACGTTTCTGAAAAATCGTTCTAAAAGTTTGATATTCGACTTCATCTGCAAAACCCGTGCAGTTCTGAAAATCGGAAATCCAGTTCAATTTCATCTGAATATCCAAATAGTCGTCGTTTCAAGCATTTATCAAACCGGATATCCGCTGAACGATTTTTTTTTCAAATTTCTCAGCATATCGAAAAAGGTCATTTCGTCGATCACGATTGCATTGAAAATAAAGATAAACTGGAGAGTTTCGTACGGTTTTTTCAATATGAAGTTTTATTTCAAAGCCTGCTGTCTCGTGTTTTTACAACTTGTAAAATTATGTTTGCTAGTTTTTGTGATATCAGTAATTTTTGGAATTTTACTATAAACAGTATGTTTTTACTATAAACAGTATGTTTTTTATGTCTCCTATGAACAGTTCTCAGTATTCATTGTAAAGCCTGTAAAAAAAAAGCCTTCACACTGTAAAATTTGAGTTAATTTAATTCAGATCCTGTAAAAGATGTCAAACTGGTGTCAACTGAAAAAAAAACCATTAATAATACTATATTTTGCAAATTTTAAACCGAGATAAATTGGCTAAACGTTGATGGTATGAAGACCCTTCCATTACATTTTTATTGCAAACTACCTCATTTAATACACATTGGTCTATCTTTTACAAAAATACATCGATTCAAACTTCGCCAACAGGAAATTACCTGAATTTAATTTCCGAGTCATTTTCATTTTGAAACCGGATATCCGTTTTACGATTTTCACTTTTTCAGGTTTCCGCCCATTCAGAAGTTCCTATAAATTTTCTACTGTACATCCGGGATTCTCATTCTTGAACTCATCCACCAAAACGGAATTCGTTCTTTTCTCTTGTTTTCAGTTCGTTTCTTATGTTATTCTTTGAAACGAAAAACACCTAGAGCAACAGTGGAATTACATCTTCTCGACGGAAGCGAGCTGTAATTTTTGAATCCACGTTTCCACTTTCTTTCACAATTTCACTCCATTTGACTCCTTTTTTCTTTCGTTTTCCCCTTTCTTCTAGAAGAACACACTGATTTTCGATTTTCATTCTGTTCAATAGAAGAATGCTATTTTTGTCCAATTTCGAAAAAATAGGTTTGGTCTTGGATTCGCTAGTACCGCAACGTGCTTCATTTTCATTCAAAGTCCATGTTTGGATTTCTATAGAGAATAGTGTACCTCTTTTTTGGCTGAGGGAAAATGACGCTATATGAGAACCGAAAAGCTTTTGAAGTGGAGTAGGCCCGTTTTGAATTACTTTCAGGTAGTTGTGTACATATTAATGACTCGGATATAACATCCAGTTCATTGTCTAGGTTATTGAAATTCACATTTTTTTTCGTTTTCGATTTCTAGGTATTAATAAAATATAACTTTATGGAATCAAAGTCTTTGAGTATTCCAGTTGTCGAATTTTTTACCTGAAAATTTAAAAGTCTGTTTTGAAAAACAGACTGATGATATTGCAAAAAATACGTAGTACAGTTGCTTGGGTCCTCAGAAATCACGAAAAGTGAGCTTGAAAAATAAAAACAGCAATTTGCTTCAAGATATCATTACTAATCCTATAACTTTACTGACAAATTAATACAATTTTATCTAATTGACCTCTTGCAACTTCCCGTTTCAAATAGTCATTGATTTCAAGAACTTTCTTCTCTTCCCTTCGTTTCTCAATAATCTCAACAATTCCGCAAAAAAATCTAACCTAATTTCGTTTCCAGAACTGATCGGGATAGAACAACACAAAGGACACGGCTCTCACAGCATAGACTTATCAACTATGCAAATGGAGGTAATCGTAATTTGATCACTTCTCCCCCTTTTTTCCTCAACAATTCTCATTTCTGTCCAAAAGACGGAAAATCTCACTCTAACTCTCACACACTCACACTAGCAAGGAGCAGCAGCAGGCAACTGAAGCCGTAGTGGAGCTCTTGAGTCCATACTCGAATCAGACTTTTGTCTCCACAGCCAAAAATTCCATTTTCTCGAGTTTCCTTGATTTGGCTCCCTGCCAGCTAATTTCTTATATACCGTGTTCTTGTTTCGTTGTGTGCTTAGTTTTTTCTTTCCATTTTCTCCTTTTTCCGTCTCCTTTACAAAATGAGAGAAGGTAGCTGGTGTAGAAATATATTCACGCCAAGAGAAAAAAAACACTGAATCAGTTAGTGTCTCAAGTTTATCAACTCTCTCTCTCTCTCTCTCTCTCTCTTTCTCTCTCTCTCTTAGATCACATTTTTTTCTGACGCCCTCTAAGTCTGGTGTTTTTCATTTTCAGCCGGATCTCTCTTACTCTGATGTTATCACTGGTAGCACGGACTTAGAAATGGAACGACCCAATTCACGACTACATTGTCATCCGGAAATTACTTACAAGTGTACTGTACAACCATATTTCTCACTTCATACTCATACTCCGACGGCATACAATAATAATACAACCAGACATCGACCAAGCCTTGGGAGTGAGTTGTTATATTTTTCTAAGAATGTTTACTGATTCAATTTCTATTAAAAATGTTGTGAACGAACTAGCCCAAAAATTTCATAATTTCCCCTTTCCAACGATTATAAGCTTTCAAGTTTTTGTTTTTTGTTGATATCAGGGTTACTCGTAATATTGGTTTGCGCTGAACAAAAAATTACTTAATTAGTTTTTTTCTTTTAACTTGATCCGCTTCACATGAAACTTCTCAGAAGCTAACGAAAAATTGAGGTTTTCAATACTTATCGATATAAAAATTCGAAATCAGTATGGAAATTGTATTATCTTCTTCCAGTTTCTCCAAACCAAAAACAACACAGATTTTACTAAAAAATCAAATAAACAAACACCCGATTCCAGGAATTTTTAGTGCTATAATTCTTATCTTGTTTTGAACTGATCAAATCAGGAGATACATATGAATGTTGCCTTGTTCTTTAATCATTTCTGGGAAAAAATTTAATTTTACGCTAACATGAGTAACGTTTTGCTCTCCAAGAAAGCAAAAGTTATCAAACAATTGGAAAATCAAAGAATATATAAATTCGTCACTTTCTTTTCCAGCACTTCAAACAGCTGATACACTTCATGCAAGGCGATTTCTTAGCGATAAACGTCGGAGTTACAGGAATCGAAGTCTTGTGAGTACTTTACGATTATCTTTGCAAACTACAATTGAGTGCATTCGAGTTGAAAATCCAAATTTCGAGAGTTGAGCAAGAACCTAAAAATAGCGACTGACGCTTTGTTTTTCTGTCCATAAAAACACAAAGTGGACGACGACAAAAACGTCTGTTTTTTTAATGGATGATGTCGAAATGGAGTGGGTGAACGTGCCGTAATGGCAAAAATAGATTCTGTAATTATAGCGAAAAAGGTGTGGCTAGACGAGAAAGAGGTTTGGCTTTTTCTTTTTCGTGTATGACAGACTCCTAATAATATTTTCTTATATTCTCAACTAATTTCATCAAAATCCAATGGCAGAAAGCTCGTAGAGCAAAGATATTTCTTTCTTGTTACTACTAAAATTTAGTTTCTCCTTTCATACATAATGAATCAAAAATCGTTAGAATGCGCATCTCCGGTATTTCTCAAATTTTCAAATATTTATCAATAAAACTTTTTTTTAGGGTCCCACAATTGCATCGGCTCCATCTGTGGAGCAGGAGGATTATCGAACACCGCGACCTTCATTTGATAGCAATGGATACGCTGGAAAAAGTTTTGACTTTAGCAGCGCCCACGCAGGACTCACAACCAGCGACTCGAACCCGCTTGTTAAGGTAAAAAGTTTTGTGTTTTTTATTTTACTAGGTAACTCGATACGACGAAGATGTGCAATGTTCTCGATTTCCCGTTCAAAACGGTCGGAAGTAAAAAAAACCGAAAGTACTCTCAAAAGGATTGGTTTACAACTTTCATGCAGAACTTTTTGGTTTTTTTTTGTTCTTTGGATTACCGCAAAACACAAAAGATCATCACTATAATTTCCAGGTATCTGCTGATTTCCTACGGCTAAACGGAAGTCGTCAGCAGTTCAAAAATCTGCTGTCTGCGCGGAAAAAATTGGGCTCCCTTCCGCCTGCGTACACGAGAATTGACTTCAGTCGAGAGTCACTGGATTCACACTCTGGTGAGTTTGGGAAGGAATGCAACTACAATATATGGGGATGTGTTTATAAGGAAAAGTGAGATGGTACGGATGATATAGATACAAATTTTTGGAGGTATAAAATATGTAGAGGTCTAGACACGATATTTTATACAAATCATTTCTCAAAGAGATCGCTAGAAAAGTAAATCTATGTTAATTTTTGGAAATTCCTGTGAGGATGATCAATACAGTAAGTTTGACTTTTAAGGAAATTTTAAATTTGCGAAATAAACAAGCTGGCACCTTGCACAAAAGATATACATTTTGTTTAAAAATTCTGATTTTTTAAAACACACGGGAATTATAAAAATTATGTAGGGAATCAGGGATGGGCGGGGAATTTTGAATTCCGAAAATGCCGAAAAAAAACAGAGCATTTTCGGAATGAAATTCCGACCCAAACGTTTCCAAACCTTTTTTAGGAGCTAAAATGGGTTGTACTACGGAATGTCGAATACAAACTCAAAAAGTTTCCTTGCGAATCTTCAGCGGAATTACTTCTATTGATTTTTGCGTTTCTGAAATCTATTCGTCAATATATTTTAAATTTTTGGCAATTTTTTGATGAGAAAGCGGGATCCCGAAATTCCGAGATTAATCGGAATATTCTGAAATTTCTAAATTTTAAAATTCTGTGCATTTCGGAATGTCGAAAAAATCGAGAAAACCATTCGTAACATTCTTGCTGAAAGTCTATAGTTTAATGTATATTTTTCAGCTCGCGCCCTCTCGAATCACCATGGTCCGGTGATTACTGTAGAAGACACTGGATCTCAACTACGAATCAATAATATCAAGCCAAGTGTCAATCAGCACCTACTGGAAACGTCATGTTCGTTTGAGAAAAGTGAGTTTCCGATACAAACTTGATTTTTTGATTTTCGTTATCAGCTTTCCCAGTACGTTGAACCCAATTTTCTAAAATAGATCAGGAAGTAAAATCTAACCCGACAAAATCCACACCCACACAACCACCTAAGAATCAATTGGATTTTGTGCTGAAAATCGTGTTCTCTCTCGTATTCCCAAAAACAGCTTGTCAAGGAAATATGTTCTAAGCAAATTCACGTACGCCTTTTGTAAAAACAAATGAGGATCGAGATGTCTGCAAATGAGATTTCTTAAAACATTCGCCTTTGCTTCGTTGATGTCTGTTCTACTATACACACAATGACTCCATTCTGACCCTCTTCTCGTGATTTTGATGGTCCCTTCTTTTGATCTCCCAGTCATTGCTCATTCGCGAATTTTTATTAAACTCTGGAATTCACTCAAAAGTGCAAGCACAATTTCGTTCGACGCATTTGAAAAGGACGGCACTGACAATGTTACGACAACAGGTTACAACTACATTTTTGTTTTCATTATGATAGTGAATTATTCACAAGACATGGGTGGTGGATCGTTAGTTAGTTATTAGTAGTCAAATTGACATCATAGAGACAAAGCAACGTTTTTTTTCCATGAAAGCATACGAACTGGTTTCAAATTTCCGGTAGAAAGCCAGGTAGTTACACTTTTCTCATTTCCCACTACGCCCTCAAAATCTATCTTTTTATTTTTGATACAACTTTTTGAATAACTCCATCATTTCGAAAAACTTCATCATGAGACATGCGCGCTCTGATCCTTCAGATTTTTGGAAAAAGAGAAAAATCTTGCAAGAAGGTAAATCATGGAAAAAATTCTGTGAGCTACCGTAATCCAAAAATGAAACATTTTTCAGCTATGGTGACCCAATGCGAACGGAATGGATCGGTCACGTCACATAATACGAGTTCCGCTTTTCAACGAAATAACAGCAGGTAATTTTCAAATTCTTCCCAGATTTTTGTTTTCTTCTATTTTCCGATTTTCCCATGAGTGGTATATCCAGATCTCATTCTTTTTTTTCTTATGACATTTTGGAGAATGTTCTGCAAAAATAAGCTCGATTCCGAGAGCTATTCTTCAGTGTCGAATTACAGATATGGAGTCCCTATTGATAGCATTGCGGTTAAACAAGTCTACCGGGTTCGATCGGAACGGTTAATCAATCGGTGAGTGTATTTTTGTATTGATTGGCAGAGCTTTTGCGACCCCTTATACAAGCTAAAAATGATGCTTCCAACTTGTCACCGGAAATTTAACAGGAAATCATTTTCCACAAAAAGTGAGATATTCAATTTCCGGGAGCTCGATCCAGAAGAAGGGCTTAGAGCTTCATTGCAAACCTTCCAACTCACCTCACTCTGAATATGCCCCAAGTAGATGTATCTTATAAACAACTCGCATCTTCATCAAATGTTCCTCTTCCCAATTCCAGAGTTCGGATTACGGATAGATCGCTATATTCGGCACTGTTCGGTGTTATTCTCATGCTGATAGAATCGGAATTAACCGCTGAACGTGTTTATGGTGTCTCTAAGGATCATTGGATTTCTCAATCTCTCCGGGTCGGAGTTGCTTTTTCTACTATCATTTTGCTCTTCCATATTGTACTCTACCATTTGAATGATATCACGGTACGGCGTAACAAAAAAAGGAAGAAATTTGAAACTTCGGGTTTTAGCTCGAGTTAGTGGACTGTGGAGCAGATGATTGGCGGGTGGTGGTCACTACAGAAAGGGTTATTCAGTTTTGTGCGGAATTTGTGTGTTGTGCCATCTGCCCATTGCCAGGTAAGGATACAATTCTGCAAGAATAAAATGTTGATTGAACTCTTTCAGGAAGTGGAGAAATGAAATGGACGTTTATCGAACCCTCGCTGCACAAGGACGGGACATCGGAAGGGCGAACCATCTCAACTCGAAGTGTAGAAGTGCCAGTTGACATCATTCTGTCATGTCTGATGCTTTGCCGATCGTATTTGTTTGCAAGATTCATGGTTCTACACAGCAAGCAATTCCAGGTTTTTATTTCATTACTCTGAAAGACTAACTACAAAAAAAAACTCATTTAGGATGCTTCCACTAGAACTCTAGCCGCGTTGAATCGAATCCAAGTCAACTTTTCTTTTGTGATCAAAACCTCGCTTGACCAACAACCAGTCTTATTTCTTACCTCTTTCACTTTCATTTTCTGGATCATCATGTCCTGGATGTTTGTTCAGTGCGAGAGATATGGATTCTCTGAGAAGAACCCCCAATCAATTTTGTATTCGAACTCCCTCTGGTTCATCGCAATCACATTCATGCTTAATGGATATGGTGATATTGTGCCACAAACCAATGCAGGCAGATTCATTGCAATTTTCGTTGGAGTAGTGGTGAGAAAATAATTTTTTGATCTCAGTACCCTGAAAAAAGCGCACTTTTTAAAATAATACAATTTTATAGGGAGCCGTGATTTCCTCAATTCTCATCGCGGTCATATCCAGAAATATACTTCTTTCTCAAGGGCAACGCAACGTGAACAACTTTATGTACGACAGCAAATTATCCAGAGAGCACAAGGAAGCAGCGGCGCGGGTTCTACAGCATACATGGCACATTCACAAGTGTTTGCAAGGCGGCGAAGGTGGTAATCGCCGTCTGCGGACATATCAGAGGAAGTTTTTGAAAGCGATTCACAGGTGAGACTATTTCAGATAGAGCTTCCTATTTTTAATAGGTGTGGTTTAGGTTCCGTGCAGTCAAGAGTGAGATGCGAGAGTTTTCTGAGAACAATGCACAAAACAATCCGCAAATGACAAGACTGGTGACAGATATGCACACTTCTATGCAGAGATTATTGAATGTTCAGGAAGAGATGAGAATGCAAATTGAGGTTTGTAATCCGTTAAACCTGGAAGAGAAGGGCACCCAGACTATCAAGTCTGAGCTTACATAATTATCACGACTGTTATGCAAGATATCAAATGTGTGTCAACTGAAAAAGCACTTCTGATATTGTGATGAACAATTTATCAGTTGTCAAACAAAAAAAACTAGCCCAAAATTGAAAATTGCGGAGCTCTTCTATATCAGGTTTCATCCTAATACTAAACAGTATTTCTTCAACATTTTTGATTTATAGGTTCTTCAACAAAGCGTCCGCAATCACTACCATCACTCGACTCCAAACGTTCCCCAACTTCAAGGTACTACAAAAAATTTCTGACTCACTTTTTCGTTTTTTTCTATCGATAATTTCTTTTTTCAAGGTCTAACTTCCTCTTCACATCCATCTGAGCGTCACGACAGTCGCTACTAACCAAATCGTTGTTCAATTTCTTCCATTCACAATCTTTTATTCACAATCCACATAATATCAAAAGCCACACAAACCCATCTCACATTGTATAATACTTCCCGATTGAAAACCAAAACAAAACATTTCGTGTATTTTTTATTGAAAAGAAACAAAAAGAGAAAATTAAATAAATATAAATTAATAATGACTTGTACTCAAGTTGCACTTTGCATATATTGATTCCTGAAAAATAGTTATTTTCTGATAATTTATTCAAATATCAACAAACCAGAGTTTAGTCAGTGTGGTTTGCCATTTTTTGAAATGTGGCATTAGTTTAGCTACTTCAGCTTCGTTTTGTGGTTGCTTCAGCACTTCACTCACTCGTTTAGCGAATGAATTGACCACAGGGTGGATATCTCCTGATAAATCTAAAAATACAATTATTTGTGATACTGTAACAAATTACATACCAGGCAACTCAATGTAGTTTGTATTTTTCTTGATTTTCAATCCAAGCGGTGGTAGGTTTTCCTGAGTGTCAAAAATGCCATCTTCTGATGTTGAGGGAGTTTCTTGAAATCAAAATTATTCACATGTCAAAAGTTTTCGTAGTCTCCTACCAGCTGTTAAGTCAACTGTATAGAACATAGAAGTAGTTGTTGAATCAGAGGTCGCAGTTGAAGCTTCAGGTTTTGGGGTAGTTTTCGTAGTTGGAACCACTGTTGGATCCCGAATATAGTTTGAAGAGAGCGAGTTGGCAGAGGAGAATAGAGTTTCAGCCGGTTTCCGTACAACTTGCTCTAATGAGTTTTCAAACTGTGGCAGGCGCTCTGCCGCCTGACCTTCTCCATTAGTTTCATATTTAGTAAAGCAATCCGCAGCATTTTTCATATCTTGTGTGATCCTGAAACTTGCTGAATACTGTGAGAACTCTATGTTGTTCTTTGTACCGGAAAAGTTTCCCATGACCAGGAATCACATAGTCCGCATAACAAATTACTTTATTCCGACTAATCTTGCCAATAATTGGGTTCCATGCTTCTTGAAACCAGATACCCGCTGCCTCGTTGGCGTCTTCTTCGTTGTAGAACAGGTCACATGAAAAAAAAATCATTTGTTTGTGAAAGAAATTGACTGAAGGGTGCTTACCAGCGACTGCAATTATTCCGCAACATGAGACGTTGTGCACCATAACGGTCACATCCTGAGCAGTATGACCAGGGGTGTTCCAGAGTTGAACATTTGCTGTTAACTGCATTATGTCTTTCTGGAAAATGATTGTTTCGAGTTTTACAAAAGCACATAGAAAAACTCAGAAATCGTTGCCTCTATAATTTTAGCTCAATTGAAGTCATTTCTTTGATTATAATGTCCACCTAGAAATCATTACCGTATTTTCTGTAAAAGATATCAAAAAGTGGTCAACTGACAAAATATTTACGAAGATTGAAAAAATATTTTTTCTGTTAATCACTTCTTAATATTTTTTACGAGAGCCGCGATAGATTGACGGTTTGGGAAGCGTTATACTATAGTCTTCACGGTATCATGGTTTCGATGAGCACTCTGGTAACCAATGTAAAAGTTTTTTAAAATCTTATCCTTTTTACAAACCGTGTGCAATTCTGTTGATATAAAATTGGTGTCCGAATACTCATAACTGCCAAAAAAGTGTCTCGCATTCGGAAAGAAGTTTCCTTGTCCAAAGTGATCAGGATGACCATGTGTGGTCACCACGTATTGTATTTCACCGGGAGCGATGTTCCTAGACGCGATGCCTTTCAACATCAGCTCCTTCGAATGCACATCCGTCGCGGATGGTGAATCAACAACAATGTAATGACCGCCATCGTATACCATGCTCACTGATGCTGTCAAGTTCATACCCTCAAACGGAAAACGTCAATTAGGAGGTAAAGAGGAAGTGTCTAACAAGTCATCTAATTTTGGTTTGACTCACATGCTGAACTCGTTTCAGACTTCCTTCAACTAATTGCTGCACGTACGTTGGATTCTGTTTTTGTGCGGGCTCAATGTAGAACTGAAATTAATTATCAGATTTTTTACTTTTTTTTCAGATTTCTATGGGGGTCGACTTCACATTTCCAGGATTCTGGTTGTTTGACACTATTTGGGATTGCATACCGATTGATAAGACGGCGATACATACACTGATAACTATATGTGGTATAGTAATAAAATCGATTACCTGAATTGTTCTACTGCTTACATAACCGATGCAAAGTAGATAAAATGAAAGTATCATAATAAATAATTATCCGAACCAAAAAATTAAGGTCCGGTCGAAAGGTGTTGTTCGTTAAAAAGAGAAGTGAATGCCAACTAACGTAATCACACAAGAGCAGGCGAGAGGCTGTGCCACTTTTCCAAGGTTAAAGCTTCTGCCGCCGGCCCCTCTTTGTCCCCCCAGCGACCGCATTAGTTTTGTCCGGAATACCGAACAAGCATTGTGTACGCGCATTGAGCATTGTCTTTTGCGTCTTCAAACAATACAACTGATACACACAAAATGGCCATGCTTCTGTCCAAACTCCGCCGTTTTTTATTCACTCTTCTTTAGCACCAATTTTTTTTCTATCTTGTTTCTTCCGTGGCGCTGACCAACAACCTACTAAGCACCAAGAGCAGAAACCATAGTTTGTTGTGAATTTTTGAATCTGTTCATTGTGAAGTGAGAAAAGAGGAATTGATGATAAACTATAAATTGGAAATAAATGGTGAAATAAATTATGAAGTTTTGTGATGTTCGTCTTGGAAGCAACAGAAGGAGATAATAACCATAACGATTGCCAAAGCAATCATACCACCTGAAATTCAATTCATTTACAAATAATATTGATTCAGTTCTCTACTTACTTCCAACACCAACGGCTACCCAACAAATTGTATCCACAAGATTCACAGGATCGAATAGCTGTGAGTTCAACTGGTCTATCGTGCCCTGATCCATATAGAAAGACTCATTCACCCAAGCCAATGGGTAGGCCCCAGGTCTCATTACTGAATAAGACCTGATATGTTTGTATTGGTTCACGAGCATATTGATTTGAAGACGCTTTTGAGCTTGAAGAACTGTTCCGGTGTTCTGAATATTGATTTTCATAAAGTTTCATATTTTCCAATTTTCAAGCTCACGGGTTCTATATCCAACATAGTTTCGTCTTCATCGTAGGTTGGTTTGAATCGTGGGACAAATCTGGACACCATTCGGTCAGCTTGGTAGAAATGTGGTTTGGACATGATGATCGGGCCACCGGTACATCCACTGATATCCAACAATCCGCTTGGGAGGCAAGCACTTTGTGGGGGATACTCGTAGGCTCCATATTTTAATGGAACGCAGAATCTCAAAAATGATTATATAAAAGAATATAATATTTTTGTCTCACCCGCAATTTTCGTCCAAAGTGTAGTCAAACTGAGTGGGTGGCATAATAAAACGGTACCCTTTGAATCCTCGGACAGTCACTTCTCGGTCAAAAACAAAGTTGATTGATCTACAAACATCAGAAACAAATGCAGGCAAGATATCGGTTTTGTCTACGAAGTTTTTGAAGAAATCACCGTCTGAATTGATTTTTTAAAAGAAATTCTGAACCATGAAACTATCTTACTAGTTCCAACAATCTTTAATGCAGATGTGGGATCTTTGCAATAGGTCTTGTTTGCGTAGGGCCACCACATCGGAGGTAATGTACTACCAATACTGTTGAACATAGAATCATTCGAAATACTTCTGAATTCTGTCATGAAACCAGCTTTCAATGGATCCGTTTTTCCAGTTAGAACTGTGTTGATAACATCACTAGTTCCATTCAAGGGCTGAAAAATTAATTCTTGTCGTTTTTCTCTAATTAACTATTCACATTCAATTGAATCGGAGGGTTTGGAAGCGGGTTTGGCGGTGTGTCAAAAATGAAATGAAACATTCCCAATGCAGTGTTCACAAATTTGTCAACAAATGGAGTCTTGTAACCAGAGAACAACAACTCGTCAACAGTCTGAAAATCAATATGAACCTGCAATAAAAACAGTACTATACTTTACCACAGTGACAAACGGAGAGACGCCGAACAGACTAATCAGAGTTCCGATTTCTCCTTCGATAGTTGCAGCTAGATTCTGACAGGCTATGGTAGCATTGGCTCTCTTCTATAACATTTCGTATTTTTTCGAATCATGAGAAATAAGAATTACTTTCATAAGCGCATGACACAGCTGGACGGCTATTGGGTTTTTCAAAATAGCTTCAACCGTTGAGTCAATAGTGTCAATTCCCACTTGGAATCCCATGTCGGGAATCAACACTTTATCTTTGTAAGGGTCGCATCCTGCAAAATTATGTTATTGATCTCCGAAAAAAGAAACATTAAACCTGGACACGACTTGTTTGCATTGAAAACAAAAGTCTGAATTTGACGAAATTCCATAAATTCTCCATTTGCACTGAAGTTCACCTTATCCATGGTGATGATCTCACTGAAATTTTTTTCTGAATGCCATTTTTCGTTTTCCAATTTCAACTCACTCATAAGCATAGGGACCTTTTTCCCGAACATCAGGATACAGTGCTCTATTCATAATTCCAATTGTATTTGTGTAATCGTAAACCCAATATTGCATAGTAGAAATATATTTGGAATGTACCCAACTGTCGGTGAATGAGTTTAAAGTTCCATCGTCATTGGTTCCTAACACTTTTCCCTAAAATTCTTTTCTCAAATCACAACAATCTGTTTCAATAACTCACGTCGTTAATTTGATTGTGAACAATGTTTGGGAAGACTCCAAGGACCATAACCAACCCTGCAACTAGAAGAAGGATGCCGACCACTAAAATAATTGCCGCCGACACCCGACATATGCATGATCTGGAGGCCATTTTACCCAGTTATCTGAAAGTTTGGTTTAAAATACCAGATTATTTTGATGCTCTAGAAAATTGTGAATCGAAACCTATAAAACAGAAAAACGAGAGCAACTTTCTCCTCCTAACCGTCAGGTTATCTATGTGCTCGGTGGTGGAAAAGAGGGAGTTTATAGCTTTCAGTCGATAGACTGCAGTTTTCTGACCGAACAACAGATAAGGCTACGCTCGCGTTGGTTTTCTCCCTCTTATTATCAATTGCCAACTGGGACAGTGTTACGGGTGGAAGAAAAATGCCGGAATCACGATGTACATGTGCGACGGCAGTTTCTTTCAATCACGAAATGGGTGGAAAAACTGAACACGAAAAATGTTTTGATTATTTCTCTTGAAAAAGAAATTTTAAATGATCCCGCTGATATGTCATTTACGGAAAAACTGAAGTGCGTTTTCTGGTTGGAAATTTTTTTCAGAAACGTTTATACTAGAAAAAAGTATTTATATTAGAAAAACAGTTTTCAACCACTAAATGAAATATTTTGACCACTTTTTATTTAAACATTTAATGGAGCAGAACTTTAACCGTCCACTGAATTAAACCTCCAACCTCATTAATTTTATAAAAAAGCTACTGCCATATTTCTTGTGTTCAATTTTTCTACCCATTTCGTGATTGAAGAAGTTGCCCTCGCACATGCATATCGTTATTCCTGCATTTTTCCTTAGTAGCAGTGTCTCAGTTGGCAACCCGTAGCAACTGATAATGGAAAGGAAAAATCGTTGGTAACTGACTTTTTTTTAACTTTTCTCACCTTTCTGGCAGAATTCCATTTCTTCGACACAGGTTTTTTACGACGTCGTCCACAAAACTGATCCAACTTACTGATGGCACGGTTGACATGAGAATTGAATATTTCCGTTTGTTCTTTTTCATAGGAATTTTTGAAAATTAAAAAATGAAGAAAACAATTATTTAGATAATGCAGCATAAAAGAGATCATCAAAAAAGAGATCAAAAACTAACAGTAGATCGGATAGGTATACATATTAAATATGTATTATATTTGAAAATCAAGTAGAACAGTCGATTAAATTTTGATGATGAATTCTTTAATTTTGTTTAGACTTCTAGAATTTTTTCGGTGTAATCTGGAAACCGTGAGATTTCAAATATTATTCTCAATGGTTTTTCGAATGATTCCAAATAACATGCACTTTATTGGTAGTTGTACTAATATTACAGAAAATCATAATATTACATGACAAATGACAAATTGAATCGGATAACTAAACGTTATCACAATTCCAAGAAGGAACCGTTTTTCAAATTCATGTGGTCTAACAGTTGGGAAATCAAATATGTAAAGTATACTCTCCCGGCATTCTAGTTTGCAATAGCCAAGCTTCAGACATGTTGTATGATGATTTTCCTCTACAGCTTTGAATATAAGAAATTGTATCAGTGGTGCTGAGGTGATTGAGCATATGTTGAGCGATTCCCAGGTATCCTTCTCGTAGAATCATCTCAACACGAGTGACATCGTAGTGCGCCATCAGCTGAAATTAAGTATTTCGTTTTTGATTTTTTTTTCCTCCCTGAAACGCACCTCATCGAAGAGCCACAATTTGTCTCTAACGTAATGTATCGCATTTACGATTTGTTCTGAAAAAAGAAATGCATTTCAATAAAATAAAAGACGTGAAATTTCCATACCTTCTTCCGAGATATTTTTTAGGGCAACTTCCACAAAGAAACAGAATCTACGGTAAACTTCTGATTTGGACGTCTCTGGATTTTCTAAGAACATATAAATATATTTTGAAACGCTTTTAAATTAATATCACCTTCTGTTCCAATAAAGAAATATTGAAGGATCAAAGCTTCGAAATCCGAGTATCCATAAGATCTCTCATCCAGAACTGCTAGGAACATGAAATACTGACATAATCGTAAACCTCGTGCAACAATTTTGTAATAGTCGGTTATTACGTGCATTTTGGAACTGAGTTCTGACCCATAGTAGTCCTGCAATACACAAATAAATAGTAAAACTTGATTCAGTCACATACCCGTTGAATGTCATCGACTCTTTGCTCGAAGAACAAGTTTCGTAAAGTGATCTTGTGCTCAAACTTCACAGAATTGACGTAATAGTCCATGAATCCTTCGACTTCTTGCACTTCCACTGGCAGCGGATCTCCTTGAGCTCTCATCCCAAGCGCAGTGTGCACCAATTGTCGATAGCACTTTTGACGGTGCATCAGTTCCACTTGGTTCATATGGGCACGTCTCTCACCTTCAATTCTCTCAAACTCTTTATCAGCTTCAGCCTTTTTCTGCTTTCTGATTGCTTCAATTTCCTCTTGTGTGACTTTTGGACCTTTGTTGCATTTTTTGGGCTTTTTTCCTTTCTTTCCTTTTTTCTTCTTATGATTATTGGATGGCCGGATTCCATTGGAAGTTCTAAAACAACATTTTTCTTTAGAGGTATCAGTTTCCTATCTGCACTTACTGTTTATGGTTATCCGAACTCACACCAGCTGATGTATTGTGTTGCTCAGAGTTATCCGAATCTCTTTCTCCCTCATCTACTCCAGACTCAATCAGTTCCGCTCTTTTCTTTGCCCTGAAATCTCAGAATGCAGTCACTTCTCCCAATTCCGTCGTTTCTAACTCACCGAGTTCCACTGGAGCTACAACACTGTTGGGGCTCGTCTCCTTCCTCTTGCTCTTTAATGCTTTTTGCATTGAATTTCAAATCTATTAACCTTCGCAGTCGATTTCTCGTTTTGTCTAGAGCGTCGCGATCGCGACGGCTTCTGGATTTGACAGCAGCAGTCAATTCACGTACTAATCCAATGAGAACTTCTTTCTTTCTGAAAAAAGAAAAAGCATTTGGAAATTCGTATCTATGTATTGAAAAAATAAAAATTCTGTAAAGGCTCTAGAAGGTCAACACTGTCAAGTTTCAGCTCAATTATCTCAATTCCTATGAAAGACATCGAAAATGTGTCGACTATGAATTTTGTTCTCATATAATAATAAACCATTTATTAACCGGCAGTTTTTAAATCTTTGAGGGGAACCGAGAAAAATTGACTCAAATTTGAAAGTTAAGGGCCTTTTTATTACAGCTTTTACGGGGAGTCGTGCAGCGAAGTCGTGCAGTGCAGTGCAGTGCAAGTGTAGAGTCGGTTATATGTTTCCCTCTGATTTTGGTTTTCAACTTACCTTTTCTCAACTTGCTGATTCAATACCACGTATTCAACAATAGCATTGTCATTATGGCTACGCATTAGCTCTTCACACAATTCTTCATTCATCGAAACTGGTGATGAGCTGACTCCACTATCCGTGCCAGACGATACCTCCCCATCAGTCGACGTCTCGCTTACGATCGGTCGACTCCCATCTTCCTGCTCACCTTCTTGTCTATAATTATTATTTTCAGAAGCAATTACAAATGTGTTTTCATTACCCTGTACTATCGTTTCCACCAGGTTCATCCTCCTTTCCTCCACTTTGTTTGGTTGTTTGATCTCTGAAATCTCAATAATTAGACGACTACATTTCGACTAATCACTCACTTTGAATTCGCGTTAGTTTCCCTCTTGCGTAGGTCAGCGCCTATTACATTCTTGGCATGGTCGCATTGGCCGTCGCCTTCCGTTGGTTTTGATGTCTTCGTATCTACTCCATCAACTTGCGCAACTGGTTCGAATGCAATTGTACTCTCACTACCACGGACAGCATTTCGTGGCGGCGTAACTCTCGCATTTCTCGCATCGATTTGTTCGAAACGAGAAATCGGTCTGCCGTCGGCGGTGACTCGCTCGCGAATAGATAAAACATTTCGGAAGGCCGCTGGGTTACTTGCCGTTTTAATGCGTGTCCACCTGGAAATTCAGAAAATGAATGAATGAAAAACAACAAAACAACAAGAAAATAATGAAATAAACAAAACTTACTCATGGTCGCACCAAAAATTTTCCAACTCAAATTGACGAATCAATTCTGGGCCGGCACGAAGAAGTCTGGTCAGGAGATTTCTCGGAAATCCACCAGTGAGAGTCTTATTTGATGTCCAGTAAATATTTGTTCTGATAAACTAAAGGAAACATTTAAAATTATGCCATCCTACAAATCAACTTTACCCTGTTCAAACGATCTGAAGCAGTTTTCATTTCCTTTCCCGACATTCGCTCCCGCATTTTGTCTTTGAGATCTGATATTTCCTTTTTGTGCATTTCGATAATATTTTGTACATCTTCCAAGTACGTTTCTGGTGTTGGCCCATTATCTCTGCCTACAGCGATCGTTGAAAGTCGAACACGGTATTCTCGATATTGAATTTTTGGAATGTGGACAGGCCCGAAGAATTGTATAAACACATTCTGACAATTATTCTACTGTTTTAAAAAATTAATAAAATTAACATCTTACCTGACTCACTGCTTCGCTAGCCATTGCTTGATGTAATTCTTGACGCAAGATTTATTGCTGCAAATGTCGCAAAGTGTTGAAAAATGAAAAAAAGAAAGAAAGAAAACGAAGAAAACGACCGATAGATAGACGAAAGAAGAAAGAAATGAAACGAAAATGCGAGAAAAGAGAAAGAGAGTGAGCGAATAAGAAAGAGATATCAAGCGGGGTCAATAAATCACCCGTTCCTATAAAATTTCGTCGAAAATTGAAAAAGAAATAAAATTTACTCTGAAAAAAGTTCATTTGGGCGGGAAGATCGGTTTTTGGGGCGAGACAACGGGTTTGGTATAAAGTTTCAAAGTGAAAGAAGAAGAAAAAAGTGCAATTAAGAAAATATTTTTTTTTAATTGATAAAAGATAAAATAAGATAATTTGAGCAGTTGTATAGTTATTAATTAATAGTTGAGTATACTTTTTTCCGGAGTAGGGAATCGAAGAGGAAAAATATTATAGTCAATCGTCCCGTGGCAAAAACGAGGCTGCTCTCAAATCGTAGGGTTCTCCGTCTGTCTGACAAGACATGTCCTGTACCTCGGGTTGTTCATAATCTTCATCGCACTCATCCAACACAATTTCCGGCTCCTCTTTGACACAACACTTCTGAGACTCACAGTTTTCCATTGGCTCAGTGGCGACCATCAACGAGTCCTCCTCACATAAGAAGAACTCTGTCTCAGTCCGTGTGCGTAGATAGGAAGTGATACCAATGAATGTGAATACTTCATCAAAATGATGTTTGTATTCGGACAGAGTCTTTTCGCATTGTATAATCTGCGGGGTTCGTTTATCACCCATCTGAAGGCAATGTTAATGGGTATTGGATAAGACTTGATTTATAGTGTACCTCTGAGAATTCTTTCAGGATTTTCGTGAAAAACTTTGATGATATCTCCATGGCATCTAAAAAAAAGAGTTTTATTCTTCTCTTCTGAACCTGAATTATTATTCAAACCTGAAGTATTCAGCTTTTTCGTTTTTTGAAACGCGTCAAACGCTTTTTGTATGACTTCATGTTCTGGGGATATTGGCTCTGTAAGATGATTAATTATAATATTAAACTGATACCTAAAATTTAAAATAATGAAGGGTAGGTAACATCATCGGAAACAAAAACAACAAAACGACATCGAAATTTTGAACCGGTTTTTCTTTTCTCGTCGGTTTTTTTCTGTCTCAATGCCAATCCTCACTAACTTATGTTAGAAAACTAAGAGGAGATAAAAATTGATGGTTTTGTTAGTAACGCGTTGACGACTGGGACGAACTATGAAGTGATTGATAAAAATTTAGAGGATCATGACAGTAATGGGAACATTTTTATACCGAAGAGAACTAATTGTCGGTAACAAACGACGGAATAATTGAGAGAAAAAAATCGAAAAAAGGTAGGATTGAGAACAACATTCACATACAAAACCATTATTGTACTCAAATCTGAAAAGTAATCCGGTTGCCATACCGTAATCCCCATTATCCCGCATTGTAAAAAAAATAATTCTTCCACAGGTGAAATACAAACTGCAACTTTAACTTCGATCTACAATCTAAAAAGATGGTGTGACTTTGAGCATGTTTCATATGTTTTTGTACAGACTCATCATAGTCCAGATGCGTCTTAAAAACTAATGATTGATTTTGGAATCCTGCCTGGCTCTTTTCCAAAAAATAATACTTTTAAAAGCGCCAATTTTCCAGACTTTTTACAGAAAAAATGTATCTCCCAACAAGCTTTGTGGCTCTTTTGAGGCCCGGAATTTGAGCAATGTCAAAAGTTAAAAGATGGAATGCATTTTGAAGCGACCTTCTATTCTCGTCCCAAACTTACTTCCACGAAAACTTGAACTTGTCATATAGTCCAAAAGCTCTTTTAATTGGAACTTGCTCTCTTTTTCTTCAAGCGTGTGACTAGTGAATGCAAGAAACAAATCAGTTATTTCCGAAGCTGATATGCGCTTTTGAAACTTTTCCAACATTTCAAACTTGGTTTTGTTGATGTGTTGCTGGTTTGCAACAATCAGTTCAGTCAAACGCAAATCGATGTAAATCTTTGAGCTGATGACTCGATCTGGAAAAGAGCTAAGAATAGACTGAACCGGTAAACTTATTTAACTCACAAGCTACATTTTTCTCTTGAAGATGTTGCTCGAGCCGTTCTTTGGTGGCCAGTATCATTTTCACACGCTCATCTGAAAAAAAATTATACTGATTGCCCCGTATCACCAGCTACTCACTATTTCCCGCGTTGTTCCGATCCATACGATCCATGCTTTTCCGATGTTCCATCCTTTCTCGTTCTTGTCGAATTTTTTTCATTTCCAATTGTTTTTGCTTGAACTCTCTTTCGTGACGGTCTTCTTTTTCTTTTTTCTGCTTTTGAAGATTTGTTTCATATTCGATACGTTTCAGCTCTTTGACTTTTTTCTCTTCCTCCTTATTTTGTTTAATTTTATCTTGCTTTCTCTGACGACGTTTGGCTCTTTTTTCTGCTTTAATGTCTTCATCTCTGTAAAGTATTTTAATTCTAGTTTGGACTATATTTGTTCAACTACTCACTCAAGTTTAGTAACTTCATTAGTTGAAGCCGCTTTTTCACATATTTCTGTTTTTACTGGTTCAGAACTCCTGGAAGTAGTTAATTTTGGTGTGCAGTTTGATTGTGGCGAATCTGTTGGACGATTAGAAAGATCATCCAGTTGGCTCCGAGAAATTATTACTGTATTATCTGTTCTCTCCAACTCAGGCGAGAATAATCCGATGTTTTTCCCTTTTTTATTAGCGAAAGTGATCCATCCCCCATTTTCGGCAGGCTTTGGAGTCTCTTTCTTATTTTGTTCTTTCTCTTGAGAAGAGGGCTTGGCCACAAGGATGTTTGGTGGTGGCCCTTGTGATTTTGTAGTTCTGAAATACATACTGATCAGGGTATAATCAGTTCTTTGTCTAACAAACAGGAAGAGAGACAAACATCAAGGGCCATTATCATAAAACTGTCATACCAAACTCTTTAATCACCGGAAGTGGCCCACTCAAAAAAAATGTTTTTGATCAAAACTCCTAAACTTTAAACTAAAAAAGAGATCAAAGTTCGAAAAAGCCGTGTCATTTCCTACCGAAAACAATCAAATGCCCTTCTCTCGACTCACCTTAATTTTTCGACTACTCTATTGTTATTCGGGATCTTCACATCTGTCCTCGGAGTGAGTGGTGCCGCTGGTGGGGGCTGTTGCTGCAGTTGTCTCTCAGCAACAAGTTTCTCTTTACGCTCTTGAGCCCTCTGCTCCCAAATGTTGCTCGAAATTTTTGGCTGTGTAGAAGTAGCAGGTGGAATTGATTGCTTAAAAGCTCTGGTCGACGTCAATCTGCAAATCGGAAACCGTGAAATTTCGCCTCCATTTTTTGCATACCCCAGTTTTGAATAACCGGATAAATCTGCAGCTGGATTCCTTGAGGGCGGAGATCCCGAAGTAGCATTCGTTGGCTCCGTAAGAGTTGTTTCAGTAGGAGATGGATTAGTCGCACTTGGGAGAGATGGTTCCTCAGAAGTTGGCTTGGTAGCAGTGAGAACTTCTGGAGATGACAATTCAAGAGATTGAGTAGCCGTGTCGCTTGAAGAATCAGTCTTGTCGGTCACTTCCACCTTTTTCTGATCATCTTCAGCCTCGATTCTGACTTCGTTTTCTACCTGTACAGCAGATGAATGCTGTCCAGTCAATAAAGATTCCTGCACTAATAATGAAAAAGGGACAATTTCGACGGGACCGGAACCAACATAAACTTCAGAACAGGTATCATTCTTTAGGGATAATTGGTTTTCATCATTTTCTTCTTCACCGCCTTTCTTTTCTCCCGCTACCGAATCTTTCACGACGTTATCAGAATGGCATTCACTAGTCGGCGTCGGTCTCTTCTTAACTTCTCCGTTGCATTTCTTTTCCGCAGTTGCATCCTTCTCTTTATCGAATTCTACGACGGCAGCCCTATCACTTTTTTCCACTAATTGTTTAGGTGGAATGGTTTCTTGAATAATTGGTTTGACCAGATCTTGATCACTTAATGAGGTTGGTTTACTGCCTTTAGTTGCGTTGTCTGTTCGCAAAATTGGGGATGGAGGATCTTCAATATTTGGTTCCAAGACTGGTGAATCTTCTTCGGCGAGAAATACAACTTTTGATGCATCTATTGGCGCTTTGGCTGAAATCTCTGCTTGCACTTCTGCTAACACTCGAGTGGTTCCCGGATTCTCCAGACTGAAAATGAAGTACTCATAGAGTCAGTTCTATGATTTAATAACCCTCATGAAATTATCAGAACAATGAGGGAAAACTAAAGGTTTCGAATTTAGTGACAGGCCTTTCAACTCCAGAACGCTTTTATTTTTTACATTTCCGTTTTTGACAGTTAAAAATGAAGATGCAGTTGACAGTTAAAATTGAATATGTCGCCAAGAAGATGTCCGAATTAAACAGTGAAAATCTATCGTAATATAACAAACTACCGTAATCTAATATACATCTGTAACGTAAACACAATAACATAAATCAAAAAGTTTCCTAGTGTTTGTGATAAACTTTTTGTTGTAAATTGGGAAAGCTCTTAGAAATATTTTCACTTATTCCATACATTTAAAAAATGTCTAACTTCGAACCATAATCCTGAATATGTCAAAACTCCTTCCGCACAAGTAATGTCAGTGCACGCTCTCCCACAGAACATTTCCGAACTGCAAATTAATTTTTGATCTACAGAAAAAAAAGTTTGGCACGATCACAATTGCAGGTCTAAAACCATAATTTCAGAATTTTTTATCTGATTTTGTGGAGATTGAAGATGATTCAAATGATTCTTAAAAAAATAATTAGTGGTTATAGATTCATGTTAGGTCCTTTTCCGGAAGAAAAAATGTCAAAAATGGTCATTTTTAGAAGTTTTTTACAGATAAAATCTATCTCCTCTTTCAGTTTTTGACATTTCTAGGAGTTCTATAGCTCAAAAAAACCGCAATTATTTTTTCTACATTTTCTATGGATGAATTTTTAATTCGTCTGATAAAACTTTTTTTATAATCAAAAAACAACGCAAAAATGCTATTTTGTGCAATTTCATGAGGTTTTTGAATTATAAAAAAAGTTTTATCAGATGAATTAAAAATTCATAGAAAATGTAGAAAAAAAAATTGCGATTTTTTTGAGCTATAGAACTTTTAGGAATGTCAAAAACTGAAAGAGGAGATAGATTTTTTTCTGTAAAAAACTTTCAAAAATTACCATTTTTGACATTTTTTCTTCCGGAAAAGAACCATACATGAATCTATAACCACTAATTAATTTTTAAAGAATCATTTGAATCATCTTCAATCTCCACAAAATCAGATAAAAAATTCTGAAATTATGGTTTCAGACCTGCAATTGTGATCGCGCAAAACTTTTTTTCTGTAGATCAAAAATTAATTTGCAGTTCGGAATTGTTCTGTGGGAGAGCGTGCAGTGTTCATATTCACGTTCTTGGGGCTTCTTGTTGAAAGTGAGAGTGACTTTTGATCTGAGCAAAGTTCAAAATAACTACGATCCCTTGAAAACACCATCAAAACAATAAGGTTTGTCTGTCTACAATTTGGACATATCTTGCAAGATAAATTTTGTTGTTGTTTATACATTTTGTGATCTTCTAAACTACATATTTTGTAGTTAGTAAGAAAAATTACACTTTCGTTTAACCGCGAATCAATCAAAATTAAAAATTTATACATATTTAAGATAACGTCATGGAAAGATCACTACGTTATAACATGCTTCCTTGAGCCACTCACTTATATATTTTCATTTACTTGAGACACTCATTTATAATAAACTACCGTAATATCGCACATCGGATTTTCTCCAAGATACCGACATCTCTACTTGGCAGCGGCCATAGCTATACTCCTGATGAAGACTTTTTTTTTTTGAAACTTGTCTCAATTTTAACTGAAAATGCGGAAAATATCTCACAACTTTTGTGTGTTTCTATTGTTTCTAAATAATGAATGCCGTCCACAATTTTTTTTAATTTGAAAAGAGAAAAAAAAATATATTGAGAATCTTTCCATATCAGGTTTTGAAACCTGAGCCAATTTTTGATACCTGTGATTTAAATGGTGCTGCTAATCATTTTTTGGAACGGTAAGGTACTGAAAATTCGAACATTTCTAGAATGTGAAGCCAGTTCGTTAATGACGCCGAGTTGTTGAAAGTGAAAGTGGATTTTGATGTAATGAAAGTTCATAACAACTATAAACTCTTGAAAACACAAACAAAACAATAAAATTGTTCTGTCTACTTCCTTAAAAATTAGTAACATTCTAAATTACATATTTCGAAGTGAATATGCCATAAAAACACATTATCTTTCAAATTCTGTAAAACAATTTTATTCGAAGCCACACCCCCGTACATTACGGTGGTCTTATAATGTTCACACTGAATTTACTTCAACTTCTGTCTCCAGACTCAAAACAAAAAAATACATTCATATAGAAACCTACCGTAATCCACCAAACTATGTACATTTTTTGTGTCAATCGCGTTTTACCACCAAGAAAACAAAGTTTTTGTTTCTCCTGAAAAGAGACTGGGGTGCGCGAGAAGTATATAAATCTGCCCCCTTAAAAAGTGACAGCTTCTGGGAGTTGTTTAGTTGACCAGGGCGTCGGTAGAGGAAAAAGAGAAGGGGAAAGAATTATGGAGATGAATCAGGCAAGGCAAATCTCCCCAGGAAATCACGAAAAACAAGACAGGAAATTAAAAAGTGTTGAATGAGAAAAAGAACTTTCGCGGAAATTGATTCCAGTTAAAAACTTCACTCATCTAGTAACAGGAGTAAATCATACTGAAAGAAAAAAGTACAGGAGCAGTTGAAAAACTGTTAGAAAAAATTTCAGATTTTGTGTACTTCAAAAAAAAGGATTAAAAAAGAGGGACTAGTCAAAAAACATACCTGCATTGTTCATCATTAACATTTTCCGAATACGAACTTGTTAATACTGAAAGCATCCGACAGATCCACTCATAATGTTCAACATTCTCTTCTGAATAGGATAAATGATAAAGTGATATAAAACATCTCACAACGGAAGCTTTTCAGACACCGGTTGAGAATTAGCTCAAAATTTTGTCATTGGTACTTTTGGACACGCTGATCACAGAACTGAAGTCAGTTTTTCCAAATCGGCCCTGTGAAAAAAGTCATAGGCTGTTGAAGTGATTTCAGTGCTAATTTCACACTTTAGGAGTGAATTTTTGAAAGGGTTAAAAACAGTTCTTCGGAGTTTTTTGTATGTGAATCGTACTTTTAAATGTTGCTCTATAATCTGAAAAAGTTTGTTCATTTTTCAAAAAAAATTTTTTTTTGAAAAAGATGTCGCATGGGGTACCCCTTTTGGCAATTTTTACAACTTTTCGAAAATTTTCAAAATGTGCTAAAATGAGTTCTAAACGTAGACAAATGATAAAATGAGTATTTTCACAAAATAGCCTGAATAGGTAGCCTGAATACATCTCGAAATCACAAATAAGGGATTTCTTTAGAAACTTCAATGGATCGTAGACTTCGAAAATTGAGGAGAACAAGTCAAATAGTTATGAATTGAATAGTTCCTGATTTATATTGCATTTTCCAGGGCAAAAATGAGACAATCTAGGGAAATCGGACTAACAATTCAACTAGCAAAGCCTTGAAAGTGGGACTTCCAGAAATTTTCCAGAACATCTACCAGTATATTTCGAATTTTATCAAAAATAATGATACTTTCCAAATAAATGAGAATCTGGATAAAAAAAATTTCGAAAATGTTTTTATTCAATTTTTTGAGACTTCCAGAGGTTCAGAAAAAGAAACAAAAAAGATTCTGGAGAGGGGTATCAAACCTGACCCTTGTCAGATACGTCCGTCCCTCCTCACCACTACACAACTGCTGGCTGCTCTCTCCTCTTTCCTGAATGAATATAAGAAAAAGGGAAAGGCGCGGCGCTCAAAGGCGCTTAAAAGCACGTTAAAATTTCAGACGCAAATTTTCAGTTTCTGGAGGCCTAGTTGGAAAAACAGAAAATGACACCATGTTCAGGGGCACATATAGTATACTTGTTCAAATTTCCAACAAATTCTCAACAGGTGTCTGAAACGACTTCCCTAGTCAGTTCACTTACTGGAACTTTTATTATCATCGCTCTCGGAAGAGAGAAGCTCTTGGATCTCCTTCTCGGTTAGTTCTGACACGTCTCGATGTTTGGCCCAGCTGTAAATCTCAAGTTATCACCCGATGAGCGGCGTCGTATCACCTGCGTTTGGATCCAAAGTTCTCCTTCTCAAACTTTGCTATTTCCTCTGGCGAAGCTGATACAACATCCAGGAAGAAGTTTTCATTGTTTCTATTCACAACCTTTGCAATTAAAACCCAGTCAAGTAGATACTGAAAAAATATGTTGTAGATTTTTTTCATACTTTAGGTACTAACCTCTTCTAGTAATTTTAGCCTCCGCTTCAGCTCATGGATCTCTGATTTTCTGCTTTTCAAAATTTCAGCTATCAGCTCTCCAACCTCGTCTGAAACTTTGGAATTCAATAAGAAACAAATTGGTTTGGTTGGCTTATAGAACATAAACATGTTGAAAGTGATCAAACGAAAAAAAGGGGGAAGGAACACATAAGAAGGAAAAGATAAGAAGAGATTGAAAAAAGATAGAATAATGAAAAGCGTGCTACTTTTTCTGAGCGGATAGAATATATATGAGAGGATTTGTGGGGCTGGGGCGGATGAAAATTTCATGCTCCGCCCTCTTTTCTGATTCTAAGCTTGGCAACTATTGGTGGTGTAGGGATTTTGAGCTAGAGAATAAACTAGAGAATAACTGAAGAGTTTATGTTATAGGATAATGAACTGCTGCTGCTTCTCAAACACTAATGTATGCGGAAAAATAAACATATTAGGATGAATAGAGAGAGAGAAAAACGAAGACACTACACTTACGTTTCGACGGCCAAAGTGGAGACCTATCCGTAAACAAGTGGTTTGAAAGACGGTACTCGCGATACTTTCCATGCCCAACAATCACCCTCTGCACAACGTTCCTTTCTTCATTGCTCGTCATGATACCGGTTTGTTAGTATAGAATTACCTGAAGATAAATTTTTGTGGAAATTCATTTTTTTTAACACCCGCCAGGGCTTCAAGGAAAAAATGAAAGGATCATTGAAAGAAGAATTGGGGTTGAAAGTAGGTGAACGTAATATTGAGGCGGAGTGAAACAGAATCAAAATAGACTGAACTTTGAACGCCCTATTCCTCTCTCTGAATTCTTCTGAAAAGAGAAACAACTGTCGTCGAAATTTTCTTCTCAAAGCTGCTGTGCCCAGGCTCAGATCTCACAAAAAGTTTGGCATTGAGGAAAGAGATAGGGAGCGAAACAGAGAGACGGAAGACAGAAAACGAAGGAAAGGAAAAACTGAGAGCAAGCGAGTCGCTTAAGTTTCGGGATGAGGAGGGGAGGGCAGGAAGGAGAAGAAGAAGAAGAAGAAGAAGAAGCAGGCTTGGGGAGCAACCAATACAACAGATGTTCTTTCTCTCCACTCATGCTCCCCTTTTAATTGATTGATGTCCCCCAGATAAAAACTCCATTTCGTCCTAATCATCACACCAAACGTTGGTTCACTTTTTCTTTTTCTTGTTCTTCCTCAACGAGAAAAACGAAGAAGTGAAAGAAAAAAAGAAAAGAAGAGGAGTAGATTCAAACCAACAAAAAAAAAGAAGAAATTGTGGAAGAAAAGAATTGGAAGAAGAGCAAAAATGTGTGAGACAAAAATACATATAATTAGAATTTAGCGTTGGCGGTAGGAGCATGCTCAAATGAGAAAAGGCTTTGTATAATTATTCAGTGTGCCGCCGCGAAACAGAAGAAGATAGAAGGACGTGCGACAGGAAAAGGCGAAAGGCCCGGTTCCCAAATTTTGTCTATTCTCTGTTCTTTTTTTGAGCCCTTTTGCCAGAATGCGACAGATTGAGAAGAAGACAACAAAGAATGAATTTTGAAAAAGAATGGAACTGTGCTGAATGAACAGAGAAAGAAGAAGGAAAAAAAAAGAGAAAAACGGAATCGCTGGAGAAAACTTGATAAATGAAGAAAGATGTTACACTATTCGTTCGTTTCGACGTGTGGACACTGTCCGATTTTTTTCTGTGTACAGTCAAATTTTTACACTTCAAGATTTGTTTCAAAGTGCAACTGTCTAGAGGGGTTGGAGATTCGAGAAAAAATATTCTCATAAGACCTTTAGAATGATAAAGTCGATGTTTTGTACCGGCAGAATCCAGAAACCAATCAACAGTGATAAACATGAGGTGAGAAATGTTGAAGTTTATGGGAAATTGTTCAGTATTTTTTTTTGAATTTTCTCAAGACTCAAAAATGAATTCAAAACACTCTCATCCTACTTGATTTAATTAAAGTTCAGGTAACTTCTAAAATTTGATTATTTATATTATGTCAAAATTGTGCTCGGAATATCAAACTGTGCCGAAAAATTGGCTGAACATATATTTTTCGATGTTTTCAAATACTTTCCGAACCTACAAATCAGATAGAACCTATCAACTTGTTAGGTGAAATTGAAATTTTCCTTGAACCGAAACAGATGTGTTCGGTTTTAATTAAATTTACTTTTGATTTCAGAGTTTTTCCGACTGACGAGGGAATCTTAACACTATAGAAACTGAAAATTTCAGCGTAGATTAAACATAACCTATCTTTCAGAATCCGTTCGTGAGTTTCAGCCAAACTATATCATTTTCAGTATCAAAAATCGACTTTTAAAGGAAAAAGTTTGCTTTTATTCTCAAAAGAAAATTTTTCAGAGTGTTCATTTGTTTTGAAAAAAAGATTAACATTCTCGACCAAAGAAACAGTGGACCTAAAGCACATTTTCAGTACTTGCTTTCATCATGTTATTTTGAAAACCGGAAACTGTGTGAGACTGCAGAAAAATCAGATTCTCATGAAAGTGCTACAATTTCCGGAGTATCACATCCCGGCTACGATTATTAGCTCAATTTAGAAATTGCTCAATTTGTCATCTGCACTAATAAGTGTAGGAATACAACTTTGTCTAATTAGAAATGAGATACAATTTTTTTTCTACTCCGTACTCTTCGCCTGGATACACGTATGCGTATACACGGCTCACATAGGCGCCAGCCGTTACTTTGGTTAGGACGAGCGCGGAGTGCCAAGAAAAAATTTCGTTATGGCAGGGATTTGTGTGGAAACGAATAGAAAAAGGTCTTAGGAAACATCCAAATACGTTTTATGAGCGTTGGAGAAATCGACGGAACATTAGAAGACGACTTTTCCAAGCACTTTTCGACTACTTGTGAATAATGAATCCATGAGACTCTGAAGTGAACCAACACCGTCTGTCTAACAGAGCACTTGTCATCTTCTCGTTTTCTTCAAATATATACATTTACATGATTTCGAAGAAGACATGAAAGAGATCCTATGTGTTTCTGAGTCTTCAATATTGTTGCTAATTAAATGAAATACGAAAAGGGTCTCAGTATGAAACATAGGCTCAATCCATTTATGTATATTGAAGCCATAGAAAAAATGTGCATGTAACTGCATGTATGTGCGTCGAGCTGTCTTAACATAAATTTCAGTTTTTTTGCTGAAGCCGGATATGAAAACACGACAAACGGGAAAGAGCAAGGGCACATGGCTAGTTTCAGAAGAAAAAAACTTTTCAGAAGACTAAGAAAAAGAGCAAGTGCTTTAAAAAAAGCCTTACATCTATATGAAATAGCTCTCTCGGGGCTAGTGACGACCGAATAGGGATCAGAAAGCAACTGAAAAAACGTGAAATAAAAATTTGTCGTGAAAGATGAAATCTGCAAAGAAAAAACCAAAGGTGCACAGTCTGAGAGTGAAGGAAAAAGAGGCGGGTGCTGAAAAATTAATGAGCTAAAAATAATGGGATATGTGTGGAATGGATAGATGAATGGATAGAAGGAGAGAGATGAAGTTGAACCAATACCACGTTGAGGTGGGAAAAAGAGTGGAAGCGGAGGCTAAGGGCCATAAATTTTGGAGGTGCCGTCAAGGCCTCTTATTAGGCGTAATGGAGTATAGCGAAGAAAAAAGTGGAGAAGGAGGTTTGTGACGATTATACAACATAATTGGGTCCTATTGTACTTTTGGGAAAAAAACAACTTTTTATGCTCCCTAAAATTGGTATAAAAGGGGCAATGACAAAATCGGAAAACATCAGAGTTTCTTTTTACGAGAAACATGATGCCGTTTATTGCCGTCCCCCAATCTCTAGGTGAACACAGAAGAAAATAGGATTGTTATTTCATGAGACACTATGGCAAATTAGTTGGTGTTATATGGGAGGAACTGTCAATAACAAGAGCCAAATTGGCTCTAATTTTGTGTATATAACAGAATGATGATGACACTTCGCCTTTATTTGGCCATGAGCTCATGTCATGCTGTATACTGCATTTTCTGAACTGGAGTTTCTTCCAGATTCGGAGAGAATGAGTGTGTGCCTAGTGGGTAGCTGGGCAAAAATCCCGAATGGAGAGGATGGTCACGAAATGGCGGAGAACATTTTTCTCAACAGGTAATAAATAGTTTTTTAATTTAAAATTTGTGTACCATTTTCAATTTACAGAGATAATATCGTCCCTATTCCAAGGGATAAAGCTTATCTATCGGATTTTCGTGAAAAGCATCCAGATGTCAAAGCTGCTCTTGTCAATGGTATCGAGCATTTCGACGACCAGTACTTTGGGGTAAGAATTTTTATTATAGATAGAACCAGTCAATAAGAGAGACAAAATCATATTGTCAGTTGGTTTTTGACCATTTTGAGCATTTTCAGAAGGATGGAATTCGGTTGTGAAGTTTCAGATAACTGAAAATTTCGGAGTATGTAAGACTATATTGAAAACTTTGCATTCCCAGAATTTTTTGATAATTCTACATTTTTCAGCTATTTGTCAATTTCTGAAAGATACCTGTATTTTCACGTTTTTAATACGAAAACGGACCAGTAATGGGTGTCTTTCAAAAATCACGAATTAGCTGAAAAACAAGGAATTTTCAAAAATTCTATGAATGCGAAGTTTATGATCTAGGTCTGTTTCAAACCCTCCGAAAATTTCAAAGTTACCGAAAACTTGACAGCCGAGCTGCAGACTCGTCAACTGAAAAATAAGTTTTTGTATATCTCAGTGACCGGCACTGTATGTATTTTCCGACAGTACACAGTTGCTGTTTCTACTTTTAAATATGAAATGATTCCTATTCAGACTGGTGAGTCGGAAGCGATTTGCATGGATCCCCAACAGCGTATGCTAATGCAAGGAGTGATCCAAGCATTGGAAAACGCTGGAATCTCCATTGAAATGGCTTCTGAAGCGCGTGTGGCCGTTTACACTGCCGCTTGGTGCTACGACTACAAGGATCTTCTTCCGCCAGATCAGTACATGGCAACTGGAAACTCGGCTAGTGTCATGTGTGGAAGGTGAGAAAACGAATGTGTTTGTTATGACAGAAAAAGTAAACTAGACGGAAAATGAGATTCGTGGTTGTTTGTTTATTTGTCTCTCACTCTGGTGTCACATTCTTTCACATTATCTTACACAATATACCAATTGATTTTAGAATCACCTATTTTCTAAACTCTCGGGGAGCAGCTGTTGGAATTGAAACTGCTTGCTCCTCGTCGCTTGTGGCTTTCCATCTTGCACGACAGGCAATTTTATCGGGAGAAACCAAACTTGCCCTGGTCTGTGGAGCCAATCATGTTGGATCCAGGTGAGTTACATTTTTGAGTGACTCAAGCTCAAGTTTATTTTCAGATCTTTCCACTCTCTTTACAACTCTCATATGGTCTCTCCAAATGGACGCCTTGCTGCTTTCGACCGTTCTGCTAACGGATTTGTTCGAGCTGAATCGTTCGCTGTGGCGGTTTTGTGCTCGAACCAGTTTGCAGCGGAAAATAATCTGAACATCCACTGTGAATGTATTGGGTCAGCTTTCAACAGTGACGGAAAAACGCCTTCGCTTACCGCGCCAAATCCAATTTCGCAATATGAAGTAATTTTACTATCCAAGAAGTATTTTTTTCAAACAACCAAAATTTAGGTTCAACTGGAAGCTTTGAAAGACATTGACGTCAATACAGTACAACTTGTGACGTGTCATGGAACTGGAACTAAACTTGGAGACCAAGTGGAACTAACAGCTATCAAAAAATCATTCAAACCGGATATCCGAGTAATGAGCCCTAAAAGGTGAGGAGTCTTATTTGCTATGCGTGAAATCTTCTCTTTTCTAGCTCTATGGGACACGGAGAAGGCGCGGCCGGTCTAATCGGCGTGCTTCAATCGCTCTATTCCATGCAACAGGGTATAATTCCACATCAACTCCATCTTCAATTGCCGTCCGAAGATTTGGGAGAAGAGAAGTCTATGGGATTCGTAAACGAAGAAATGGATTTGACTAAGGTGGCGATTAGCTCATATGGTTTTGGAGGAACCAATGCATGTGCTATCATTACGAAACCAAAACAAAGTACAATGAAGCAAGATGCATATGCGGAGTCAAAAGTTCTGTTTCTCTCTGCCAAGAGTCATGATTCTTTGAAGCTCCAAGTCAATGATGTCACTACATTCTTGGATCAGTCAGATGCTGTCTTCGAGGATATTTTGTACACTTTTAACGATAGAAAAACAAAATACGATGTGCGAGCAGCAGTATTTGGAAAAAATCGAGAGGAAATGATTAGAAAACTTCAAAGAGGAGATTTCTCGCTAACAAATTCTCAAGAAGGCACTTTCGAAGTGGAGTTCGGAGAGGGAAACGAGAAATTGTGGTTGCTGAGAATGCTTTATGAGACAAATGAGTCATTCCACGCAGCTGTGGACAAATATTGTAAGCTAGCTGAAACATGTGGTTTCCCAGAAGCAAGAACAGCCCTGTTCTTCCCCTTCAAGCTCACCTTAACACCTCTCACCTACAACATCTCTCGTCTTATATCCAGTATGGCGACTTTTGAACTTCTCGTGAAGTATAACACTCTACCAGGCACGCTTCGAGGAAAAGGACTCGGCCAAGTTTTCTGCCTTGCCGCTGCCAAAGTAATCAGCTTTGAGAGCGCCGTGCAGCTAATCAAAGGAGTGGTGGCAGAAGCAAATCTCAGTGACATCATCAGCCAGATTGAGATTAAAGCATCGAAAATTCCGATTGAGATTCAGCACTCGAAGAGCACTGTGAAGAAAATACTTCCGATTCACATTTCGGGCGAGCTTAAGGAAACTGCTATCCCTAATCTGATGTCATTTGTGGTGAATGGAGAGGAAGTGGCCGAGTTGGATCCCATTAAAAAAGTCCAAAAACTCAACTGCCAGCTTTTCGCATCCGGCTTCGATCCAGCTCTTCAGTTTCGGGGACAAATCGTCAAAACTCCTGGATACTCATTTCTCAAGAGAAAGTTTTGGCCAGAGCCACTAAGCAATGCGATTGCTGAGGCTGTCGAAGAGGAAGCAAACACAGGAATATCTGCTGCTGAAATTGAAACAACAGTAAAAACAATTGTCAAGCAATTTTTGGATATTGATGAAGATGATATTAATCTCCTGGAAACAGGCGCTGTCGATTCCTTGACATCCATTGAAATGATTGAGGCATTTGGAACTGCTGTAAATCAAACAATGCCTTTTGATTTGTTGGAGAGTTATCCAACCACAAAAGATATTATCGACTTTCTGAAAACTCTCGTTTCCTCTAACCCAGTACAAAAAACCACAAACGCGGTGGCTAGAAAAGCTACAGGAGCTGTTTCTACGGACACCGATGTGAATGTGATTGCCGCTGACTTTATGTTTGCAGGAGTTGATGGAGAGAAAGAACTTTGGGATACTCTTCTCACCTCTAAACTTGTAACCAACAAAATTTCGGAAACCAGGAAGAAACAATGCGAAGGAAATGCTGGTCTAGAAGTCGGATTGCTCAAACAAGACATTTCGTTATTCGATAACTCTTTCTTCTCTGTCGCAAAGGATGAAGCTGAATTCGTTGATCCTCAACACCGTCTGCTTCTACATTCAGCTTACAATGCATTAGAAAAATCTGGTCTCTCTGCGATTCCTGATGCAGATCTATTCCTAGCTATTAGCGCTCACTCTGAGTACCGTGCTCTCGCTGAAAAGCTTGTTGATGACCTAGACGAAAGACTATGGATGGGAACTGTACACAGTATGGCAGCTGGACGATTAGCAGCATTATTGGGCATTCGGGGTCGTGCGGTAATTGTCGACACGACGTGTTCATCTATAGCCACTGCCCTCGAAATGGCAGTTAATTCAATAAGAGAAGGTAAACTGCAGTTTTAAATTTAAAAAAAAACACACAATTTATTTTCAGGAAAAAAACATGCCGTGGTCGCTACAAGCCAACTGATCCAATCATCCAAATGGTTGTATTCTTTAAGAACTTTGCTGGACCACCATAACACAAAATCGTTCGCAGTTGATGGCACCGGATTTTGTCGATCAGATGGTGTCGGAATGATCATTCTCAAAGCTGCGGAAACTGGGGACTCAGCACTTATTCGAATTTCCTACGCTAAAAGTCATCACTGCGGTGCTGTTATCACTCCGGTGGTTAGCTCGATTTCTCAGCTGTTGGCGGATGTTGGTGATGTTTCATATGTTGAAGGTAGTGGGAAAATTGGAAAAAAAAATCATCAAAAATTTCAAATTTGAGGACATGGAACAGCAACTTCCGCTGGTGACAGTGCCGAGTCAATGGCCTATAAAACGATGGGAAAAGAATTGATCATGTCTTCAGTTAAAGTAATTTTGCACAGTAAGTGATAAGATCAACACCTCTTAATGAATTTCAGGCTCAATTCGGGCATTGTGAAGTGGCATCCGGACTGATTCAGCTCATGAAAGTCGCATCATTAAGCAAACATGGACTGGTTCCCGCCATTGTTCATAATTACCTACCAAATGAACATATAAGGTAATCTAAACGCATATTTTTTATTTAAATTTTTGCTTCAGGAACAATGAAGATATTCGTCTTCCATTCGTCTCTGAAGAAAGTGAAGTTAAAGATTCAGCTATTGTTTCGTTTGGTATCACTGGTACCAAAACAGTGGTAACCACCAAGAAAGTTATCGAAGTTGAGCATGAAAACTCATCAAACTGTTTCCTACTACCAATTAGTGCAAAAACAAAAGAAGCATTGAAAAGAGCAACTGCTGATTTGATTGGAATGATAGAAAATTCTTGTGAGAGCCTTCAAGACATTTCGACAACTTTGCAAAAACAGAAAACTCATTTCAAATGGCGCAGTGCAGTTGTTGGATGTAATCACTCAGCAGTTGTCAAGAATTTGAAAAAGTGAGACTGATTTTAAGAAATTTATCTTTTAGTTCATTTCCTTCCAGGCTACTCACCAGCGATAAATCCAGTCTAGCATCCAACTGGCACATTTCCACCACTCCCTTCTCTATCGGATGCTCATCATTTTTCAACAATGTTCCAGAATTTGAAGAGCATTATACCATGTTCTGCCATCGGCTCCGATTTGAACCACACTCTAATGAAGGATCAGTCTATCATATGCTATCTGTTACATATGCACTGATCAAAATTATCCTTCAACACAAACTATCTTCTTCATTTGCGGTTGGTGGATTCAACAGTTTATTAGTGTTGGCGGCAATCGATGCTGCACCATCCCACTATCTCAATGATCTTCTTCACGCATTCGCCAACAATGACATCCGACAGATGAAGAGAATCGCTAGGGATGTTACAATTTCTGTGGAAAATGTGGAAGTTTTGACTTTAAAGGGAGAACCAATCACAACTGCTCGACAAGCGGTTGATGCCACAATTGACAACAAACCAACTAACGTTAGGCTATCAGAAAATACTCTGATATTATCTCCAAATGAAGAATACCCCTACACCGAGTCTCTTCAGAACATCAAAGAATATTTCAACTTTATTGGAGAAAAGTTCATCAGAGGATCCCAAATCGAATTTTTCAGTATCTTCGGGAAACCATCAAAGTTGATTTGTTTACCTGAATATCCATTCAATCGAAATTCCTTCTGGCTACCGATCCCTGAGAATCATGCAACAAATACAATTCCCATTGCAGTTCCAACCGAATATGAGTTTCTTCTGAAATCTGAAAAATGGAATCATGTCAAGAATCATATGGTTGATTCAAAAATTGTGCTTCCTGGAGCAACGTCTATTCGCTTGGTTCATCAACTTCATGGGAAACCATCGGTTGGATTATCCAATATTGACTTTTTGACAAAGATTACTCCTGCTGAAACACCAACTACCGTAAAACTGAAGAAACAAGACGGAATGACAACATTGTGTTTTGGAGAACATGATGCTATCAGTTTTAACTTCATGGATTCGCAAAATTTTGATTTAATTCCAAATGAAAGATTGAATGCTGAAACACATCATGGCGATGATATCTATGAGCGATTCTCCAAAAGTCATCTAACCTATCGGAATGAGTTCCAAATGCTCAATTCGTTGAGATACACTATGGGCCGAGGAGAAGCGAGATTTGTAGAAATGAAGGATCTCGATATTCTCATTGACGGAACACTTCAAGCCATCGTTGGCTGCTATTTCTTCGAGAATCCCAACGACCACAGCCCATTTGTTCCGTTTACAGTTGACAAATGTTTCATTGCAAATGGAGAAGTTTCTCAAAAACAGTTGCACACAATTCTTACATATGATTCGTCAGATAACTTTATTACTGGCAGTGCTACAGTGTATGATATGTTGGGAAATGTAAGTGAAAACTGCTAGTACTATTTTAGTTGAATATTTACAGGTCATCCTTCACATTTCCAACGTGACATTTAAACGACTCGATAAACAATCACCACTTTCGACGACATCAAAAACAGTTGACACATCAAAAATAACGAAGAGAGTAGAGAATGAGAATTTGAAACGGGAATCTAAAAATATGCTTCATTTATGGTTCGAAGACAACTTTGGATGGACTGATATCGACAACACAACAGGATTCTTTGATCTTGGTTTGACTTCTATTCAAGCAGTAAAATTGAGAAATGCGATAAAGTCAAATTATCCAAATGCTTCATCAACTTGTGTATTTGATTATCCGAGTATTGAACTTCTTTCGGGATATCTTTCAACACTCAATGATCCACCAACTATTGAGAATGAAGACGAGGATGTAGAAGATGATAACAAGGAATTGGAAGATGATAACCCAACACGTTTGGCACAGAGCCCTATCGGAGTAATGTCTGCTGCTTGTCGTTTGCCAGGAGGGGTTTCATCTCCTGCCGAGCTCTGGGAGCTCCTCAAAATTGGTAAAAATGCTTCATCAAGAATCCCAGCAACTAGAGTTCCCACAAGGAACACGTTGATATCAGGTATGAAACATAATGATTTTCAAATAGTTATTATCCTGATTTTGGCTACTAGGGTACTAATTGGCTTAACGCTTCTAATTTTTTGACACTAATAATTAAATCCTGAAAAAAAACATAATTTCAATCTTTACACAATCAAACTTGAAACCATCCAGTTACGCTTCAGATGAGAAAAATCGATGGTAGATCAAAAATTAACAGTAGGTCAAAAATTGATGGTAGAACAAATCCCAAAATATTAGTTTGATCAAATTTTGTTGCGGATTTTTTCAGAGGGAAAACGGAATAACATGAATGAGAAAAAAAAAGAATAGACGCATTTATATATTTTTTTTCATAATAAAAACAATTTTTAGGATCAAAATACGGCAACCCTGTGGAAGGAGGGAACTTCATCACACAGGACGTCACCCAGTTTGACCCTGCATTCTTTAAAATTTCAAAGAGTGAAGCCGAATTAATCGATCCTCAGCAAAGAATTCTTTTGGAATGTGTACAGGAATGCCTGGAGAATAGTGGTGTCACCGAGACAAGCAATGTTGGAGTGTTCGTTGGTTTGATGGAAAAAGAGTATCAAGATATGATGGAGTCCTCCTCGATTCTTGCTATGCTCGGATCTATGGCAGCTGTGATTGCTGGACGTGTGAATTATGTCTTTGGATCTTTCGGTATGTTGTTTCTTAGGTTACAAATATCCATGGTTAATTTCAGGACCATCTGTGACTATTGACACTGCATGCAGTTCCTCTCTTGTTGCTTTAGAAATGGCTGTCAATGCCTTGTTGGATAACAGATGTTCCAAAGTTATTGTGGCTGGAGTCAATTTAATTTTAAATGAGAAGGGTTTGTATGAGAGTCTCAAATCTACCACTTAAGATCTGTATTTTAGGACAAGGACTGCGAACCAACGGAAAAATGCTCTCCCAGCATGGAATGTCTTTGAGTTTTGACTCTAGAGCATCCGGATACGGTAGATCTGATGGATGTGTTGTTTTGATGCTGGAATTAGCCAAACCGAACTTCCACTACATGTCCACTATCCAAGCCGTGAACGTGAACCATGGAGGTAGAAGTGTATCATTGACAGCTCCAAATGGAACTGCCCATAAAATGTTGCTCACGTCGGTTATCAAACAAAGTCCATCTCTTGCGATCGATTATTGGGAGGCTCATGGAACCGGTACACCATTGGGAGATCCAATTGAATTCAATACACTTTCTTCGATTCTACAAAATATAATAATTGGATCCGTGAAAGCGTCGTTGGGACACGGAGAGGCTTCTGCTGGAACTTGTGGTTTATTGAAACTCTTCATGATGCTCACGTATCAATATGTTCCTACTCTTATCCATTTCCACGTTCTCAACAAAGACATCAATGCTGGAAGCATCCGACTTCCTATCATCGGAGAAGAAGCTGAATTGGTTTCTGCTGGAATCAGTTCATTCGGAGTCAGCGGAACAAATGCTGCGGCCATTGCATTCAACGATAACAACAAGTTAGAGCCATACACTCCGATTCACAAGTACTACATTCTGCCGATATCTGCAAAGAATCAATCTTCTCTCGATCAACTAGAGAAGCAAATTCTATCTGTCATCCCTATGACCGATGTTCCTATCAGCAGTATTGCTAGTGCTTTGGCCAATAACCGAAACCATTTCAACATTCGCAATGCTCTAATGATTTCTCACTCCGGCACAGTAATTTCGAAAATTGCTGGAAAACCCCATCGGGTTGCAAAGAAAGATCGATTCCATGTGAAGCTGGGAGAAAACATTATTTACCCCAACCTTCTACAGTATGATGTCATTCATGAGATGTATACTGTAGCTGCGTTAAAGAATCCGCAATCATTTGCAATGAAGTTTGCAATTATCAAATTCCTGGTATCACTATCAGAGTTCATCGAAGTGGTTGCTTCAGACACTGAAGAACTTTTGGCGATTCTTCTCGCAGATGGTTCACTGAAATGGGAGAAACTAGATAAGAAGATATTTGATTTGCCTGTTGGCAATTTACTAAATGAGCTGGCAGACCTAAATTTGAATGGAACCACTTCATCTGCTATCAAGTCTTATCAGACACAGCCGGAATCTTCAACAGTGGACAGTCCGACGAAAGTTATGCAAATGATAATGAGCCTCTACGTAGCTGGATATGATTTGGACTGGAGCACTGTATACTCTCCCGTGGAACGGTTTGTCGCTCTTCCAAATTATTCATTCAACAAGCAGACGCTGTGGTTCGAAGAACGAGGAGAAATCGTGGATCACTACTTGATTGGAACTGTTGAGGAGGAAACTGAAGACACCTTGATTCTTAAGAATCAAATTTCGGAACTACGTCATCCTCAATTCTTTAAGGGAAAACCACTCGACGTTGGAACAATGACCGAGATTGCAATTGACGCTTTGAAAATCAGAAATGAGATTCCATTCTCTATTCAAAACCTAAAAACTGAACAATTATCACTGACTAAACCTGCATGGCTCAAGACAATTGTGAAGAAAGAGGAAGATGATGAAGTGTTCACTGTTTCTGCTTTCATTGATGACAAGAAACTTTTCTCGTTGACTGCTTCTTCCATGGAGATTGACAATATTGAGCTGCCAGCCGTTGAGGTTCAAATTCCGGACAAGGTTGTGTACTTGAAAGAGTGCCCGAACGCAGTCATCAGAAGACAAAGAAATATGATTTATGTTGACTCACGATCAGAAGTCTCACCATTCCGTACTGCCAATATTGTGCTGAACGAAATTATTGGGTTTGCTCCAACTCCGTCTGATATGTTTGTGGAGATCCTCGGAATACTCCCGCCAGTTTATTATATGGTTCAAGTGGACGATGGTGCTCTATGGCAATTCCAGGTGAGGAAAATGGACATGTGCAGAGCATCATTAAAAAAATTCAAATTTCAGATGATCTCTCAAGAAAAACAAGTGTTATCCAACATTTACGTGCTCAAAGATGCCAAGGGATTGGAAGTGCCAACTATCAGAATGCATAAGAAATCTACGCTGTTGTCATCTCAAGAAACCAGTCTGGTGGCTGCAAAAACGCTTCAAATGGCAGTCAGAAACAAGGTATGTTGAATTTAAAAAGTTCTCATCAGTGTTTCGCTTCTAGGTTTGTTTGGCTGTGGGCGATGTCATTGACTCTGGTTTGGAAATCGATGAGAGTCAGATGAGTACAGGTTTCTCAGAACTCGGTATGGATTCACTGGCGACAGTGGATCTATTGAATCGATTGAACCAGAAGTACTTCCCAGGTAAAATTGTGTTTTCCTTTTTTGTTTAAAAAAATTCAATTTTTTCAGAAATTGAGTTAACCACCAGTGACTTGTTTGATAATCCGAACATTATCGATTTGTCCATTATGATTGAGCAACTACTAAATGAAAAAGGAATCACTGAGCCAGCAACCCCAAAGATTTTTCTTCGTGAACGCAAACTCTCGATCCCAGCTGTCAGGGCTCAGGAACTTGCCCAGATTGAATTTGTGAAAAACTACAAAGCACAACAGGAGCAGGAAAAAGAAGAATCCAAGAAAAAACTCGAAAATGACTTGGAAACACAGCTCCAACAAGAATCTGAGGTGGATAGAAACGATATTCGCCGTAAAATTTCGTCTGCAGTATTTGATTTGGCTACTGACAGCTTAACTTCTGAAGATTTGGACTCCAAAGGATTCACTGATCTTGGAATGGATTCTCTCTCAATTGTTGACTTTGTGAATCGATTAAATGAGAAATATTTCCCAGAAGATGAAATCACCGCAAGTGATGTGTTTGATTATCCCACAGTTGATGAACTGGCAGATCACATTGTAAGGAAGAAAAGTGTTTCTTTCCCATTGCATCCCGCATCTGGGGAAACCATGAACGGAGTGGAGAATCCGATCCAAAATGAGCCAGAAGTCGAGCAACTTACACAATCTTACATTCTAAAAAATAGCCCCACTGGCTTCAAACTTGATTACCTCCTAACATGGTCGGGATTAGGATTACAATTGTCAAACCCATCAAGCTCGAATTTTATTCTAGCTCTCAACATCGATGGTGGTCAGGATAAAGAACTTCGGAAGATGCTTGCTGAGAAACAAAACATCTTGATTAACTTTGACAAACTACAAGATAGTTCAATTGAGACTATTTACATGAGTCTGCTGAATTTTGTGAAAACTTTATCGAAAAGCAAAATCAAGTGCAATTTTGGAGTGTCTGGAGAGTTCAGTCTTGGAAATTCAATTGCCAGAGCGTTCATGAAAACAATCTCATCTGAAAAGTACCCACTTATCAGTTTTGAATGGGATCAGAAAATCCAACAAGTCAGCTTTACCGACTCAAACTCTTCGATTCCTGGAAATTGGTTGATTACCGGAGGGTTGAGTGGTATAGGATTCGAGATTGGAAAATTCTTGGGGAACAGTGGAGCTGAAAACGTTATCCTGATCAGTCGAAGACAGCCAAGTGCCGATGTGCTGAAAGAGATCAAAACGTGGACAGCTAAGGTATCGATTTCTTTTTAATAAATACAAAACGTTAGTTTTCAGGTTCACACAATAGCAGCTGATGTCAATAATAAGAAAAAATTGATTGAAGAGCTAACCCGTGTTAACGTTGATGTTACTGGAATTATTCATTCTGCTGGAGTACTCAAAGACTCTAAAATTGAGAGACAGACTAAAGATTCATTCAATGAAGTTTTCAAACCAAAAGCTGACGGTGTGAAGGTTTTGGAAGAAATTGAGAAGCATTTCAGTTATAAGGTTTGTTTATTTTTTATTTAGTTTTCTTCTAAGTTTGCAACAACCCCATATTTTTTCAGATCGAACATTTCATTATGATGTCATCATTCACTGCAGCTTGTGGAAATGAAGGTCAGCTCAATTACGGAGTTGCTAATGCTTTCCTGGAACATCATGTCCAACGCCGTCGCCGTGAGGGAAAATCAGGATGTGCTATTCAATGGGGAAACTGGATTGATACCGGAATGGCTACAAACCCACAAGTACGGAAGTTCCTAGCGGATCTTGGATTTTTGGGTCAACACAACAAGGATGCATTGAAATATTTGAAGGCTTGTATTGAAACAAAGCCAGAAATTGTCATGGTCGCTAATATTGCCTGGGATGTTATATTGAAGAATCGCAAAGATTTGCCCAGAGATCTTATCATCAATGGAATTCTTCCCTTCTCTACAGTCACAATTGAAATGAATGGAAATGAACAATCTCCGACTTTCTCCGATAATTTTGAAGAAGTTTCAATTAATGTGGCTGTTGAAGATGCAGATGAGGTTCTGGAACTTTTGAAAGAGAAAGTTTCTGAAATTGTGAAATGTGCTCCAAGTAAACTGAAAAGCAATAAGAATATCATGGATTTGGGGATGGACTCGAGACTGCTGGTGGAGTTTTTGAATTATATTAACTTGACTTTCAAAATCAAATTGAACTTGGCCGATGCCTACAATTACTCAACATTGGAGAAGTTGGCAGCTTGCATTTTCGACAAACTGAGCAACACTGCGGAAGAAAGTCCAATGGGTCAAGACGAGACTCAAGAAGAGACACTCGTGGATAAAAGAGAGACGAAATCTACAGATTTCTGTCCATACTTCGGTGTAAATGTTTTCTTTGATAAAAAAGAAAACTTGGAAAAAGCAAAATCTGAAGCTGTTAAATGTTTGGTGTCCGGAAAAACATTACCGGCAGCTGGAAACTTTGCGATTCCAGTCATTGGAACTTCCATCTCGGATGTTATCAGCAAAATCAAAGCTGCAACTGAAACGCAAGTGAAGACTTGCCAAAGAAAATCGAAATGCGTTTTGATGCTCACTGGCCAAGGATCGCAATATCCACTAATGGGAAGACAACTGGTCGAGAACTATGAAGTTTTCAGAGCCACGTTGCAATCCTGCTTAGCTAAATGTGATGAATATTTGCAAGGAGAAGTCAGCCTTTGGGAGATTCTCTTCAACACAGAACACTATAAGCTTCTCCAACTCACAAAACATATGCAACCAATTATGTTTAGTTTTGGAATTGCAACTGCTCAGCTTTGGTTATCATTTGGGTTAGTACCTGACTACTATCTCGGTCATAGTGTTGGAGAACTTGCTGCTGGAGTGCTCGCCGGTATAATGACTCTTGAAGACGGTCTTCGTCTCATTGTGGAACGTGGAAAAGCAATGGAAAACATCGCTGGACTAGGAGCTCTTCTTGCCGTTCAACGAGAAATTGCTGATGACGTGCTCCGAAAATTCAAAGTCTCAGTGGCAATCATCAATAGTCCAAAACAAGTTGTTTTCGCAGGAACAAAACCCGAGCTAGATTCGGCATTGGCTTTCGTAAAGGGGCAGGGTGAGTAGTCATTGTAAAGGGGCAGGGGAACGTATCAAACCGTCTAATCCTCTCTTTTTAGGCAAACAAGGCACATTCGTGAACCAACGCTACCCCTTCCACTCTAGTCTAATCGATGAGACCCATCTGGTCGCCCTGCGCAAATGTCTCGCAGACATACGATTTCGGCAGGGGGCGACGCGTTTGGTAAGCAATGTGACGGGGCAGATAATTAATACGTTTTCGGAGGCCTACATCATCAAACACACCATCTCCGCCGTGAAGTGAGGCTTGTCTATATGCCCTTATCGCAAAGAAACATTTTCAGGTTTGTGGATTGTGTAGAGACTTTGCGAAACGACGGAGTGGCAGTATGGATAGACGCTGGACCAGCTGCGATTCTGGCTACTTTTGTCAAACGGATCATTGTTCCGGCAGAACTGTCAAAACATCGAATTGTGCAAACATGCAAAGAAAAAGATTCCGATGTAGAAACTCTTGTCCAATCCTGTTTGGAATTAGAGCAGTCTGGATTTGAGATTTTATGGCCAAAAGTTTATGGATGTGATACCGATACTGATGCACCACTGGCTCATTTTCCTGTAGTTCAAAGCGATACAATTCAAAACCATGAATTCGAAATTTTGGAGGGTCATCGCCTTAACGGGAAAATAATTGTTGCTGGAGCATACCAAATGTTTAAAATGGATCAACTCGTCAAATCCAAAGCCTCAGGATTGGACTTAGTTCTGAAAAATGTGAAATTTGTGAAACCGTGGTACATTGAGGATTGCAAAGCTTTTCTGATCCGCTGGAACTCGGACATGTCAATCGAGCTGGTCGTGAATTCCGTCACTGTATGTTCTGCTAAAGTTGAGATGAAGGAAGGAGCCCTGGAAATTCAGGTCATTGGAGAAAACGAGAAGCCTTTTGACGTCCATGAGTTCTACGAAACACTCTATCGTAACGGATTACAATATGAAAGCGGATTCAGAAGAATGGATGATTCAAAACGATCGGACAAACGATGCTTCTCAAGTCTAAAACCATCTCCGTTTGCTTGGCCGCTCATCGATTCAGCTATGCATTCCATAACTGCCAGTGTTGTTCCTCGTCGTCCTGACAGCTACTTCTTACCGGTTGCTATGGGACAAGTCACTTTGAAACAAGAAGAGGATTTCAAATTGAAAAATCTCAATGCACAAACTGTGATCACTTCGGAAACTGACAAATTCATCCAAGTTAATGTTGTTCTGGTTGCTGGAGACCAAATCATTTGCGAGGTGCGAAACATGACAATTGTGGTACTCAAACTGGTCCCAGCCGAAACTCCAACACCGACGCCAACGATTGCCAAAGAGGCCAAAAAATCGGAAATTGAAATCGTAGGCTTTGATATTACGCTTCCTTACAATCAGTTGTCAACCAATAACGAAAATTGGAGTTTTCTAAAAACCAATAGAGTCAAACAACCGCTTCAAACCCGAAACGCTAAAACTGAAGAACGAGTAGCTTTGCTTGATGCTGATCTCCGCTACTGGGATCCAGAATACTTCGGCATTCGTCCAAGTGAAGCTGGATACCTAGATTCTCAACAACGCTTGCTTCTCACCAGTGTTGCCAAGCTTCTTGACTCATTGTCTATTTCTAGTCTTCCAAGTAAAACCGGAGTGTTCATTGGATGTTCAACCTATGAGTTTTCTCAAATTGTATATGCTCATAATCAGGAAAATCCAAGAGCAGAATGGGGTGGAGGCACTTCGAATTCCGCTCTAGCTGGGCGAATTGCTCACTGGCTAAAACTGAAAGGACCCGTTCTGACAGTGGATACCGCTTGCTCATCTTCATTTCACGCTTTATCGTCTGCTTGCGAAACTATCCGTTCAGGTCAATGCGAATGTGCAATCGTTGGTACAGTCAATTTAGTTTTGCATGAAATGACATCCAATGTGCTTCAAAATGCTCAAATGACGGTGCAAGACTTTTGCAAAGCTTTTGATGTTGATGCAAATGGATACAAGAGATCAGAAGCGGTTTGCACATTGCTGATATCAAAAACTGGAAAACTGAAAAGTATGGCCAGTATTGTGGATTGGGCAGTTGGTCACAACGGGAACAGTTCTTCTTTGTTCACACCAAATGGAATATCCCAACTGGAAATTATGAAAAAAGCTACAAGCAACACCCGTGATATCATTGGTGTCGAAACCCATTGTACTGGCACAAAACTCGGAGATCCTATTGAGCTCAGTGCAATCTCAAAGTTAATTTCAACTGATTGCTCAATAAGCAGTAGCAAGTCAAACATCGGTCATGCTGAAGGTGCAAGTGGGCTCGTTTCTCTCTGTACCCTGTTAATGTCTCTGCAGACAAAGTACAAAATGGCACAACTGCATTTGAAATGCCCAACTGAAGTGATAACAAAAGGTGCACTACATTGTCAATTTGTTGGTGAAGATCTGTTAGCTGACGAGCACTCGGCATTCCTTATCAATAATTTCGGTTTCACGGGCTCTAACTGTTCTTTGGTCATCAAACCAAAACAAAATGATCCCGAAATTCACGAATCGAAAGATGTGTTCTATCCAATGCTCTTATCAGCGCACACTATAAAATCTTTGGAGAGATATATCAGTGTATTCAGAGAATTCGTAGCATCTTCTTCTGCATCTCTCCGTGATATCATGCTCTCTCTTCTCCAAAAGAAGGTTCACGTACACCGACAATTTTTGATCTACAGCTTCAAAAGAAAACTTGTTTCGGATCAATTTGATGATGAGAGATGGAACCCAATAAGACAGCGTTGCATGGTTTTTGTCAAAGAAGGAACAACTGTGTTCGAGAAAGCAACTCATTTTCAAAGAGTTCAACTACCACCAATTGTCTTCAATAATAGTCTTCATTGGAAATTGAATCCATTCCATGATGAAATTGGACAACAACCTTGCGTACCTCTCCGGGAAATATTCTTCGAGAAGGTGCTAGTAGAAAAAGCCGAGAATAATGAACCTCCAATGAGAAATGTCGCTTGCGTTGGGCGACTAACTCTCATTCCGAAAATTGAAATGGAAGAGGTCTCTTGTTTTCTAAACGGAATAATTGTGTTCCATCCACTCTCCAATAGTATTGAAGAATTTTTGAAACTCACAGAGCTATGGAGTCTAGTCAGTCCGGATCAAAATAGTGTTATCATTGTGGCCTGCTTCAAAAATGGAACTTCTCATACCGAATGGACAGGAGTGCTGCGATCTTTGGCATCAGAGAAGCCAATACTCTACAAATTTGTGTCAATCGACCATGTCGATCATTTGAAAAAAGAGTTCAACTACCAAGATGTCTTTGAATCCATTTTTTACTCCAATGGTTCACGTTATGTTGAAAGATTAAAAAGGCTCACACCAACCCCACAAAAAATGGAAGAAATCGAGAAGTGCCTGATTTCTGGAGGAACTGGTGGAATCGGAAAAGCTGTTTTAAACGAGATCAAACCCAAAAAGTCAGTCATCATCACAAGAAAAGAACCAAAAGAAGAGGAAACCAAATCTTACTTGTCTTCAGATGTCGCTGATTTTATTAGTCATTCCAAATTTGATCATGTGTTCCATTTTGCTGGAACCGTCAAAAATGCATCTCATCTAAATATCAAAAAAGATATTCTAGAAGAAATGGTGTTGACAAAATTTCAAGGAGCCAAAAATCTGAACCGATGTTGCTCAAAATTAGGAAAGTTCTACTTTTCATCGTCAATCGCTTGTATTCTCGGTTCGTTTGGACAGTCTAATTATACATTTGCAAATGGTTTGGTGAACTCATTTTTGGAGAATTTGTCTCGAAACACTAAAATCATACACTGGGGACCTTGGAAAGAAGTTGGTATGCTGGCCAAATCAGAGTGTGATGATATCAAAAAGCAAATCGAGATGAATGGATGGATTCCGCTTTCAAATTCAGATGCCTTGTCGGTGTTTTCAACAGATCTGATAAATTCCAAACATCAAGTAATTGTTTTCGATGGAAACTTTGAAGAAATTGTGTCCCGACAACCACACCTACAGAATTTGTTGTCTGAAATAGTTCTGAAATCAACTGCTCAGAAGAAACAATTTTCCGACTTTGAATCCATTTTCTACGATGTCGTCGGCATTAGGGACATGAACGATAAGAAACATATTCCATTCATGGATCTTGGAATTGATTCTTTGTGTATGGAAAATCTACGACACACTCTCAACGTACACCTCAACCTGGAATTGAATGTTTCTGAAATTTTTGAAAACGCCACATACGAAAAATTGAAGAATTATGTGGCCAGTATGCTGAAATCGAAATCTACTGAGAAATCAAGCCCGAAAAAAAGCGATAACATCACTAATTTTAGAGAAAATGATAATCGTGTAGCTGTGATTGGATGGAGTGCAGAATTTTCTGGAGCTGAGAATATTGAAGAATTCTGGGAAAACCTGCTAGATGGCGTAGTATCCACTGGCAAAGAAAACAGTCTGCTGAAATCTCCATTTGGTTTTGATAATAAATTCTTCAACATCACCGATGAAGATGCCAAAATGCTGGATCCTCAAGTGAGGAAATTCATCCAACACTCGTACTTGGCATTAGAAAATTCTGGATACGTTGATAAGCGGCAGGATCTGAAATTTGCAGTTTTTGCTGGATCGGAACCATCTGACTATGGAAGACCGGAATCTCAAAATGATGCAATGAGAAAACTATTCGTTATGAACATGAACAACTATCTTGCCAGCTACGCATCCTACTGTCTTGATTTGAAGGGAGAAACTGTATCTGTGTACAGTGCGTGTTCAACAACTTTGGTGGCTGTGGCAAATGCAGTGAAAACGATCCAAAGTGGTTCTGTGGATTACGCATTAGTGGGTACAGCGTCAATTGCAGAAGCTTCCGAATGTCTTTCTGGAAATAGTGATGAGAAGAAAACAATATTCTCAAAATCTGGAATATGTAGACCATTCGATAGAAACTCGGAAGGAATCGTGAGAGGATCTGGTGTTGGATGTTTGGTATTGAAAAAATATTCAGAAGCAAAAAAAGACAACGACAATATTCACTTTGTTATCAAAGACTTTGCAATCAGTAATGATGGAATTTCTCGTGCTAGCTTCATGGCACCAAATCCAGCTGGGCAGCAGAAGTGTATGACGGAAGTTTTGGAAAAGTTGACACAAGAAGAGATGAATAGAATCGAGTATGTGGAGTGTCATGCCACTGGCACGACACTCGGAGACACCATTGAGATGAATGCGCTTCAAACAGCATACTGTTTCAAGAAAAATCTACAAATTGGTTCATGCAAGGCTAATATCGGACATGCTTATGCAGCATCTGGGCTGGCATCTTTGATCAAGTGCGCAAAGATGCTACAAACTGGAAAAGTTCCCCCGCAAGTGAACTTCTCGGAATTTCGTGATAGTTTTGGAACCTTTTTCAATGTTTCCACACAGAAGTCATTTATACAAAATGATAGTTTTATTGCGATTGACTCATTTGGAATTGGAGGTACTAACGTTCATATGATTATTGAAAGGCTAGGGATCAGAGAAGAAAAAAATGACGATGACGTGGAAAATGTGATCCTCCCAATTTCGGCGAACTCAAAAGCTTCTCTAGTTGAAGCTATTAAAACAATGGAAGTTCAATTGAAAAAATCTAACCTCAACAAACTTTCCTCAACCCTTCTTCATCATAGAAACCAAATGAACTTTCGAGCATTTATCATCGCTTCAAAAATCATTGGAAAAGTTCAAATCAAAAGTTTCTCTAAAATCAAAACATCTATGAAATCTCCAAAAATTGCATTATTTTTCGCTCCACAAGGAATTCAATTTGCCAACATCTTGCCGCATGAGTATGTACATAATTTTGATTTCAAATCTTCATTGGAGAGACATTGCAAAACTGCAGAACATCTTGGAGTGTCCAACCTTCTAGAAATTTTATACCCTGGGAATTATGAAAATGAGGATCTCATCCAAGACACTCTTTACTCTCAAATATCACTTTTTGTTCAATGTATGGCAATTTTCGAATGCTTGAAAGCTGTGATCAAACCACAACTTCTCATCGGCCATAGTGTGGGAGAATACGCAGCGGCGGTTATCTCTCAATGCATATCGGAAGAAGAAATGATGGAACTCTTGATAGAAAGATCAAATTTAATCAGTCAAACCCAAAAAGCTCGAATGTTGATGGTATGGAATTATGAAGAAGAACTTCCAAATAGTGTGGTAATATCCGCCATAATTGATCCCATCACAAAATGCATTGTTGGTCCAACCGAAGCAATTGACGAACTTGAGAAAACTTTCAAACTCTGCCAAGTCAAGTACCGCAACATCAAAACAAATCATGGATTCCATTCTAAAATGCTTCAACCTGTCTCCCAAAAATTCAAGAATCTCTGCTTATCTTTGCCTTCCGAACCTCCACGAATTCCAATTATTTCAAGCATCACTGGTCAGCGGATAAAACGATTCGACGCTGAATACTGCAGAAAACATCTTACCACTGCTGTGAATCTAGATCTTGTTGTGGATAACATCATCAAGTCAGGCGTCGATGTTGTTGTAGAAATCGGACCTACTGGAGTTCTTTCGAATTTATTGGGCAAGAAAAACTCAAAAATTGTTGTGATCCCAACATGTGGAACAAAAAAACACCCCAAAGCCTCATTATCCGATTGTATTGGAGAACTTTGGTGTTGCGGAATTGATATTCGTCCGTTGTTTCCGAAATTGAAGATTGATGGCAACGCACCCGGATATTGTTTTGATGAAGTACAATTTGGTGGCCACAAGAAGACCTTCCCTGTTTTAAAATTCAATTTTTACTCGGAAAAATGGAGCAAATTGAATAATTCATTGTCTACTACAGCTGCTCTTTCTGATTTTCAAATATATGACAAGAATATTGGATCAACTCAAACCTCGAAAATCCTCGTCTATCATCTTGAAGGTTGTTCGGATTCTCATCAAAATTATTTTGAAGTGGAGAAATTTCTAAAACAGTGTCAATATGAAACATGTCTGTTTATCACATCCTCTGATTCTGCAAGTGTTCACATTATTTTGGGACTGCTACGATGCCATCAAATTGTTTCAAGAACCAAAATCAAGTTTGTGGAGAACTTTGAGAATCTGGAGCTCAAAAAAGTTGTCAGCAATGCAATTGCCTCGGATGGCTTGTATGTTCGTGTCACTTCGGAAGGGGTGTTCGAACATGGCTTTTTGCAAATCTCTCCGAACACGCATTCGATAAAAACGAAGATGAGAGAGAATGCGTTGGTGTTTGGAGCGAGTGGATTTGTCGGCCAGTCTGCATCTAGGCTGCTGCATTCTTTTGGGACGAACGTTATAGAAGTGTCGAGAAGCTCGAAAATTTCCAGTGACATCCGACACTTGAAAAGTGTTCAGGAGGTATTGAAAAGTTTGAATTTGAAGCACTTTGATTATGTTCTAAATTGTGTTGGAAAAGAATCCTCCTCGAAAATCAACAAAACTTTTGAAGAACAAGAAGAAACGTTGACAACAAAAACATATGGAAATTCAAATATTCTGAAAGCTCTCCAAGAGTACAACATCAAAGTCGACAAGTATATCACTTTCTCATCATTGAGCTCTGTTATTCCTCTTCTCGGAAATTCAGACTATGCCAGTGCCAATTGTTATGTAGAAGCTCTCAAATCAACTTTCGTTCAGAAGCTATTGGTCCTATCGTTACCTCCACTGGTAGACAGTAGAATGTATGAAAAATCCACGGAATCCACAAAAGATATGCTCTCTAACTTGTCAATGAACTCGGAAGAACTAGATAATGCTCTCAAAATTGCGCTTCTCACTGAAACTGAAGGAACTTTATTCGTTTCACTGGAAGATCCTGCCCAAATCGCTAGAAAGAGTTTGAGCTATCACAGGAGAGATGAAATAGGAGAGGTTCCTGAAAATGAACAACGCGAATGTCTTGTAACCTCAATCCGCAACATCTGGAAGGAGACACTTGGACAATCTTTAGGGATTGACATCTCATCAAACTTTTTCTCCCTTGGTGGAGACTCACTGAGTGCACTTCAAGTTGTTTGGCAAGTTCAGAAGAGAACTGGGAAAACTATTGAAGTCAACGATTTGTTCAATAATCCAACACTTCAACAATTCACCGACTTCGTTCAAATGTCAAATTCCCAGTTTCGACCTTCCTGTCATCAAGATGACGAAAAAATTCCCGACTTTAATAATATCCAACTGACTCATTCTCAAACTCAAATGTTCATGCTACGTCAAGTTGATGTCACCTCCAGATACAATGTGATTTTTGAAATTGTCGTGAAATATGATATTTCATTTTGCTGGAATAGCTTGAAATACTCGATCCTCTCATTGATTGCCTATCAAACCAGTTACCGGAGTGTTTTTGAAAACTCCAGACCACCCATTCAAAAAGTTTGTTCCCTCACGGAAAGTTTTCATAATCTAGATGACAGATGGGATTTGTTGGATGCGATATCTCAAGAACTTTATCATTCATTTGAAATTGGGCAAACTACACCATTAAGAGTACGAATTGCGGAGGATAGTGATAACAATCAAATTCACATTGTTTTCAATCAACATCATATTCTCACCGACGGCTGGTCTATGACAGTTCTTGCTGACACCATTAGCAAGCTGTATACTTCGTTTAAACTGAAAACTGTTTTCCCATTGAAGTCGAATCAGTCGGTTGCTAAACTTGCAATCCAACAATGTGTGGAGAATCTTCAGGAAGCGGTTGATAATGCATCCAAATACTTTGAGAACGAGAATCACACTATTATCCCATACGACGTGTCTGCTGTAAAAGAAGAAAACCACAAGCGTTTCATAAAGAGAATTCCAACAAGGATCTGGTCAAAAATCGTGGATATGTCGAAGAAATATAGCACAACCACACACAATATTTGCCTGGCAGTTTTTTGTGAATGCGTGCGTTCCTTCACTGGACAAACAGATTTGATGTTTGCGTTTGCGAATTCTGGAAGGAATTCAGAGAACAAAGATCTTGTTGGATATTTTATGAACAATGCCTTGTTCAAAACATCCATCTCAGAAGATGTTGAAAAGTTTGAAAAAATATTAACAATCGTTTCCAAATCACTTAAAGATTGCCGTAAATGTTCGAATGTTCCATTTCACACGCTGGTTGAACAAAATAGAAAATTGAATGCGATATCGATTTACTTTAACTTCCGTCAAAAATTGGACTATCCCAGTGTGAGCATCCCCGGAGCTACATGTGAAATCAAACATCTCTCCTTAAATAACGCCTTCAGTTTCTCATTCACAATTGATGAAACCCCGACCGGCCCTCTCATTTCCATAGACTACGATAGCTCGAAATATTTTGAGTCTACGGTCAACTTGTTCTCCGAAACGTTTTTGAAAAAGGCAAAATTTTCGTTTTCAAAAGCGCAAAATAACAAAATTATACACGTTCGTCGGCGAGCCGACTTCCCCTCATTTCTTTTCCAAATTGACTTGTTGACCTCTTGGAAGCTATTTTCGGACGAGTCGCCTGCACTTTTGCTCTCATCAAACACCATAATGTACTCTGAACTGGCTGAGATAATTGAGAAAGTGGCAAAGTGCATTCAAAAACAGTACCAAATCGAGAGAGCTGCTTCAGTCAGAGAGGATGATATAATTGGAGTATATTCTAGTAAAACACCAATTTCAATTCTTGCTTGCTCGATATTGGGAGCCTCATATGCTCCAGTAGACCCCTCATGGCCCGAAGATCGACAACTATATGTGAAGAGCAAAGTGAATATCGTGTTTGATGAGAGTCATGATGTCAATTTCGAAGTTTTGAATTTGCGAAGTTTCAAAACCAGAACTCAATACGCCGGAATATACACAATATTCACCAGTGGCTCAACTGGTGTTCCAAAAGGTGTCTTTATGGCCGAACAATCGGTCTCCTCATTTTTGACATCAGCTACGAAACAATGCATGTTCCGTGAGAAAGTACGTGTTCTCGATTCGGTCAAACATGTGTTTGATGTCAGTGTTTCAAACATCTTTGGCCCGATGCTCAATGGTGGGTGTCTCATTTCTGCTGACCACTCCACAACAATAACCGACAAACTTCAAAAGTGTCAATACGCGTTCTTACCCGCCGCCGTGTTCAATGGATTTACCAGCGAAACAATGAGAAGGCTGAGAACCGTTGAGACGTTGACCATCGGTGGAGAGACAGTCTCTGATGCTGCACTGCAATGTGCATTGAAAATGTATCCGAAAATGAGAATCATTCAAATTTATGGACCCACGGAGACTTGTGTGTGGTCCCTGACAAATCGATGTAGAATTTCGGAGTCAGAAAATGTTGGAGCAAATTTAGGAGAGTCAATGGAAAATGAATGTTATCGAATTGTAAATGATTCCATTCGAGGTATTCTCAAAGTTCAAGGAATTTCACTGGCTCGCGGATACTTTTCTTCTAATCCTAAATGCTTTGGCAAAAATTACTCAACCGGCGATGTGGTTGATAGCCGATCAGGAATCGTTAAATACATTGGAAGAATCGACAATCAAGTAAAATGGAAAGGCGCTAGAGTGGATTTGACTGAGCTTGAAAAAGAGCTCCTTTTATGCTTAGGCTTGCTTCAGGTTGCAATTGTTTATTCGAACCAAATGCTTATTGCTTTTCTGGCTGGAACTTCAACAGCATTTCAATATTCTGACTTGATTGCAAAATTGCAAAACAAAACTCATCTTCCTGACCATTATGTGCAAATCGATCAAATGCCATTGAATTCCAGTGGGAAAATTGAAAAGTCAACTTTATTGCAGGCTTTTGAAAGTGTTCGCAAATCATACAAGCGAGAAATGGTCCCGATGAAAAATTCGTTGGAAGAGAAGGTGAGAAAAAAAAATTATAAATAAAATAAAATGAGAGTTTCAGATTGTCAAAGCAAGTGGTGACGTCTTGGGTCGCAAAACAGAAATCACCGACAAATTTTCTGATGTCGGAGGAAATTCATTGACTGCTATCCAACTTGCTCATCGGTTGACTGAAGAGTTGAAATTCGATGTGAAAGCTCACGAAATACTACAGTCCAACAATTTTGGAGATTTGAGCAAAACTTTGGCGAGTTCTGTAACCAAGCCAGAATCAAAGGTTCCAAATGTTATAACCAAATTGAGAGAGGTATACTTTTATGCCTAATTTTTAATTCATCTTTTTTTAATCAGGTGCCCAACTCGAAATTCAGCATCTATTTGGTTCATGCAATTGGAGGAACTATCTATCCATACTACTCGTTCCTGCAAATCTTCCCCAAAAACATTTCCCTTTATGGAATCGAGTTTGATTTAAAATATCCGTGTGGTGATTTGAGAGAGCTCGCTCATTTCTATGCACAGGAGGTTGGGATAATTGGAATTGAAAAACTAATTTTTAAACGTCAGATCGCTGCTCATGCCGGCCAGAAGCAAATCTTTGTCATGGGCCACTCAATGGGAGGAATTATGAGTCGTGAAATCGTGGCAGAATTGAAAATCTGGGGATACCAAATACCATTCGTAATGCTTTTTGATTCTTGGGTTCTTCGAACGAACGAGCTGGATATCGAAAATATTAAGCAATTCATCACTGTGAGTTTGAAAATATTTATCTAAAAACACTTTCCAGTATTTTCAGTACGTTTTCTCCGGCCTTCCAGATAGTGAACATCGAATTGATAGAGCGGTTTGCTTTTGGAATTTTAATTGAAAAACTCAGGTTTCAATTTTGCAGATCAAACTCGCTCAACTTCTCCGAGAATACAAGACCTCCGTGTCTGATACCAAACTATACCTGTTCAAAAGCAAACAACTTGGAGATGCCGCCTTCAAAAAAGCTGTTAGGTAGTTTGCAAAGATTTTCAGAATCTCCTCATTCTTTTACATTTTTACAGAGTGGATCTGAACGAGGAACTGTCCAGATCAATGACTTGCAACGGTTTTGATGAGCTCTCTTTGCAACCAATCGAAACATATTTGGTATGATTTTCAGTTTTCACTTCTCACAATTCGTAGTTTGAAATTTTTCTAGATTGATGGTGATCACGAGTCGTGCTTGAAAGTGGAGAACTTGAAGAAGGTGAAGGATTTCATTCTCGCTCCATTCAAACCGTATTTCGATCAAGCTTAAAATACTGATGCAGCTATTAAATAATATAATCTTCATTTTGTTTATATTTATCAAATGAAATCCGTCATTTCACGAAATTTTGTAATCTATTCATAAATGTTTCAAAAAACATTTTCCCATGCCCGCCACTCTCCATTCATTCAGTCGAAGCACATCGTTCAAGTCGTTTTCTCTATTGAAGAAGAACGAAAAAGAGTCTGTTTACAACTTCCTATACCTCCGGAAGTATACCCATTCCTTCCGTCGTCAGTTCAAGTGGTCGCGGGTTCAGACTCAAGTTCCCGTTTGACCTCGAATCTACTGGACAGCCAAGGAAAAGTATTTTTCGTACATTTTACGGAATTGTGTTTTAGGGAATTTTTTCCCCGTAGTCTTTGATGGTTTTTAATCGCACCCCATAGAAGTTTAGAGCTGTTTTGATTACTTTTTTTTTAAATTAAAAGTTCACTTTTTTTCTTTCTCATTCATCCAGATATATCCATCCCATTAAAAAAAAGCCGCTGGTTCACTTCTATCTCTTTCTCGCTTTCATCATTGTATTCATTGCTAAGAGAAAATGAGAAAACGCGAGGAGATATATAAAAAGGTCATCTGTTTGATTGTGAACCGAATGAGGAGCGAAGAAAAGAGAAAGAGAGAGGGAGCCAGTCGCGCCACCGCCACCCGAGATGGATAGAAAAGGAGGGCGAAGCGATGGACGAAGAAAATAAAAACCGAAAAAGCCGTGAGGCTCTTGTCCTTTTTTTCCGAAAAACAAGGAGGATGCAACTAGCCGTTCGCACCGGGGGCCGGTGTCCGAGACGACTTGGCCTGCTGCTGGTGCGGTCCCCGCATCCATTGCCCTCCTGTTTGTTCTCGTGACCATTCCCAATACTCTATCCGCAATGCACAATATCGAAAAAGGTTATTTGGTCACGATCGTTTTTGTGTCTTCACTCTCTGTCTTTGACCATTCTCTTAGTTTTCTCTGATTATGGTCAGAACCATTACAGTTAAGCCGACGAGCCCCCCTTTCAACTGTCCACGCCGCAAAAGTTTCGGTAAACACTTTGTCCGCGATGTCACTTTTTGTTTTTCAAGACTGACGTGTTCCACTTTTTTGTTAACTTGACTCATAATGGTCAAAGTAAATAATACCCAAAGTGCAAGTTCTTTTTTATTTTTAGACAATAATGATACTAGATACTAGAAAAATACTAGAAAAACTTTTACTAGAAAAACTTTTTGAAAACTTCTGGTCAATTAAAATAACTTAGACATCGCAAGAAAAAGATAAAGCTATACGAAAGTGCTCATAAATGTTCCAACATCACTTTTCCTATTCTGAATTATTTTCTGAATGTTTGATGATATGACTTCCCTCCCCCCAAAAGCTCTTTTTAATAGAATTAATTAATCGAAGGCAAAAGTATATTTTCTACTTTTTCCTATTTAATGAAGAAATGCAAAGAGTTTCACATCTTCTCACTTTATGATTTTTCATCTAAAAACACTTGTTTGTTCTTTTTTAGAAACGTTAGCACTGCCATCAATTTGAAGCTTAGCGATTTCTTTTTTGTTTCTTTGTATTTTTTGAAATTGATAGATGGTCCGAAAAATAATCTTACTCAATTACTCATTTCCGTTTTTGAAATCGTTGTCGAAATTGATAGCTGAGGTTTAAACCGAGTTAGCTAGTGCAGATTACTCAGACTTGGTATACTGTAGTCGTTAATATTTGTTTCAAACTAATCTTTGGAATAGGAACAGAAAATCAGTAACTTGGAATTAGTTCTTCTTTTTGTCTCCGCTTTTTTTCTAGAAAAAGTCGACTTGTTTTAAAAACTTCTAAAAACTCTCTGACCCAGGATCAAATTTCGGCCCAGGATCAAAGGCACATCAAAGAAGAATATATCAAGTTTTCAGTTTACATTGGTGTATGGGGTATATGGAACCTTTGGGTGAGGGCGTTTCAAACAACTCTTAATTTTGAAAAAAAGCGAAAAAGGCTGTAAAGTTTTTTCCGTCCTCCCACATGTAACAGAACGTTGCTTGGAACTAATATATTCTAAGGACTAGGTGAAACTTTCTTGATGTAGTCTTAGATACGGTTCCCTGACTTTCCCATCATTTTCTTTTTTGGGTACAGTAGGTTCAACTCGGCCACGGTTAATTCCATAATCCCATTGGAACGCATCACACCTGCTGCTGCTGCTCATTAGAACTCTCACAATTCCGAAAACAGTATGCACGTACTGAAAGGGTGACAAGACGCACGGTAAACACTTTCCCTCTTACTGTTTTCCGGCGTCCCCAACCTTATATTATTCGCCTCTATTCTCTCAACACTATTTACGTGTGTTGCGCGTACTTCCGCCTCCGAATGACCCGAGAAAGAGAGCTACCAAGCTGTTCGTAAAAGGGGAGAGATAGCGACTACCCTCTTCAACCTCCTCCCTCGAATCCCGCCCCTTTTTTGAGTAAATCAACCACTTATGGCCAGAATGTCAGTTCACTGATAATCGAGGTTGATTGGATAGTCGCTAAAGCTTCTTCATTTTGATTTCCGAGACCAGCACACACTCCACTTGTCTTCTTCGTGTCTGTTTGTGGACAACTCTATTGTATTGTAGTACCTGGTGAATACTACTGACAACAAAAGTAGTCGTACAATGCCAGTACAATTTTGCGTGGTGCGCCGTGGTCGCCTAGCCAATGAGAATAATAAGAAGAAGAACTTTTTATTGTTTTCATCACATCTCTCCTGTTTCCTGTTTCCCCTCTCCTCTCTTCTCACCTTTTTTCTAAAGCTCAGGTTTTTCCTCCAATGCAGTAAGATTACACAGCATTCAGTGTCTATGTGGTCTAGTTCTTCTATTGTTCTGCTTTGATTAACCTTGATGGAAAGCCCTGATTCAAAACGTTTGAATGTTTTGGCTCTTCTTCCCACTCAAAAAATTCAATCAACCCGAATTGCCTTTTTAGGGCCATTCGAAAAAAAAACTTTTAATCTAAAAACCCCTTTTGGGGGCACAATAAAACATTTTCGAAACGCTTTTTTCGTTTTTTTTTCTCCTGTCCCAAACCAAAAACATTTTATGTCCGTAGAACTCATCTAGTTAATGATGCTGTTGCTCCATCCGTTTTTTTTTTGGGTTTTTTTCACTTCTCCCAAAGATTTTAATTTGGTCAAGTGCATCTTCTCCCCAGCCATTCAGACCTTCAAACCACCGACATTCGTCCCTACCATATTCTTCTCTAGTGGTTTCTATTTTTGAAAATAACCTGGAGTACATCTAGTGCCTGTTCCAATACAACCGTGTCCTGACTCCTAAATATAACAAATTGTATTACGATTTTCCACCCCATTGACTGTTTGTTTTATGCTCTTGCCTCCTGCCTGGTCACTTTTCCACACCCCATGAACAGGCGTATACAACATTCATTTCGTGATTTGTTTTCCATAAACAATCCATCCTTCATTTTCAGATGACGATCTTCACCAAGACCGAAACCGACACCGATAAGAAAAATGCCGAAGGCGTCAAGGAGGACAACCCAAAGGTAGGTTTGCTCAAACTTTTCAGCTTCCGTCTGAGTTTTGTTCAAAAATGTTCAAGTTCATTTACTTTGCTAACTTCTATTTTAAACTAAGGGATTTAGCAGGTAGTCGTCTGCGAAGCTGATGAGGAGAAGCACATCAGCAACTGTGGATGGGTTCCGATGGAGGGAGGCAACTTTGACAGGTTTTTTAAATTCTTCTTTAATTAATCACACCCAGATGTTTTTAGGCCAAAGGAGAAGAGAAGCTCCTCATTCGGCCCACTCTCTATTATTCGACTTTCTCCATCACCATTGGCACGTACTCCATCCCCATCACCACCGGACTACGAGAACGCTGTCAATGCTCGCAGGTATTTTTGGCAGGGCCAGATGTTTGATTTCAAAAAAAAAACAAAAACATCAGAATGCGCCGCTGCACCAAGCTTACTTTCACACTCATCGCCATCTTCAGTTTTGTCATTTTGGTTTCTTTCTTCCTCTACCAACAAGGACTCATCAGGTGAGAGAGAAAACAAAGCTCAGATATTCTAGGTTGGATATAGATCTTGAAGAAAATCAGTGTTGTGATTACTGTAATTTTAATTTGAAATTACTGTAGTTCAAATTTCAGGTTTCTGTAGTTTTAATTTTAGATTACTGTAGTTCTTACTATTTCAACCCTACCTTTTTAAGCGTTGCCTACCAAAAGGGTGTATACCATGGATGGAACGCGGCCACCTTCTCGAACCGTGGAACGACCGAGCGTCTGGTTCAAAACGTCGAAATCAACGCCAACGATTCGTACGAGAAGATTGATGTCCCAAAGTTTGGATCTAACCGACCCGCGATCTTCTTGCACGATTTCAAACAGGTTCATTGAAATTCATTTGTCATTTGGATGCAAAATTGCTTTTTCAGAACCTCACCGCTATTGTTGATACTGTTGGAAACCGTTGCTTTGTCAAGGATTTGGACAGAACCAAGATCCGAAGCCCAAGAATGCTTATTGAGATGCTCAGAAACATTGATGTGAGGAGTGAAAATTCTAGAAAAAAACAAGAAATTCCTAAATTTCAGATCATGGCCCCAGAAGTAGCCTACGCTCAAACTCGCATGGTCCGAGAAACATACAACGTTGGGGATGAGCTCACCAAGGCCGATATCAGCACATTCAACAGTACCATTCTCTCGCGTCACTGTGCTTTCCGTCAAACATACAAGCTTAGAAAGCAGGAAGCTCAGACACGTTCCCGACGAGGTACATTGAAAAATTCTGAATTTCAATAATTGAACATTCGAAAATAATTGATTTTCCAGCCGCTGGAATGGGACCCGCCTTATCGTTTGCTTCAATGGCTGGTGATTCGGTGCAATTGGAAGAGATCAGCTTTTAAATTTTCCTAATTTATTCCCTCTATTAGAGATCACACGATTTTGCCAAAATTTTTTAAATCTTTATGCATATATCTATTATATTCTCTTACTCAAAAAGTACCCATCGAATAATGAGTTCTATTATACCAGATGTACGGTGAATTCTGGAATATATGCTTTCAACAAAAAATTTATTATTTATTATGCTGACCTCATCTTCCACTCTCCATTTTTTCCATTATTCTTCTTTTTTCTGTATGTAGATGCGCACCCGTTTCCTTCTCTCTCATTTTATTGTATTGCTTAAAAACAGAACAAAAAAAACAACTTCCAAAATGTTTGTAAGAGAATCCATAACACGTTCCCACAGTATGTATGGAGTGAGTTTTGTTTTCCTTGTTTAAAAACATGGTACTAACCTGCAAATGTTTCTCTGTCAGTAATCACCACGTGATGATTAACACCCACCCCAAATCCCCCAAACTGTTCCACACACTCTTTTTTTTTACTTTTCAAATAAAAAAATTCCCACTTGATTTTTCGAACTTCTGTTCGGGTGTGTTAGATGCGAATCACGTAAGACTGATAGCCGGAAATCAAGCGTCTACAAAACACAATGACGACCATTAAGTGGGGAAAGAGAAGAGAAAATTAATAGAGAGACTACGGAAAAACAAATACGGAAATGTGTCAAATCTGGGCGGTAGTTGTGCCACCATGCCTTTGGTGCCGGTATCATAAAAGGCGATTGCTCATTAGATTTTAACTCCGGTTTCTGATCATTTACGGTTTTCTCCCAAAAATGTTGTATTTCTTTTTCATTTTAGCTCTGTCTTTCCCATTAGGTAAGTTGAGTTTTTTACTAACTTTTGAAGGGGGTATGAAAATCTTCAACTTGAGTTTTCTAGTAATATCGTACACTACAAAACCGCCATGCTGTCGTGACCACTTAGGAGCAGCTGCTTGTTCGAAGCTAATGCATCAGAATACACGGCTTTTTGCAAAGAGATGTAATTCAGATGCGGAGTTCAGGTACGTAACAAAAGTGATAAAGAAAAAAAAATCTAAAAGTTGATTGTTTTAAAGCTTAATTATTGAAGTACCGTTTTTCCTCTAATCCATCTAGCTCACCCTAACTGTCAACTCTGGGCTCAATTATCTTGATACCTGTGAAAAATGTCAAAATTGTATCAACTGAAGAATTGTTCATCATATTATCACCTATATTTTATCAGTTGAGAATTTTTTGATGTCTTTTGTGGGAATCGAGATAATTGAGCTGAAATTTTGGGTTGGCTTATATTAAAGGAAATACAATACTTGTAACGGGCCGGGCTTTTTTCCGATTTTCGGAAGCCCGGCGGGCCTGTCATTCCACAAGTTTTGAAAATTTCAAAAAACACATAAGGGGGGACCCTCATGTGCTTTTTTTTCGAGTTTTGTTGATATTTTTTGATCAAACAGACAAACAATCCAAAAACACAAAAAATAATAGAGAAAATTGTATAGAGAGCTCAAAATTTGGCTCAAAATGACAAAATTTTTGCTACCGGGCCCGGGCCTTGAAAATTTCCTCAGGCCCGGCCCGGGATTTTACAAATATGGGAAATACAACATTTTGTTTGAATTTCAGGCAAACAGCTTGCTGAATCCCATATCTTTCAAATATTCTCAAGAAATTCTGAACAGATTGAGTAGAATCAATTTATCTCCTTTTTTCCAGACTAATTCAGTGCTGCTCTTCTTGCAATACTGATGGCGTTGGGATGGCATATGACTTGATTGCTCGCTCTCTTGTCTCTGAACATTGTTTTGACAGATACGGTCCTGGATTCTGTGACAGGTTGAGATCCCCTCCCCCACTCTCAAATACTGTTATTTTTTCAAATGTTTAGATATGTCAACAAAACGGACGTTTTTGAGCCGCATAACACGTGGTCGTGTGACGGCGAAAATCCTCAAATTGCTTTCCGTACATGTCGTAAATCGTGTGGCTACTGCAATTTCAGCGTCGTTCAGTACACATTGGATAATGCGCTTCAGGTGTTTTTTTTTTTCAAAATGAATTTTTTGTGAAAAACTTCAAATTATAGGCGTGTCGTGTTCAACCAGTGGCTGAGGAGAAGCGAAGATGGAGAGTAAAGTTTTATAGTTCAACTACAACAACAACATCATCACCGTCACCAATGGAGGTCATAAACTCGACCTATCAATTTTGGAACCATAATTAGGAACAATAAAAACAATAATAACTTATAATGAATAAATTATGATTTAATAAAATTCTCTAAAGACATTTCAAAGGCTCTGGAGATTTTATCCAGTCGAGACCACAAAATCCGCATGTCGATCGACAAACTCGGAAACCAAGTCTGAAGTGAGAGGTGTCACAGGACCAGCGTCTATTGTTCCAAGCATCATCTCCAGTCTCAAATCTGCTACAGTATGCTGGACTCATACGATCAAAACAGTTGGTGGAGTTTGCTTTTCCGATGAAGAAGCTAAAATCAATTTTAATATCTTTGAATCTAAAGATTAACTTGCTTTTGGGCTCTCTTCCGATAAGAAATTCCAGCTTCACTGCAAGAATTACAGCATACCACAAGTGAGAAATCTGGTTCCGTTTGGCATCTACAAAAATGATTAAAGTTTTGCAAAAATTAATTATACCTACTTCTGCGTGAAAAGCTTAATGTCCGTTCTTCTCAAGTTTTTACAAATTGATCCTCCGGATTCATCTTTACAGCACGGAAGGGCTCGATTTGGATTCAACTGGATCGATTTTTGAATTGTCTGGCCTACTAAATATATATTTTTTTTTTGATTAAGGAAAACTGAAATACTCACTTTTGAATTCTGGATTCTGAAACATTCTTGGTCTTATAATTGACATGACTCGCTCACTTGGAGTTCTTCGTCTTGAATACATTGAAGTGCTTGCTGAAATTTCACAAACTCAAAACTATTTGGTTTTTGGAAATATTCTTACCATCAGTAACTCCTGGAACTCCAATCAACAAAGATATGATACAAACTTTTGTAAGAAATCTCGGAATCATAATTTCTGATGAATGAAGAGTGTCTGGTCGAAGGTGACCGATTATTTTGCGGTTCTATTGCCGACGAAATGTGTTTATCTATCATTGACAGGATTGGCGTCGCCTAAGAAAAAGAGAGATTGGAGCTCGTGATTCAAACAGATAAATGTCCTCACCCCGGGGGGTTAGATACACTGCGGATAAATTTGGAAGTCTAGATAAATGGGCGCAGACGTTTTTTGATTTTTGATAAGTGGAGCGGAGAAAAGAGAAATTTGATGAGTTAAGAGTGAAGAGTGATGAGAAAATGCCAGAAAGTTGTTCGGTCAATATGTGAAATAATGTAGTTGGAGTTCTGAATACTTTTTGTTTACCGTATGACCAGTAACAAATGAACTCTCTAAATATTGATCAAATGTATTCTGATTTCTGTCAATGATATCTTTAACGAAAAATAGCTTAATAGTTGATTGTTCGAAGATGTTTAATTCCGGATTTCTAGACAATGGCGATTACTGTAAGCACAGTATTTCGCTTTCACAAGACAGTATCTAATTTTTACAGAACACCTCAAACAATCTAATAAAAGCCGCCTTACACTTGCTCTTCAACCTTAATTATCTCAATTTCTACAAGAAATATCTAAAATGTGTCAACTGATTAAATGTTGGTGATATTAGGAAAAACAGCTTTATCAGTTGACCGATTTTTGTCACCTCTCATAACAGTTGAGATGATTGAGCTCAAATGAAATTGTAGGATGACCTTTATTCGGGTGTTCACGGTATCTTGCATATTTTTTTCTCCCTTGTAGAATAGGTTCTTCCGGTTATTCCATAGTCTCATTTAATTTTTTGGAAAACTCCCGAATGCTCGAAATATTATTGGTATAACATTCCAGTAGCCACAACAAAAATACGCGCACATGCCCATTCAAATATATATTTGTGTTTTTCTTTTTCTTTCAAAAAGATTCGTATCATCATAGTACGTAATAAACATAATAATACGAGTGGGGACCTCCATATACACAGACCACACTCTTGGACCACACTCTCGAAAAACTGGGGTCTGCAACATTTTAACGCATATAGACCCCACCGTCGGGAGTCCCCGGAGAATGTTGAGGAGGCCTTGTCAATCAGATTGTTTCGGCTTTTGTCCTAAAGCGTTGTGAGCTATTGACGCACACTCAAAAAACGTAGGCATTTTAGGAATCTTCAACTTTTTGAACTTCTTTTTCTTGGTCTTTCTCTTCTCACTTGGTTTTCTCTCTCATGGTATAAATGACGGGTTTGGTGTTTGAAATGACAGCAACAACCAGAGAATTGTTGGGGATTTGCCCCCTCGTTTTCTTTTTTCCGACTTGTCTTCCAGAAAAACGACACTCTCTATTTTTACCAAGTGCATCATTCCCGGGCGGCTCTTTAGCGTTTAAGGAGGGCTGCTGTATATCTTGCACTTTTTTCTCAAAGAAACAAAATTACAACTTGGGAATACTTATAGCTCCCTAGTCAAGATCCGTGTGGTGACGTATATCTTCAACCAGTGGCAGTCTTTATCTGAACTCCAAAAATCAAGTACCTATATTTTTGGGCGTCAATCAGAAACTGACAGCAATAAAGAATGCAAACATTCGGAACAATTTTTCATTTTCTATCTTTTTTCACGCTTTTCCCGCTTTTTTTCATCTTGGTCACATTTCACACATTTCCCATTTATTGCATATTTGTGAATGCCAAAACATTTTTTTCTTCTCCCCTTCTCTTTTTCAGCCATTTGCTTTCATACCCGTTGAAAATTAGCCTCATTATTCGTGCCCCCTTTTCGTTCGTGAAATCCATTATTCTTCGTTTTCGAATGTGTCGTAGTTTTCTTCGGTTTTTTTCTTTTTGTTCATACCTCTTCGTCTTGTTCACCAACTATTTTTAACTCGTCATGTTTTTCATTCATAATACCTGGAATGCGTATCCCAGTTTATCGTCGATTTATGACTCTCTTGGCCACCGTTGTATTTTGATCAACAACACTACGAATTAAAAAGTGAGGTGTCGCTTTGAGATGAATATTTTATGTAAAAACATGCAACTATTAATTTCAAGAGCCGTCTAATTTCCGGAATATGAATTAGATGAGACAAAATGGGTGAGAGAAGGGGGATGCATATTTTTGTGAGCATCTTTGAGCATCGTATTAGTTTTTTTTTTCATTATCTCGGGATCGAATATCTTTTTGATGAGCTAAGAACTAACGCGAATTATGCATTTGTGATACACTGTGAATTGAGTGTTTCATATGTTGGTTACTGTAGTACAGACATGAGCGGAATTCCTTATTCCTTATTCCTTATTCCTTATTCCTTATTCCTTATTCCTTATTCCTTTTTTTTACAATTACTGAATACTTCATAAAAAAATTCTAAAAAACGGAGCAAGTTTGACGAATTCTTTGTCAGAACAGAAAACGAGTGTATCGGGCCTCATCTGTACCCCGAAAAGAAGCCGATTGAATAACGACACTGTTGACAAATTAACTTTTTGTTCACTCAATTTGAAAAATTATGGCCTGGAAAACTGATAATTCACAATTATGGTTTTGTTTTTCAGTGTTTTAATTCTAGTTTGAGAGTTCCCTCTCCATTTTGCTTGTTTGTGCCTCGGTTTGTGAGTTCTCTCTTCGTTTTTCGTATTTTAAAATAAACAGTGTTTTTCAAGACAAAAAGAAATCTTCCTTCGTTCGGAAATTTTTTCGTTCCTTATTCGTTATTCCTTATTCCGGGTGTTTTTTCTATTCCTTATTCGTTATTCCTTCTTCCGGATTTTTAAATTGTTATTCCTTCTTCCTTATTTCTTATTCCGGATTTTTAAATTGTTATTCCTTCTTCCTTATTCCTTATTCCGGATTTTCAAAATTTTTATTCATGTCTGCTGTAGTATCTCTTTTCGCTTTTTGAGTTTTGATTGTAATGAGAGGTAAGTTCTCAGGTTTTTCAATGCTTGTTTTTTTAAACAATCCATGAATTTTGAGATGGTCAATCAACTTCTTATTTCATATTTATAAATTTTTTGTTCACCCGAACCGTTAATTTTGAGCTCAATTATTTCGACTCCTGTGTAAGATATTAAAAATTTGTCAACTGATAAATTGTTTATTAATATATCACTAATATTTCGTTTGCCGGCACGTTTTTGATATTTTCCATTGGAGCCGAGAATAATCAGCTCAAAATTGACGGTTTGTGTGCGCTTTTAGAAGAAATACGGTATATAAAATTCACTTTTCTCTTCTGACTAATTGAAAATGAGAATTTTCTGACGAAATCATAAAAAAACGGAATTCCGACACAGATTAGCAAAATTCAAAATGAAAATTTGTCGATTCATACAATTATGATGCATTTATGAAGTTCTGTTTTTCTGACATGGTTTTCAACTTTATGAATTCTTGAATTAATTTTTTGATTTTGCATCAAATGTTTGCAGAACTTGTTATACTACCTCCCCAAAATTGGAAAAAAAAAGCGAAAAAATTTCAAAAAAGGATCAGTATCATCACCTTTAGTATTTCCAACTTTGTACCCCAATTCTACCACTTTCATGAGGTAAGGGACTACATCAAAATTTAATCCTCTTTATTTTGTCTCCATTATGTCCGCCACCCGGCCATCCACACCAAAACTAATGCCGAAATTCGATGAAACATGGACTAAACCGTATTATACAAATGACGAACAGCGGAGGACTGCCTAAAAACCTTGTTTCGATATTCCTATAAAGCTTCTCCTCTTATTGTTGAAGTGAATTGTTTGAGAGAGAAAGAATATAAAAATTTTATTGACTTAACACCGTCTCCTATTGTCAACTGTTTTTATTTGTTTAATTCACACATTTCGGCGGCCCGGGAGGGCCTAATTCTCAAATGCTGCTCTTCTTACCGACAACATTAGGAAGGCGTATTAATTTGGATTAAATACTTCATTTCCTGCCTCGCGGGTTTTTCTCGCTTCTCAAGATGCTTCCGTTTCCTGTTGCCATCTACTGACCTCCTGTGTGCATTGAGAACATACAATTTTATGAAAAAAGAAACATATATGATCTGCAGCATCTCCTACTATTTGGACAAATAGAACTTGACAGTTTTTGCGTGTTTTTTGTAGATTATACACTAGAAATGTCTGTTGTATCTCAACACTAATCGCGTAACTGATCTCATTGCTTCCTCCTCAATTCCCGGTTTTCTTGTCGAGCTTAAGCATCTGTGGGAGTGATGAATGAACAAGAATGTCGCAGAGAAACCCAACTCAATTTTTCAAAATAAAAGAGACAGGAATAGTTAATTCATTCCTTCTCAACCCGTTTTTCCTTTTTCTTTTTTTTCTTCTTATTCTTTTACTTCTTCCTAACCTTCCATCCCTTCAACATCTTCCGTTTGTCTTCTTCCCTGTTTCCGACATTCTTTTGTTTTTGTGCCACCAGTCAGATTGTTGGTGACACCTCTTTCCCTCTACCTATGGGCCGATTTCCACCGCGCGTGCCAACACACGTCCCCCTCTCTTGTTCTATTGTAAGCAGATTGTAAATCAATTTGCTCAATGCTGCAGACCACTACCATCTCCTCCCAACCATCCCTCATTGTTCATATTTACACAGAATGAGGGGGTGATATGTTCCCTTTCCTCCTCAAAGTACCTTATTATGTACGATGAGACCCGTTTTTCTTATCTTGGAACAAGATTGTTGGACATGGACTCGTCTGTAAATACATTGTCTTTTTATTGCCCACCTATTATTCCAAAATGAGTTTGCTTTTGTTTGAGTGTCCATTTGTGTTTACCTATGATTTCGTATGAGTTTTGATTACCCACTGAAAACATGAGTAAAAGAATAAACGTATACTTCTTTTGGATCAAAAACTACTAATCGTCAAACTAATCCTACCTCGTTTCGCGACGTCCGGTGACTCGGTCGTTTTTTCTTGAAATGACCACTATGAAGCTCTTTTTTTTTATTTTTCGATTAGGAGGAAACGACTATACATATCCTAAACATGAACTGAGAATGTTGTATTTAGATATTTTTTTAAAGTGATCGTAAACTTGATAGCCGAGCCCCAGACTCCTGAAAATGATCGGAATGGTTGGGAGTAAACTGAAAAATACGCTAGCTTACAAGAAATCTGTTGATAATATGATGAACGTTTTGCTAGTTGGCTTTTTAAAAATCTTACACAACATTAAGTCGCAAAACTCTCAGATATCTACAAGTTTTCAGTTTTACAATATTTGCGATAATGTTTGAAATCTAAATGCTCCCAAATAACAAGAACGTTTCTTTTTTGAACTGAGCCAATATTACTCACTTTTATAATTTTTTTTTGAAAAAAAATCTGAATCAGACTTGTTTTCGATACAATTACAAAACCATTATCCTGTGGCTCCTAATCTTTTCGTTTTTTTCCTGAATAATATCCCATTAACATTTTTCAAATTTTCAACAAAGATCAGTTACTTTATCACGTGTGTTGACTGATTCAAACTTCACACATTGCTAATGAATCTTCCGGTGACTCTCTCCCCAAAATAATTTCCGACTTGTGGACTCTGCGTGATTAATTAGGTTCGATGTTAAAAATTTCCCTCATTAACTATGCTCTTACGCATTCTCGGTTCTTTTTTTACGAATGCTCCTCTCCCTCTTTTCTCGGTCCAATGACAAATAATTAGAGGGAAAAAATTGAGAGTGCCGAAGTATTTCGGAACCCTTCATCATTTTTGAATTGTTCATATAGATTCATGAATACTCAAAAACTTTTGCTCTCTTAGCTCAAAATACTTGAGGCCCGTCACTCGTATTGTCTTCACCACTACTCAAATTTCAGCCAGCAAAAGACTAAAGCACCAACAAAATGTATGAAAAATAGGATTGACGCTTCAGAACAAGAGGGCCGACTCATTCTTTTTGGAAACTTTTTCATCTTTTGGAGAAAGTCCTAAACTTCTTGGGACATTTTAAAATTATGCATGTAGTTGAAGGAAAGACGAAACGAGTAAAGTCGTTTCGAACGGAACAGGACCTCGCCGTCACAGAAAACCGCACCTTATTATGCATGTATGTGTGGCGGATGCACAATGGGTCCCTCCTTTCCTTATTTCCAACTTGGAAAATCAGCACATGAGCAATTGAGCAGCATGGAACACTGACACATGTCGTTCGGATGTTACCACTAATCCTTGAACCGAACGGTTGCATGTCATTCTTAATTGAATCATATTTTTATGCTGATCCCTCCCGCGGTGTCGTCCGCCTCACACTTGAATGGCAACACATACACGAAATTCCGTGTCGTGACATTTCATCTTCTCGTCTTATGGTAGTAGTTCAATGTCTCCTTATTTTCTCCTAGCCTTTCCCTTCTCCCCCCGCTTTGCAACTTCCGTTCATTCACAACAATTCATCCGACACATCGGTCGCAAACTATTTTCTCGATTATACACTTTTCTTTTCTATCATCTTCTCACACATTCTTTTATCCCATCTCCATCCTTCCTTTTTTTAATCCAATATAGTAGGTCTGAACTTTTTTTGTTGCCGCATGTCTTTTTTTCAATATGTTTGCCATGGGCTCACAGGTGTTCTAATGCCATCGAAACCCACCACTCTCATAAAACCAGTCATTCTTGTTCAAACTCGACTACTATTTTCTATTTCGATTCTATTTCTACCCCATCAGATACTTTTTTTTTTGTTTTATATTTTTGAAACAAAAAACAAGTAGGCAAAAAAATGGCTGCTGTCAGAATTTGTCCATCAAAATCACTTTCTGACCAACTGTGTGATTGATAGTGACATAAAATTGGTCGTGGTGTTCAGAGTTTTTTGTGTTAAGAAAGTGGGAGGAAAATGCTGGAAACAGTATTATGACTCAACACACTGATACTATCAGAACACAAAAAAAACTAGAGGAAATACGTTTTTCCTGTTTTTCGTAGTGTTCCTTAGGATATTTATTTTTTGAGAAAATCTGAGAGAGCAGCCAAATTTCGTCTCCTCAGTTTTGTATTTCATTTTCACGTGAAGAACTGTAATGCTCGCTAGTGAGTCAAATAAGTCTAAAATTTCGAAATTTAAAATTTTGATCGTTTTATAATTTTTCGAAAACTCTAGAGCAATCATGGAATTCATATACTTTTGCCGGTTTTAATTTCAAATAAAATTGTGAGACAAACTTGTAAGTATACTTGTATTACCATCACAAAATACAGTACACCCGGTCAAGCTAGAAATTTCTCGAATAGGTAAAAAAAAACTCCCACGTAAAAAAGTCGGAACTAATTTCGACATACTGTTTCTCTCCTTTCACCTTTCACCGGGGGCTGCCTTTTCAATTTCAATTCTCATTTCATAATCCTGTCGGCAGCACTGATAACGTCCCACACATACCACCTCTAACATTCTCAAACTGTTCGCTTCTCTCTTTCTCTCTCCCTCTTTTGCCTTTCGAAAACTTTTGCTTTTTTTAAATTGAAATTTTTTTATTTGGAAAAAATAGCAATCCAGTGCCACAATTTTGTTTTCATTCCGCACCCACACACATTGCTCCACGCTTTTTGCATCGCACTGCTCCGGAGCATTCAGAATACATTAGCTCCTCCTCATCCAATTCACTTTTTGCTGTCCACGCTTTTCTTACAACCACTTCATTTTTTGTTGCAGCAGCCTGGTGAAAGCAAGTGTATTATGATTTCACAGTATACATTTTTTTATTTCTAAAATGCATCGCTTGTTTCTCACTGAGTGAATGTTTGCGTCTCAACTCCCTTTTTCTACATTATTGTCCCTAATAATTGTCTCTGTTCCCTCTCCGTTCCCGCGGGAACGATTAAAAAAGAAAAACTGAGTTTGAATGTCAGCTTTTCAACACTGTCAACAAAACTTTTAATGATGATGACGAGGTAAAAAAGTTCAAGTAATTAGGCAAAACGCATCGCGATGTCAATTCGGTTTTAATTCAACCCATTTTTCTCCTCGTTTCCGAATTGGGTACAGATGTTTCGTCGACCCATCAATCATGCTTAAATGGGAAGTTGAACATTCTCACCTGTTCGTTGTCGTTTACGCAATTGGCTGTTGGTGGTAGAGATCGTCACTTTAATCTCTTTTTCGAATCGTTGAAACCACTTTATTTTGAATTCCTCATTATGGAATACACAAAACGAAAACTGTCTCCGTTGGGATTCTCTTTTTTACTATGCCCATTTCCTCTCTTCACTAAATCACCATATCCGTTCCGAATCCTCTATCAAATCCCGCAATCTCTACAGTACTACTAGTCATAAGTTATCATAAATTACCATCGCCGGTTGCCAACGCCCCCGCGGTTAATACTATTATTATCATTACTTCTATTATTTTGATTTCCTGCAGTAATAACCGTTAAATGGTTGGGAGGCGTTCGGGGGAAGAGGTGGAGAGGAGTGCTACATGTACATAGTTAATAGTATAATTGCCCATTGTTTTCGATTGGGTCCTTCTGTCGGCGACGGCAACCGACGACTTTTTCTGTGGAATCTTCCTCTTTCACACTCTTTTTCCTGTCAACCGCAATAGTACAAAACAACTGTTCGTTTGTACAAGTGTACTTCACTCAAACAATAGAAGAATGATTAGGAAAGCTTGCCTGGCTAATTAGTTAGTAGGTTAATTCGACTAATGGGTAATTTTTAGAGACTATTGTTCTTTTTTTTGAAATGTAGAGTTTTCTTGTTTGATTTGTTTGACACTGTTATTGATAATTTGTTTTCACGATTTTTTTAAAATCCAGAAATTCTAATTTGAATTTTGAATTTTCATAATAAAATAACATCAGTTCCTGTCAGTCTTGTTCAGATCATGTTCAAATCTTCTTCTACCATTTGCTCGATTCTCATCCCCGACCTACTTCTCTAGCGCCACCACCTGCGCATAAATCCTTACTTGGCAGATGTCTTTGCATAATCGAATCCCGGATTCCAACAAGGAAAAAAAACCTCGCGCATCCGGCACCTTATAAAATCTTTTTTCCTTAGTCGTTATCCCAGCCAGAACCACCTCACCCTTGCGTTTTTCACCCTTTCCCATTGATTCATATTTTCTTTATGGCTCACAATGATTGCTATTATGAACAGATGTCTTTGATTTACATATAGTAAGTATTCCGTCACATTGCTCTGGAGAGTCCTTGTGGCCTATGCCGCAATGTACAACGTGTGCGCACGAATTTGTGATTCATTTGATCCTTCCGTTTCTTTTATGCTCATTCTTTAGGATAATTCTTTTCTTCGGCATTGAACTTTTGAATATAATCACATTCATAATTCATGATCACTCATTCATGTTCTTCATTTGTTCTAGATTATCTGAATTCTAGATTTGAACTTTCTTGCAAAACTCATATTTTTCAAAACCGAAATTTGAATTTCTCCGACTAATTCTATATATTGAGCATTTTCTGTACATTTACTCCTTCGCATTATACATTTATTGCCCCACCACGAAGAACTTATTCCAGGATTGCTATTCAGATGAGATGCAAATTGTACTCGTCCTCTTAGCAATTTATGGGACGACAACAAATGCTCTGCGAGTTGGTGAGTTCCCCCGTCAAAATATATTCTAATTAAAACCATAAGAGTGTCACATAAATGTTATAACTTACCTCCTGAATCTCATTCTCATAGATCAATTCGTGGAGCGACCGATTGGTATGCAAAATGGTGATGTACTCGATGCACAAATAACCGCGAGCAGTAGTTTCGACAAACAAAGTGTGGGACCTCAAAATGCTCGATTACACAGTGAACTGGCGTCAGGGGCGTGGTGCCCGAAACCCCAGATCAACTCCAAGAGCTACGAATTTTTGCAGGTACTGTGGCAGAGATATTTCATCTAAGAGAAGTCACTATGGCCACGATTATCCTGTTCACTGTGAGAAACCGTAAACAGATGAGAACATTTTGAGGTTAGCTATCTCGGCTTCTTCGAATGATATCAAAAAAGTGTCAACTAAAACATGTTGGTAATTTTAAGAGGACATTTGTTGGAAAATTCTTGATATCTTCTGAAGGAACCGAGATAATTATGCGCAAAATGTATGTGTAGGGTGAGCTTCTATTTGAGTATATGTGTAGGTTGAGGTGTTCTATCAGAGTATCAGTGACCATGCATTGACACGTTCGTAATAAAACGCGAGACATTTTGTTAACTGGATAAGTTTTGACATCTTATAGAAAGCGAGCTGCCAGAATGCAAACTGAAAAAAATTGATAGTTTATCAAATTTCAGAATTAGCGTATTTGATTGTCTCAGTTTTCGTGAAAACATTCTGTAATACATTTCTTCATAAGGGTTACCGTAAAAATGTAGTAATTACAGAAACTCATAAATTTCAGGTCACTCTTAACGACACCTTTTTGATCACTTCTGTTGAAACTCAAGGAAGATACGGAAACGGGACCGGAAGGGAGTTTGCAAGCCATTACATGATTGACTACATGCGACCCGGTAGTCAGTGGATTCGATACCTAAATAGATCTGGTCATGTGTACATGGATGGCAACTTTGACACCACCACCCCTGTCATTCGAGCCTTGGACCCTCCAATAGTCGCTTCACGAATTCGAATCGTTCCATCATCAAAGAACACAAGAACTGTTTGTATGAGAGCAGAAATTCATGGATGGAAACATGAAGGTATTGCATATTGCAAATTGTTTCAAAAATAACATAAATCTTCTCCAGGTGTCATCTATTACTCAACAGTGCCAGATGGTTCTCGTCTCGACACTCTAGACTTCAAAGACAATATGTTTGAGAATAGTCAAATGTACACTGAATCGGGCATCACAAGGTTCGTTCTGGTTTTTTTGGAAAGTTATTTCACTTGAAAGGGCATCAGAAACCATTACTATAAAAAGAAAGGAGGAGTTGGACGATAAAAGTTTCGAGAATAAAACGATTGATAACAGTTAACTTGATTGATGAATGTGATCGACAGGTTTTACAAAAACCGATTAATTCCAGGGGTCTCGGACTGCTGACGGATGGTTATGTGGCGCAGACGTCACCGTTTGAGAAGAATCAAATGAATAATAGTTGGATCGGCTGGAATAGGGATACTACTGGTATGAGAATGGAAGGGAAGAGGAAAAACGAAATAAAAATTTTTAGATGGACGTGTAACTATACTGTTTGAGTTCGAAGAGATTCACAACTTCACCGATGTAGTTCTTGCGACATTTGGGAATCGAATCGATGGAATTGACGTCATATTCAGGTGTGGTTTTGAAGACATCGAAGCTTAGAAAAAAACCGTAAAACCTGTGACAGAAGTGCCACACAATGCCCAGTTTGAGCTCAGGTGGCTCCGACTCTTTTTGAGGCTCTGGCGCTTTTTTAATAGATTAATCAATCAATTATCTCAATCACTAACTAGGGAAGGTTGTAACTGGGGTATGGGAATTCGATAAGAGACCTATATCATTCGAAAGCTGAGAATGAGACATTTTTAAATCTATATTCAGATTTTGCTGCGGGCTCACCAGTTTCGAGAAAAACAGGTTTGAAATTCGGCTCAAATTTGAGTCCGCCGAGCGCCTCATCTTCCCTCTTTCTTATACGCATTGGATATAAAAAAGTCGGTATAAAAATCTGTCAAGTAAAAGAACACTTATGATTTTATGATGATCCATTTATTAGTTCACAACTTCTTTATATCTATCAAATGAAGCGAAAAAAATTGGCTCAATGTTAAAATTTCGGGGTCTTTCTATTAGAGGTTTCACGGTATATTACTACGCGTCATACTTTGTTTCGAAATTAATCTTGAGAAAAAGCTTATACATCGTAGCTTGCTCAAAAATCAAACTGAAACTATATTTTTCAGCCAAGATGGAAAGACGTTCCCACTATTTTCTCAAATCAGTTCAAGTGAAAGACAGACGTTGAATAACACCAGTAGACGGTAAATCCAGTATGATTCTGGGTTTACCAGAAATTTTTTCATTTTCAGATATGATTTCCGAGTGCCTCTTCACAATCGGGCTGGGCGTAAGGTTCGAATTTCCATAAAGTTCTCATCAGATTGGATGTTTCTGACAGAAGTTCATTTCACATCAGGTATTTTTAAACACACAGTTTCTCAAAAAAATATCAATTATTTAGCTGCTAACCTTACACTCATGACTGAAAAGGTCCCGACTCCTGAATCAGCAACAACGCAAAAGTTGTCAGTAATCGGTGGCATAATCTTTTTACTGATCTTCGTTGGTAGCATCTATTGCATCTCGGTTTGTCTGAAACGACGGCAAAAGAACAAGAGCGTAGATTCAAATGTCAAGAAGGACCTGATAATTACCCATATGGGAAACAAACCATCGTGCCACGTGTTCCCATCAAATGGAAAGTTGTCAAATGGCCATTACGAGGTTGCCAATGACATTTTGTATACGAGATCTCAGAAATCTACACTGTTGAGGTCAGTAATATTGTTACTGATGTGGCTACTTGGTTATTTCCAGCGTTTCCTCAAAATCCAGCTCATCTTGCCGGGTGATACCTCCGACGTGGAATGATTTTAATTTTCCACCCCCGCCAGAGCCGAACAAAGAAGAACACACATATTCCCAACCAGTGTCTCCTGAAAATAGCAGCAATGGGTCTTATAAAAGTGTCAAAAAAGTTCCTGCCCTGTTAGTTCGCGCATTCTGTATTATTTCAAAACATAAAAATTCCAGAAAGAAATATCCAACTAGCGCGCTGCTCATTGGGAAAGCAATTGGCGAGGGAAAGTTCACAATGATCAAGGAGTGTATCATTTTTGGAGGATTGAAATGTGCTCACAAATCGTCGAAGGAAGAAGATTGCGTGCATGGGACACGAGCGATGGGCGATGAGATATCATGCCTATTGAAATGCGGAAGGCATCCACGGATTGTCGAACTCTACGGAGTCGATGAGTCATACAATTTGCTATTGGAGCCTGTGGAGTATGGTTGCATTCGGAACTTCTGGCTAGCATCGGAAACATCTTTGGAGTAAGTTAATGGGTTAGAGATTGAAGGGAGCATTGTAATTTTATATTATATATTTTGACAATTTTCATAAAAAATAGTTTCGTTTTCATTTTTCATGAGCCAAATAACGTGGTACCGTATCCAATAGAAAATTAATTAAAAATACAGTACCGGACAATAATGAAAAATTGTTAAAAGTCCTAAAAAAGTTATATAGCATTTTCCGACATGTCTAAAAATATTCCAATATATATTCCAACAAAATTGGAGCGTTCGTTTTTCAGTTCGCTTTTTTGTAATACCCGAAAAAGGAAATATGAGTGGTTTTCGAGTGGCCCAACTCTTATTTTGATGCTCTTTTTTAGCATATCGTATTTTTTTGTTACACATCTCACCGGAATGGAATTTGGAAAAAATACTGTCAACGTGAAAAAGGAAATTATACTTTTGTTTATTATGATCTTGCCAAAACATGTATGACAAGTTTTTGTCGTTTACCGTAGACTGATAAATCTGAATTTGCAACCAAGTTAATTCATTTTTAGCCAGCTGAAGATACTGAAAAAGACAAAAGTTAAGCAGTAAAAAATACTCAGTCTTATTCCTCATTTTCAGCACCGAGTTCCTTGCAAGAATCTGTAAAGATGTCTTCTCTGCAATGACCTACTTGGAGAGCATACGAATAGTTCACGGCCACTTTACACCCAACAACATCCTTCTGGATGGCGAATTCCATGCGAAAATTTGCTCACCACGCGGACCATCCCACCATGCTCAATTACGATATTCTGCTCCAGAATCAATTGTAAACGTTAGTTTCGAATTTCTGAAGACCTTATATCATTTCATACGAATTTTCCAGAACGAATTCACACACAAATCAGACGCTTGGGCAGTGTCGACAACGGTTTATGAGATGGCTTATCAATGCAGGCAGCGACCATACGAGGAACTAACCAATGAGCAGATCGTTGATAATGCTCGTGCTCTTTTGGATCATCAACCACATGCGGTGAGAGGAAAATTTGAACTTTCAGTCATAATGTTTTTCTCAGCATGTTCCATTGATTCCAACAGTGTTCCCCTATGAGATTATGCAACTTTTAACGCGAAGCTTCCGGATAGAGCAGACCGATCGACCGACGTTCGAGAGATTCTGGAAGGCCTTCTCTGAAATCAATTGACTCCTATAGAAACATATTCCACAAATGACCCCCATTGATCTCTAATTTTCTCTCCATTTCTTCTCTACTTATTCAGGAATTATCGCATTGAGATTTATCCTCCTCTCCTCATCTGCAATCCATTCGCTTTGAAAATGACACCCCATTCACAAAATCTTTCCCAAAGTTAGAAACTACGAGTATACATCATCATTATATTGAAGACAAAAAAGAATTTGAAAAGCGCAGAAAAATAGCAAAAAATAGCGATCGCATTGTCAAACAGAGAACTGTTTCGGCGATGTAACAAAAAAAACTAACCGACAGCAGAGAAATGAAATAAACCTGATCTTTTGATTTGTGATCGACCTTTTTTTTGTCAATGCCCTTCGCTATTTGCAACGCTATTAAACCTATTAGACTAGATGTTGTAAATTTGAATCCTTCCTAAGAGCAAAGTGAGCCTGACCCAAGACACATACACATCACGTGACCTCTCGGACCAACGCAATCGTTTGGTTACCTCTTCTGCGCACTTTCCTCTTTCTTTCTCTCTTACTTTCCAATCGCTTTATTGACCCGGGCTCTCTATCTCGTTTGTTGACTGTAGTTATTTGATTGTCTCTGCAGTTTTTCTCAGTTTTAGAGATCAAAAAAATATTCTCTTCGGTCCTTATCCTTTCTTATCTTATCTTTTTCTTCCCTAAAATTTGTTAGTAGTAGATAACTACTGTGGTGTACTCTGTTTAATTGGTCTTTACGCGTATTGAATTTTTATTTCACACTGAAAATAAAGTTTTATCTTCTTATTCTTCTTAATCACGCGACCTTCATCAGTTCTATCATTTTCATTCCTTCTATATCATAAAAATGTCAAAAAAAAAGAGTGAGTCGAAAAATATCTCTTGCATGAAACAATGAACCTGCTTTGAAAATATATAGAAGAAAGATAAAAAGAGATAGGACACAGATCTATCAAAACGGAGTGACAATCGAAGACTTGATAACCTGAACACGTGGCGCTGATGATATGCAGTATATTAGGAAAATCGGCTGTAATCTTATCAGTTCTGTTCGGTTGATACGATCTCGGCATTCTCATTACCTCTCTCACCTTTCTCTTCACCTTTTTTGCCTATATTATCAGTTCTCATTTTTCTTTTCAATATAGTCCCCTCGTCCTCTTTCTATCTTTCTCTCTGTCATTTGGTCTGGCAGCGCGGGTTGCTGCCTGTATCGTGTCGTGAATTTTTTGTCTCCTTTTTGACTGATGTTGATAGAAAAGTTTCATTCTGTACGGTAGCATGGGTATTTTATGTTTCAAGTCACACTTTTGCGATTTATAGGTGTTGTTCCCTTAAAACTCTGACCTTTTTTTTCATTTTTCTTCAAAATAATTCTATATTCCAGATATGACTCCGAAACCTAACACTTCCAACCCAAACGTCGGGCTTCCACTTCTCAGCAAGGATTCTCCGGATATTGAGGTATACATCTTACAAATCTCCAGAAACCATTTTTAGGCCCAGTCCAGAATCACTTTATCAAAATTGGATACTAAAACAAAGTTCCGTGGCAGGCGCCTTTTCTCCGTTTCTCGATTTTTGATAAGAGACAGTACCTGATAACTGTCGCACGTGCGACGTACACGTGCAGCCCGATAGCAGCGTTTTCGAGAAACCTTTGATCTCTCGTTGACGGTCACGTTTGAGAGTTTCTCTATAAAAGTGGCTGTGAACTTTTCAAAATATTGAGCAGAAATTCAAAAATATATAATATATTATTATTAGAGTGAAAATTTATTACATTACAAATTATGGCAAAAGGGTATCCACATGGTCCCAAACAACACCTTGATTCAAAGAAAAACAATTTCAAAGTTTGAAATTGAAAGGATATATAATAAATCTGAACGTTTTCAGATTTATTATGTCTCTGATGTATATTTTATTCAATAGAGCACCACCCCAATCCGTCAACTTGGTGCTCAATCATCTCGGATAAGAGATATCGAAAATTGGTTAAATAATTTATCAGTTGACAAATTTGTGATATCTTACACAAAGAATCAAGATAATCGAGCTCAACGTTGTCTGTCGCTTCGGTAGATTTCTACTACAGGATTTACTGTAACCAGCCTGTTTGCCGCGCCACCGGCGCTTCAAACGGTAGGCTGGTGAAACCTACAGATTGTCGCTCCGCTTCTTTAATTTGAAACTCTATGATTTTTTCTCATTGTTCTTCAGACTTGCCATACCCAAACATTTTATGGTAGATCGAATTTGGTTTGTGGTATTTTTCTTCTAAGAAAATTCTCTTCTGAGAAAAACTGACAGACAAACAAAAAAGAAAATAGACACCACTCCATTTATTTATTATAAGATTATATATATAACAAAAATTTCAATTTCCAGAGTCTCCTCATCCTTAACCCAAAAGTCCAAAGCAAGGCCAACGCGGTACCAAGTGCTGTCACCAAGAAGAATAAGCACAATTGGAAGAGAAACGAGGAGAAAGGATGCGGAGCGGTAAATTTGTCAATTTTCAGAACATTTGTTTCATTTTACGTTTCAGTCTTGTGGAGAATCCAAACTGAAAAATGATTTTCGTGACATCAAGCACACAACTCTCAGTGAGCGCGGAGCTCTGAAAGAGGCTATGAGGTGTGTAATGAACTTTAGTTTTCTCGTAAACCGATCTTTTTGCAAAATCGGATTTTTGAACTGTTTCCCTTTTTCTCATTTTGTTGATACCTGTGACGTAGTGATCTTTGTGAAAAATCAGTTCTCATAATGTGATAAGGAACAGTTTTTTGTTCCTCAGAAACGTAGTAGCAAAACAAACTAGAAAAAATTTAAGATGCCTCAAATGTGCCGATGCACCATGCCAAAAAAGTTGCCCAACTCAACTCGACATCAAGAGCTTCATCACTAGCATCTCCAACAAGAATTACTATGGAGCTGCTCGTGCCATTCTCTCTGATAACCCACTTGGACTCACTTGTGGAATGATCTGCCCAACTTCTGATCTTTGTGTCGGATCGTGTAATTTGCAAGCCAGTGAGGAAGGTGCCATCAACATCGGAGGACTTCAACAATACGCTTGTGATGTTGGTTATTCCAAGAATCTTGAGCGAATTCCTTAATATTTTTTACAGGTGTTCAAACAAATGAATGTTCGTCAAATCGTTTCAAAGGAAGTCCGTGAAAACCGCAACGCTTCCCACAAAGAGCAAATTGCTCTTATTGGTTGTGGACCAGCCAGTATTTCCTGTGCCTCGTTCCTGGCTCGCCTCGGATACACTGACATCACTATTTACGAGAAGAGAGCATATATTGGAGGACTCTCATCTGCCGAGATTCCACAATTCCGTCTTCCATATGATGTTGTAGACTTTGAAATCCAATTGGCCAGAGATGTTGGAGTCAAAATCGAAACTAACAGATCTCTCTGCAAAGAGGATATCACTCTCGACAAGCTGAAATCTCAAGGAGCTGCTGCCGTCTTCATCGGAATCGGAAATCCAGAGCCAAAGATTGACCCACTTTTTGAAGGGTTGACTATTGAAAATGGTTTCTACACTTCCAAGAATTATCTTCCAGCTGTGGCTGCTGCCAGTAAACCAGGTATGCATCCATATATCCGTGCCTGCGTCAAGTAAGTTCCTTTTTCAGGAATGTGTGGATGCAAGCGTACCCCACTTCCAACAATGAGAGGTCGTGTAGTTGTTTTGGGAGCTGGAGACACTGCTATGGATTGTGCCACATCTGCTCTCCGTTGTGGAGCTTCTCGTGTCACCATCGCTTTCCGTAAAGGATTCACCGGAATTCGTGCTGTTCCAGAAGAGGTGAGTCACTAAACTTTCCCTAATTACCCTTCACGCTCTAATTAACCTAGATGGAAGCCGCCAAGGAAGAAAAGTGCGAGTTCCTTCCGTTCTCAGCACCACGCAAGATCAACGTTAAAGATGGCCGTATTGTCTCAATCGAATTCAACAAAACCGAACAGGACGACAACGGCAAATGGTGAGTAGTATCGAATGGGGCACTGAAAGGGAAAGAGAATTTTAGCGAATTCGCTTTCGTTTCAGGTACGAGGATGAGGAACAGATTGTTATCTTGAAATGCGACTACGTGATTTCCGCGTTTGGATCCACGTTGAAAGAAGACACAGGTTATTTTTTCTTTCGTTTGGAGAAAAACTTTGGGTTTTAGATCTGTGACTGAGATTCACTTTTTCTGATCTACAAACGACCATAAAGTTGTTTTTCAGTCCTCTCCGCTCTCCAACCATGCAAATTGAACAAGTGGGGTGGAATCGAAGTTGACTCGACTACTCAACAAACATCCGAAGCTTGGGTATTCGCCGGTGGAGATGTCGCTGGAGTCGCTGAAACTACTGTTGAGTCTGTCAATGACGGAAAGGTACTTATCAGACCCTAATGGATCTAACATTCAAAATTCAGATCGCCGCCTGGAACATGCATCGTTACATTCAAGCAAAACACGGAAACGTTTTGGGTGAGACCCCGGAGCTTCCAAAGTTCTTCACTCCAATCGACGAAGTTGACATCTCCGTTGATATGTGCGGTGTGAAGTTTGAGAATCCATTCGGACTCGCTTCTGCTCCACCAACCACTTCTGGTCCAATGTGCCGTCGTGCTTTTGAGCAAGGATGGGGATTCATTCTTACCAAGACTTACGGATTGGACAAGGATCTTGTCACCAACGTCTCTCCACGTATCGTCCGCGGATCGACCAGTGGACCATTGTACGGACCAAATCAAGGATCCTTCATGAATATTGAATTGATTTCTGAGAAGTCTTGTGAGTACTGGCTTCAGTGCATCCGTGAGCTTAAGCGTGACCATCCAACAAAGATTGTGGTTGCTTCTATTATGTGCGTCTACAACAAAGAAGACTGGATTGAGCTTGCCACTAAGAGTGAGGCTGCTGGAGCAGATATCCTTGAGCTCAATCTTTCCTGTCCTCACGGTATGGGAGAAAAGGGTATGGGATTGGCTTGTGGACAGAGTCCGGAAATTGTCAAGGAGATTTGTAGATGGGTTCGCGCTTGTGTCAAGGTATTTAAAAGCTGCCGGTGTGTAGTGAACTCAACTTTAATCAATTTCTAGATTCCATTCTTCCCAAAGATGACTCCAAACATCACAGACGTTCGTGAAATTGCTCGTGCTGCTAGAGATGGAGGAGCTTCTGGAGTCACCGCCACCAACACGGTTTCCTCTTTGATGCATATGAAGGCTGATGGAAATGCTTGGCCAGCAATTGGAAACACCAAGAGAACCACCTACGGAGGAATGTCCGGATCTGCTATCCGCCCTATCGCCATGAAGGCTGTGTCTTCAATTGCCAACGAGCTTGACGGATTCCCAATCATGGCTACCGGAGGAATCGAGAGTGCAGAGACTGGACTTGGGTTCTTGATGGCTGGAGCATCGGTACTCCAAGTGTGCTCGGCAGTTCAGAATCAAGACTTCACAGTCGTCGAAGACTACTGCACTGGACTCAAGGCACTTCTCTATTTATCAGGAGCTGAGTCTCTTAAGGAATGGGATGGACAATCTCCACCTGTCGAGAAGCACCAGAAGGGAAAACCAATCCTTCTCCAAGGACAGAAGAATATGCCATTCTTCGGAAAATTCAGAGATGAGCGTGAGAAGCTTGAGGCTCTCAAGCTTTCGGAATCAAACCTTCTTGACACTGACAACTATCACTTTGCTTCAAGACCTGATACTCAAGTCGCTCGAGTACCAACTGTTGAGGATGTTATCGGTTAAGCTCTTCCAAGAATCGGTCCATATGTTACCTCTGGTAATCAAGAACACGAGGTTGCCATTATTGACCATGTAAGTTTATAAAATCACGAAATTTACAAAATAGAGTTTTTAGGATATGTGCATCAACTGTGGAAAGTGTTACATGACCTGCAACGATTCTGGATACCAAGCCATCACCTTTGATGCCGTTACCCATCAACCACATGTTACTGAAGATGATTGTACTGGATGCACTCTGTGCTACAGGTAAGATTAATACTTCGAGTAGCAACTACCAACTGATTATTGTAGTGTGTGCCCAATTCCGGAATGTATTCAAATGGTGCCAAGAAAGGGTCCATGGAAGGCTCCAAAACGTGGAGTCAAGCCAACCGTCGAGCCAGGAACTCCAAAGGTCGTTAAGGTGGATCAACGCGGAAGAGTCATTCTCGAATCTACTGGTGGTATGCAGTAAACTGGAAATACATAATTAGTAGTTATTTTGGTTACTATTCATATTTTCTCACACACTTATATGTTCTTGTTTCATGATTTTAGTCTTCATTTATCTTCATTTTCCCGAATTTCTGAATAAATTACTCTCTGAATCAAGAATGTACAGTTCAGAGATTGAACTTCTTGGCGCTTTCTGTGTTGTTGACAGTTAGGCTATTGTCTTTCAACTCATTCGTTTGCTCAAGCTCCACACTAACTGTTCGTATGTGTGACCGAAAGATTGAAGGAGAAAAGAACTTTTTGGAATTTTTCCTTCTTGCCACTGAACTATGGTGTGATGAGTAACTTTCTGGCAGGATTCAATGTAAAAGCTTACCAAAAACATACAGTGACATCATGTGCGAAGAGAAATCGGAAGCCTAACAGTTTTTGGCAGATGGCGGTAAATAATGGTGTACCTGGCAGCAAAACAACCATAATGAACGGAATGACCCTTTTTCTCTCGAGAAATCACATAATTTACCTGCGGAACTGACGTCATTTAATAGGAAACATTTGAATAACCTAGAAATTGTCACTGTTTTATTCCTAGTTTCCTTACATCCTCAGATCCTTTTTTCTTATTGTTTTCTTGTTTTTGAGTTTTACTGCTACCGTTTTTCCACTAATAAAAGCCTACCGAAATTGTCAAGTTTAAGCTCAATTATCTCGATTCTTGTGAAAGATGTCAAAAATTTGTCAACTGATAAACTATTCATCATAACATCACCAATATTTTACCAGTTGAAAAATTTTTGACATCTTTCACAGGAATTGAGATAATTGACCTCAAAGTTTACGGTTTGTGCGAGCTTTAAATAGAAGAAATGCGGTATAAATACATCCGCCGAGTTGTTTAAATTTTTCACAGTTTTTTTCATTATCTACGGATACCTCATTGCTCAAAAAATATGGATATTTTGATTTGCTGAAACTTGAAAATAAGAAAAATCACTCGAAAGAATATGTGTTCTCACCTTTTTTGTGTGCTATAACCCAGAAATTTGTCACAGATTACTATACTCTGTGAAAAAATTTGCATATCATACGTTGACTCAGAGAATAGCTTATCGTTTGTACAGATATAGAAACTATAATTCTAGTTATCTCTCTTCCGGTTTCATTTTTCGAATTCTGTATATTTTTGTACTTCGAACCTCATTTCACGGTATTCATGTTTAACTACAGTACCTCTGCGCTTTCTAGGTGATGAACCATGAATAGCTTTATAGTTTAACTTTAAAGTTTGAGGAATATCTTAATTTCAGGAAAAACTGTTTCTGTAGTCTGGCAAAGTCTGAAAGTCCACGATATGAGCTCCTATTTTAATTTTTTATTCCCGCTACCTTCGCATCCATTCTCAAATCTCCACACTTTTTTTGTACCCGTTATCCAGATTCATTCTGTCTCCAGCTACCTGATCCGCTCATCCCTCCTAGATCTCTCTTTCCACTAAACCACTTATTCTTCATCCGACACTTCCAAGGCCGAATTTTTTGGCCCACCTTTGCCGATACGGTACTGCCAAAATGTTGCATTTCTCAACACTTGGGAGTGGCGGCGGTGGCGCATTCCACTCATGCCGAACGGTGTTCATCCGTTTTGGGGGAGGGGGGGGGGGTGGTTAAAAGACATCGACAAGGTCAACCCCAGGAGAGAGTCCGATAAGTATGACCTCTTTCATTGAGAGAGCAGCCAGAAGGTAAATGAGGGGAGAGCGGCAGACAGGTAGAGTCAAACACGTCACTTGACGATGTGTTGTGTACGTCTCTGGTGGTGGAAGGTGAGTGAGTCTCTGTGTGTGTCTGTGTGCCCCCCTTCGCTAGCGTTTGGGTGTCTGTTTGTCTCCGAAGCGTCCAATATCTACATCAGATGGGAATCAGCGTCTCCGCACACCTGACATGGTCCCATCGCATCTCTCGTTCATCTTGAATGACCGCTGGTTCATTTTCCACCCATCTCTCTCCACCGCCCCTCATCTCCGGCAAAACCGTTCTGCTGCAACGGAAAGTAAGTGAAGAGTGAAGGAGAAGGAGGGCCACGGTTCGTTGTAAGAGAAGGGGAACGTTTGTCCAAAGATGGGTTTGACCTCTATACACCTCGTCTCTTCCTATTGCACCTTGTTTTTCCTGCATTGTCGTTAGGAAGGACGCGCATTTAATCCGAGCTGCTGCGGCCCATTACCTTTGCTACCGGAAGATTCTACAGAAACAATTTCTCACTTTTTCTGTCTCTGTGTTTCCAACTTTAAGACAACTCTGAATATTTTCAAGTCACTGAACTCCACTTGGAGGTTGAAAATATATTCAGCAATACTGAGCAATAAGGAAGTCCAATTTTTATGGTCCATTTGTTTCTCATAGAGATTATTCTACTCCAGTGTTGCTCTATTCTTAAAAATTGCAAGACTCACGTTTTCATATTTTTTGAACCCAGTTCTTCTAAAATTAACAAACTGTCAAGTTATTAACTTCTTATTAGTCTCTACAATTCTCAAAAAAGTTTTATTTCTCAAAAAATCTTCAAGACACGTTTTTTTTCAACTTTTCAGACGAGCTTCACTTTTAAGGACCCAGTATTCAAAAAGTCCCAAATTGATCCTTTCTTTTCTCACTTTTCACCCAACAAAAAATATACGGGTCATCTTGCTGACAGAGAACAATAATTGATTAGCAAGCATTGATGTCTCGGAGCAAGTGAACACATGAGGTCCCACTCAAACTTTTTGTTGCCTTTTATCTTATTAATTTTTACATCTAGTTTGCTTTTTCACATTTTATTCGTTTCCAGATGTTGTTGTCCTCAAAAACACTAATTATGTATTTCATTGTTTTTAGTGCCGAGCCAAACCCTCTCATGCTTTTCTTTCTTTCCTACAAAATTCAGTTTTCCTCGTAAACCTCATGGCTATTTTTAGTCGCTCTAATCTTAATGACCGCTATCATTAATTTTTTTAAACCCTTTCAACCGTTTTTTTCTGGAAACGATAAAATTTTTTCTGCTATTTTTAGCCTTACTGTTATCAAATGCTCATCAAATTGGGAATCAAAAGTAACCTGAACTTTGAGCCCTGTTGATATTCCAAACTTTTTGATGATGATGAATCTTTCTTTCGATTGAAAAAACTCTCCCCCATCGCCTGTTAGTTATCCAATTCTTCTCTTTTTGCCACCAATGTTTCTCTCATGTTTTAATGATTTGCCCTCGGTGCTCGGCATCCACGGCCAAACAGATAAGAGGTGATTGTAAGTTGTTGGAAAAGCTCTTTGAAAAAATGGCGGGACAACTTAGTGTCCGGTCTATGTTTTATTCAAATAGAGAAAAAGGAAGACACCTTGACCATTCCATAATCTCAGTGTTTTCCGTCCACGAAAAAGTTGCCTGCATACTATTCCGACTTTTCTGGCGCAATGCTTCCAACCCTCTCTTCTAACATGATGTTTGTTGGGAGGTAAGAGAGTGAGTGGTGAACAGGAGAGGCACCTCCTTAGTGATCACAAAAACCATGTCCTCCAAACATCTTCGCATTATCCACAGTCTTACGCTCATTCAAATTTGTTCTCATCTCCTTCTTTTCTTTTTTTTTTTTGTTTCTATAGAAACGTTTTCTTAGAATTATTACAGTTAATTTCGGAGTGTTTCAGAGACTTTCTCTAGCTTTTTCTTTAGCCTCCACTTGACTTTTTATGCATAACCGTTTGTTTGAAGGTGTGAATGATTAGGACAAGTTGTTACCTCCCGCTGTGGGGGGTTTCTAAATTCGGCGATGAAAGGGGAATACGCAAAACTATTTGTCAGGGCTTGGAAAGTCCCCCGTAGAGAGAAAGATGGGAAAAAAGATGCGTAAGCATTTTCTCAACTATACGCACCAATGCCTTTGACTGTCAATACCCCTCATTCTATCTCCCATCTTACTCCCATATTTTCACACGTTTCACATCTTATCAATAGCTATTCCAATTCATGCACAATCGTTTACTTTTTTTTGCCTCTGCATACAGAATTTTCGAAAAAAAACTTCGAAACCTTAAATGGCTCATCGACTAAAGGGAAGCGGTTGACTCATTTCCGTTTCTACTAATGACACTTGATCTCCAACACAGTGTCGCCATTTTCATCGTACCGATTGTTTGTCATGATAATATTTGTTGAGAAACTATTATCTTGGGGCAGCAAAACCAGCACCCCCCTCGTTCTCCCTGCTTCTCCTCTATCGCTTAGTTCTCGTCGACTTCTTTCTTAGGGGCCTCCGATTTTATGGCCATCAAAAGCTACCATAACCACCTCCCGATCAACACATTCGCATATAAACAGTTTCGGTTCCCGCTCCACGACACATTCTGGGAAACCGATCGATTCGTTTTGATGATTCCCATTCACTTTGTTTTTTTTCCTATTTCCCATGCTCTTCCCTTTTGTGTCACATCCTTTCTATCTCTATTTTTCCACACATCTAACCCATGATCGAATGTGTTGATTCCATTTGATTCGATTCGATGTTTGCCATTTTCGCTCTCGTCTCTCTGTTCTAACATTCTAGTTAGTGAGTAACTTGTGCGTTCCATTTCAGGCAATAGACATGTTTTATAGAAAAATACATGTTTATACCTTGTTTGTAATTCGTGAGACCATTGAGACTTGATACTGTAGTTATTAAATGGCTCCGAGTGCAAAGATCGAGCAGTTTTAAAAAGTTGGAGGTTGATAGAAGCTATGGTTTAGTTGGTATATCAGTATCATACCAGTTTTGCGGTAAATATCAAGATCTTTCCAATCTTGAGGATTCACAATTTTGGTGACTCTGATTTCAGTTCTAAAACTCGAATGGAGGTTTAAAGATTGAAAGCTCTGGAGCTATCAGGTCTTCTATTCAGCTATGAAAGTAGTTTCCAAACACGTGGCGGGATGCTGGAGATTTATTTTTTGGAAATTTTTTTTCTGAATTTCGTTTGAATTTTTAGAAACTTCATTGGATGTCCAAGATATAAGGTGTTCCTCCGTTTCTCTATTCCGAAACGCTCTATTCACCACATTTGGTTTTTTTAGCGTTCCCCTCACTTTTTCTCTCATACTCTTTCCCTCTCCATACTTTCCAATTCCTTACATGTTTTCGTACAATAGATGTTCTTCTCTTGAAGTTTTTTTTTCTACCATCTCATCCAGACCCATACACTACCATCCTCTCTCTCTCTCTCACTTTCCCGCATGCCATGACTAATGTTCCGTTGGCTTGTACATGTTGAATATAATTTCACACAGACCGTGACTCATCCGGGAAGAGTGAGAGAATAAGACAGTGTTGTTTTTTTTGCTGTTCTGATGTGTCCTCCTTTTCTGACCACTCATGTATCATTTCACGGTCCCTCCAGTTTCAATATGTGTACGATCTGTATGGTCAGTTCTGGATCGGACGCTCCAGCTGAAGATGGGCTCACAAGCTCATTTTTTAGAAATCTTTGATCTACCTGTTACCGTTTGCTAATTTTTGATAGCTCAGCTTGAAGAAAGAAACCACGTTGAGAAAGCTAACTAAAAAATCAGCAAGTTAGATTGTTTCATTTTTATCTATTCATCTATACACATCCGTTTCTTTGGAGGAGATTCTTCTGCGATTCTTCCGTACCCTCCACCCACACCTATAATAAAAACCATCGGCATAGCGGAGGTTTTGGTGTCCAATGAACGCCAAAAAGACCCCTCTCTTCCTCACCTTACCTATACGCGAACCCTTTTTTACTTCTTCCTCTTCCACCACCACCACCACTCAAGCATATCTATCAGATCTTTGCCTTCTCTGTTTCGCCTCCAGTCACCTCCAATATAGATACTTATCTTGGAGTAAGATGCGACCCGCCCGGAATACAACAACGAGGATAATTTTTGTATTTTTCCACATCTCAACCCACAAATCGTAGAAGATTGGAGCCCCCAAAAAAGATGAAAATTATATGCAAAATTCTGCGAATTGAAATTCGACACCCCACAATTTTTTTAGTTCGGCTTCTTCCTTTTTTCGGAATTTCAACCATTTTTCCATTTGTTTTCCACGATGGATTTATTAATTCTCATAAATCTTTTCTTCCTCTTCCCCTGTTGAAATTTCAATCCCTTCGATTCTTCCCTTCGTCTTGCTCTCGGCATCTCCTTGTCCTCTTATTTACATCAAGTTTCGCTAAAACAAACTCACTGTCGGCTTGGGCCCTGTGTATGTGTATGTGTGTGCGTGTGTTTGCCGTAAATTCTTGTTTCTTTCTGATAAGTTATGTCTTATCACCGCCACAGTTTTTCCTTTTTGTCTCTATCGTCTCTATGCTCTGTTTTTCGAAATTTATTAAAATTGAGTCTTTTTTTTGTTTTCTCCTGGTCTTCTCTCTCTCAAGCCTCTCACCCTGACAACCGTCTTAAACTTATAATTATTTTATTTTCTTCTTTTTTCAGCGACAAGCATCGAAAAAATAGCAGTGGGAGTTGAAACCCAACACCGACGGAAACATGTCTCTCGAGTCATCGGAAAGTGAGTTTCTGGGCCAAATCATTAGTTCAAATTATGGATAAAGAAAGGGGGATTTCTGAACCTGCCGATCATTCATTTTCGGTTATTGGCGCCTTTAAAACAATTATCATAAAACCGCCATCTACCGTCGCCGTGTGGTCGTTAAACTCAATGTCACAATGATCAGAATTAGCCAAACAAAATTCTTGCGTCGGTTTTTCCATTAAACCCTCTCATGACTTTACTGATATTGTCTCAATCGTCTTATCGCCTCCTAAAAACTGCCAAATACGGCCACCCCCATTCGTCTCCTTTTTCTTTCTTCTCGATTTTGTACCTCATGCCGTTTTCGGTGTGTGTTGACATATACACCCGCATCTTCTCTTCCGATACACATAGATAGCAAAGGTATACGTAATAATTTCTGTATACGTTTTTCAAAAAGTTCACACTAGTCGGAGCCCTCCCTCTCGATGCTTTCTGTGGCGCGCGCATGGTGGTTGTGGTGGAAGAAAAAGGGGGTGAGGATGCGTCTCTCTGAATGCGCAAACATTATATTTGTATAAGAAGAAGACGAAAACGAAGAAGAAGAAGAAAATGCAGTGAAGGTAAAAGATGGAGGACAAAAAGAAAACAATCTGTTTGTGATGGTGCGCGCATACGTGTCCGACAGTCCTCCGACCGGGGTTCTTCTCCTTTCCATTCCGAAGGCTTTCCGGGGGGCCAGTCTTGTACATTCCGAAAGGAAAACGAGGGAATTGAGGTGCGCTGCGCATCCCTGGATGACTCATCGCTGTTTGTTGCAAGAAAGAGAAGAGAAATGTCGACAGTGCTGCGCATGATAACTTTTTTGTTGACCATGTTTTGCCGCAAAATGAATCATCAGGAGGGGGGAAAGTGGAAACATTGTACTCCAAGAGAAAAATCTATGTCTAATTGGAAATTGAGAAGGGCTTAAGATAAATAATGGGACTAAACAGAAACATCAAATACATCTTTACAGGAGCGCATCAGTCGATAGAGCTTCTGGAAGAGTACCATCTTGCACTCAGCAGACACACAGATGAGGAGCTCCGGACGACTATCGAAACACTCATCACGCGATTCAAGTCAAACTTGATGAACACACTTCTCGACATTCATGACTTGTACGAACAAACTTTGCTCAACGATCGAAAAGGATACGCACAGAAGGTTGCCGAAGTGAAGCGACTGATTGAACGACTGGAAGCTCATCCACTTCTTCACAACAGCCGCGCCCCAATCACAACGACTTCCACATCCAACTATAATCTTTCAAGCACTACTCCACTTGCTTCAGATGTAAGTTTTTGATTTCTGGGAGTTTATCTATAACCTTGTGGAATTTCAGCTTAGAGATCGTGGAGGATTCTCGTATCTGAATGGAGGAGGTCTTGGATCGGTTGGACTCGGAAACGGAGTTGCTGTCAATGGACTCTCATCTTCTCCATACAACTCATCTAGCACATCCTATCTCCATGAGCGTCAACGTCAGACTAGCCATGATGGAACATGGAAGGAAGTCACGACTAGAACAGTTGACACACCAAGCGGTCCTGAGCGACGCACTATTGAGGTTAGCCTTTTATCTTTACTAGTGCCACGAATCCTAATCGAGAAATTTTACAGCACAACGGAGTCATCGACGAGTATGGCCGTAAATGGGAGATTGAGACAGTTTATCTGGAGAAAGGTCACACTGGCCTTGGATTCTCAATCACTGGAGGTATCGCCCAGAATGGCAATTATTGCATAATCGAAAATCTGATTATAGGTACGGACCAGCCAACAGAAGACGGAGATACCTCGATCTATGTCACCAATATTATTGAAGGAGGTGCCGCACTTGCTGATGGTCATATGAGGTATATCATGCCTATTAATAGTAGGGTATCTTAATAGTTGATGTTGCAGAAAGAATGATATTATCACAAAGGTGAACAACATCAGCTGTGAAAATGTGAGACACGAAGTAGCTGTCAATGCACTCAAAAGCTCCGGAAACCTTGTCACTCTTCATCTCAAGCGTCGTCGCGATGATGCTCCAATCGCCATCGGAGGAAACTTCGGAGGATCCACTTCCTATCTACGCAGTGGAATTACACCATCTGTAAGCGCTGGCAACTTACAACATGCAATTCACTCTCCATCAACTCCATTGCATCCACCACCACCTCCACCTGTTCATCACGGATCATTGAGCCAATTATCCGTCCAACAATACCGTGTCGTACGACCCAACACGACTGTCATTGATTTGATCAAAGTGAGTGGTGACACACATTTTTAAAAAGGTTGAATAAAATATATATTGTTTACAGGGAGCTCGCGGACTCGGATTCTCGATTGCTGGAGGACGCGGAAATGAGCACGTCAAGGGAGATACTGATATATATGTGACCAAAGTGATCCCAGACGGAGCTGCTGACACTGACGGGAGACTCAGAGAAGGAGATAAGATTCTGGAAGTCGATCATCACTCATTGATCGATGTCACTCACGATTACGCAGTTGATGTTCTCAAAAACACTGGAAATCGTGTTCGTCTAGTTGTCGAGAAGGGCAACGGTCCAGTTTATGTCTCTCAAACCCCAATTCTTAGACGTAAGTTTTCTAAAACTTTTACAATATTCTTATAATCCAAAATGTTTTAGCGAGCTCCGTTCAAGACTACAATCGCTCGATGGGATCTCAAAGCCACATCTCCTCTGGAGCACCAGTGAACACCAGCTACAGCTCCCAGACTCCAGTTGGAATTCCTGTTGAGCCACGTCCAGTTCAACTTGTCAAGGGACAGAACGGACTTGGATTCAACATTGTTGGTGGAGAAGATAACGAGCCAATTTATATCAGTTTTGTTCTCCCTGGAGGCGTTGCCGATCTCAGTGGAAACGTCAAGACCGGAGATGTTCTTCTAGAAGTCAATGGTGTTGACTTGAGAAGTGCTACGCATAAGGAAGCAGCTGAGGCTTTGAGAAACGTCGGAAATCCAGTGTTCCTTACCCTTCAGTACAGACCAAGTGAATATCAAATCTTCGAGTCCAAAATTGAGAAGCTGAGAAACGACGTCATCTCTCAGTCCAGAATGGGAACATTAAATAGAAAATCGGAATACGTCAGAGCCCTCTTCGATTTCGATCCATCTCGTGAAAACTCGGTCCCACCACACAGAACCATGGGTTTCAACTATGGAGACATCCTCCACATTATCAACTCGTCTGATGATGAGTGGTGGACCGCCAGAAAGGTTTTGGAGAACGGAGAGGAGACGACAGAGCAAGTGATTCCATCCAGAAAGCGTGTCGAGAAACGAGAACGACTTCGTAGAAAGCAAGTGAACTTCAACTCAGGATCTCAATCCCTTGGAAGAAACTCAAGCAGCACCGGATTGGAGCATCGTCGTGGAAGCCGTAGTCAGTTGTCTTTCTCGAGAAAGTTCCCATTCGTCAAGAGTACCGACAGACTCAACGATCTGGCTGAAGAGACCGCCAACGTTGCCGAGGAGCCAGTGTTCTCTTATCAAACTGTTGATAGAGAGAACATCAACTACGTCCGCCCAGTCATCATTCTCGGAGCTCTCAAGGACAGAATCAACGATGAGCTTGTCAACCGTGACCCTGCCAGATTTAGCAGCTGTGTTCCACGTAAGTTGTAAAATCGAAAAATTTTAATTTCTCATTATTCCATTTTCAGATACCTCTCGCCAACCACGTGAAGGAGAGTTGAACGGACGTGACTACTATTTCGTAAACAAGCACATCATGGAGGAAGATGTCAAGAACAACCTGTTCATTGAAGCTGGACAATTCCAGAACAATCTCTACGGAACCAGCATTCAGAGTGTCCGTGATGTTGCTAGTCAAGGAAGGCATTGTATCCTAGACGTCAGTGGAAACGCTATCCGCCGACTCCAGACCAACGCTAACATTCAACCAATCTCCATTTTCGTCAAGCTTGCATCTCCAAAGCAGATCATGTAATTTTTCTGGTAGTATTACTGAAATTACATCTGGATTTTCAGGGATTTGGACAACCAACTTGCCTCTAACAGACAAGAAGACCGTGCAATGAGTGAGGACGAGGCTCAAGCTCAATATGCCAGATGCCAGCGAATCGAGCAAAGTTTCGGAGACTTGTTCACTCGTAAGTTGCAAGCTAGGAATTGCTGGTTCTTAATGTTGCCTTTTTCAGATGAAATCTCCAATGTGCACAGCGCCAATGATGTGCTCGCCAGAGTGTACGCCCTTATCAGCAAGGAATCCACAAATCCAATCTGGGTGCCACGTCACTAGACGCCGTTTAATTTGCCTCCTATGTTGTCATACCAAGAAAATTAACCACCGTACCGATATATCTTAATAATTGAAAAAATTATTTTTCGTTCCATCTAGGTTTCAAAATGTGTTGTGATATCTGCTAAGAAATGTCATCTGCTTTAGCCCCCGTTTTTCATTCACTCTCCAGTAGCCCCAAACAGCCTTTATTTTCAAAAAGTTATGCATTATTTTACATGACCTTTCACTGTTCTCAATTGTTTGAACTCAAAAATACGAAAGGCAAATTCTTGGTGAAAATTTTTTATTTTTTATTTTTGTTTTCGGAATATTTCTGACACTCTGCTTCCATCTATTGCTCACCATTTATTTTGTTTTATCTTTAAATCACTGCCAGAAAACGGTGAACCACCCCTTATCCTATCACTGACCCTAAATTTTATCATCGTTTGATTTCAAAAATCAATATTACTTTCCTCACTGTATCTTTTTCTACAAAATCACGCATTTTATCTATACGTTCTTTCCTCCACCACACCCCAATCAAAATTCACTTCTCACCTGAAATTGTGACAGTTTGTGATATGTTTCATGGATTCTTCTTTTTTATCTTATATCTACCTTCATTTTACTCACCAAAATTCCAAGCTCTTCTGATGAAATACTCTCTCAGCTCATTTATTTATCGTGGGATTCATTCTTACACTTTTTGAGCGCATTTTCATTTTCATCCATTGGTTTCAAACTCTTCTTCTTTTATTATTCGATTAAAAAACATAACTTTCGGTTCTATTTTCCTTAAAATAAAGACTATGAGTAATAAGTTCTTATTTCCATATACACAAGAAATCTTTTCGTTGGACATTGCCACAGCTCGAATGAATCCACACATGGCCCAATGCCTCGTCTATGTCACCTCATTGCATTATTCCTTTTTTCTCGCGTTTCTCTGATATTTGTGGGCGCAACACCCTGTGGTTACTCGCCTGCTTCCGTAGCGCAGTAGGCAGCGCGTCAGTCTCATAATCTGAAGGTCGTGAGTTCGAGCCTCACCGGGAGCAATCTTTTTTTCTTTCTTTTCTTTTAGGTAAACCCTCATTTCTAATTTTCAATTCTTTTATTGAGTTCGATGCACGACTTGATACTTTTCGATTTCTCAGAAATTAAAGGGGGCGTCCGCTAATTTCAAAATTTTTGAGATTTTTATATCAATCGATCCAGAATTTTGGGTCGGGAAGAAAACTTTCTTGAAGGATAGTCCGAAAATCACTCGTTCTTGAGATATATGTCAAAAACAGGCTTAAAAAAAATCAACGTAGATGATGCAGTTTAGGGATCTCGACAAGAGGCAGAATCCTTGAGGGTGCACGTAAAAAAATGAATAAAAACGTGAATTATTTTCCCTATTATTTTCCCTAATCTGCACCCTCTAAGTTGATTTCTTTTTTGACCTGTTTTTAGCATATATCTTAAAAACGAGTGATTTTCGAACTATCCTCCAAGAGAGTTTTCTTCCCGACCCAAACTTCTGGATCGATTGATATAAAATTTAAGTTGTCGAAAAACTAATTGAAAATTATGGCTAGTAGATGTAAGCTGTCGAAATTCTAATTAATTTTTTCTTGTTGAAAAACAATAAACTCCCAATTATTCAATAAAAATTTATAAATAATCAATTATTTACATGTAAAAGTTTTATTTTCTCTTTTTTATTCACAAATTGAAAAAAATGTTTTTATTTTTCCGCTTCGTTAATTGTGCCGTTAGAGATTCCATGGCTTCCGTAGCGCAGTGGGCATCGCGTCAGTCTCATAATCTGAAGGTCGTGAGTTCGAGCCTCACCGGGAGCAATCTTTTTTTCTTGTTTTTCTTTTGCTATGTTCCATTTTTCTCTGTCTCGCTATTCTTCCTGAACTTCTAGTGATAAATTAAAAAAAAATATTTTCTGAAAAAAAATTCAAATTTTTCGCATATGTTTCAATTATTCTGATTCAAGTAAATGTATTTCATTGTACATTCTCAGTTTTTTTTTCTATTTTTTTCTTTTTTTTTCGAGAAGACGATTGTATGTTGTATCACTTTTTTGCGTTAATGATTACAAACCCAAACATGTTTGGTCTCAAAAAATCGGCAATTTCTTCATTGTTACGAAAATAACTAAATTATTTTTTTCATTCTATTCTCCAAACTTTAGTGCTGATAATATGGAGAATTAATATGAATCGAGCGAATTGCGCCAGTATTTGTGCTGACACATTTCTTGTGTGTTTGACGCGCTAATCGCGCACGTTCCTCACGTTCGAATACAATTATAGCGTTATTGATTTAATATCCACGTATGTCTTTGTTTTTTCTAGAGAATCGACAAATGAAACAGTAATTATTATTGATTACTACATTCAAGTTACGAATTTAAATGATTTTCAATGAAAAAAAGAAAGTTTTCATAAATTCCCGCAATAAAATACCTTTTTCCTGTCCTTTATTGAGTTTTAACTGAAGTATTTTTTTTGCAGCGGTATCCATGGCGTCTGTACCACTGTCTCAAGAAGAGCTGGTCTCTGCATTCAATCAGTACATGCCAAAGCGACCAGTCTACCCACCACTCGTTGACGATGGAGAGAGCCTGGAGAATTCAGCAACCGAGTCAGAAGGAAGCGATGATGAGTGTGAGATGAAGTAAGTATTTATTTTGAGAACGAAAGGCAAACTGCCACAGGGAACCATGAACGTGCTGTAACTACTTTGCGGGCAGCTCCTAATTGTTGGGCGAAAGTAGAGTAGTGTTCGGCTTCTGAAGGTATCTGAGGCAGTTTTTAGTCAGTATCATCCGGATGCTGACCCACCTCCGCCTATAGTCATGAACTTTCAGCATAATTCATTTCCACAAGTATGAGGAAATGTATTTTTCAATAAACTGTTGAATGTGTAACAGTTTTTTATTTAGCCAACTGTCCACGATTCTTATGGGATGTAGGATTCAGCCATCCGTGAACTATCCTGTAGAAACTCAACACTCAAAATATACTATTCGTTTACAAACTCATCTTCTCGACGGAGTTCTAATTAAAAATTTCCGAAAATATACCTGCAACCATACTTTTAAAATTCTGGGCCGGCACGCCAAAGACCGGGCTCGGGCCGGGCCTGAGGAAATTTTCAATTTTGTTTGATCTAAAAAGATTTTGTTTGATTTGTTTGATCTAAAAAGATCGAAAAAACTCGAAAAAACATTTTTGATTAAAAAAAATCACATAAGGGTCCCCTTTATGTGGTTTTTAAAAAAATTTCAAAACTTATGAAATGACGGGCCCGCCGGGCCGGGCCTTCGAAATTCGGAAAAAAGCCCGGCCCGGCCTACTTTTACTGAAATACACTGCTCCCCAAAGATGAGCGGGCCATCTCTTTGAATCGAGATAATCAGAAAACTCAGCTGATTGTAACTTTTTCGTCATGCAACTCAAGATAAATATTTTTCCAGGAAGAAAATGAAAGTCGCAATTACCCTCTCCGCTGTAATGACTCCAGAGTGTCAGAAATCATGGATGAGCGCTTCTTGCAAACTTCCGAAAACTTATCTCGAGAATAATATTAAGACTGATCTGGAATTCGTAAGTTTTATCTATCCGTTATTCCTCTCTCATTGATCAAATTTCAGGTTCTCGCAAAACTAGTCAATTTAAAAATGAAACCTGCAAATCCAATCGAATGGCTAGGATATGCTCTACTCAACCGCAAAATTATGAAACCGGGACTAAAAACCGAGGATCACAAAGTGAAGCCAGTCGGAGGTCAACTCGATTTCAAAATTGAAGCCGACTTCAATCCGTATTACATTTGGCGTGAGGTATCACTTGACTCCTACGAAAGCGAGATGAACTATTCAGTGACCGGTAGAAAACGTAAGCGCTCCACTGAGCCACAATAAAACCTGTTTCCTTTTGGTCCTAGCTTCATCTACAGCTTTTTATGCTCAATACGTCTTTTAGCTTATTTTTCTCATTATTTTATTCATTTTCTACTGTAAATTGTGAAATTCTCAAACGTTCTTGTCTCTTGATAGCTAATCTTTCCATCCTTCAGCTCCAAACCTGTAGATACATTCCTCTTGTGTATTCTTGTCTGCACCAGTATCATTTTTTATAACCATACTCTAGTTTTCCATGTTCCATTCCTGCGTCAATGTGTGCGTTTAATGATCCGATGAGCTCTCAACATTTAGAATAATACTGAACAGTGTACTGCCCTGCGTTTTTTGTAATTCATATCCTTTGATTTTCCGGAATAAAAAAATGTTTCCCTTATTCCACTAAAAGAAAAAAAACACGGATTGGCCTGAACTTTGAATTAGAGAAAAGTGAAAATGCGGGTTAGTGTAATGAGTGGCTATTTCTTTTTCACCGCTACCTGTCGGAAAAAGACACCGATAGCCAACGATTATTCCGGATTGCCCCTACACCGGTAAAAGAAGAAGAAGAAGACGTCCATTGACCGCGAATCGATGCTTATCGCGGCTCTGAGAGCGAAATTGTCGCTGCCGCTTTCATCCTCTCACTCTCGTCAACTCTTGCTTTCAAATTGGCCCCGTTTTTCAATGTAATCTGCCCTTTCACCCCCACCGATTCATATCAGATTTTAAAGATACGGGAGGTACGCGGGCGGTGTCTGACAAAAGTTCAGAAAAGGTCGGAGAATTTTGCAAGCAAGCGAGAATGAAAGTAAAATTCAGACCTGCGTGAGTGACAGACAAACGGAATTAGATGGTACTGTTAAGTTAGATGTCCAAGAAATGCATGGGTAGAACATAAGACCAAGAATAGGAGAAAAAAATCTGAAAAAATCCATGATCATGCTAGAAGTTCTTCTTTTGGAAAATTTCATATAATATCATTCGAATTTTCCAGATTATTTTTGAACAAATGTTCTGCAGCTCTTTGTAGAAATTTCAACTCCAAAATAATCGCGAATAAGCTCTATCCAATATTTGTGGCTTCAGAAAACTGGATAATCAAAAAAACAAGCTAACGGACGAAAAAACACAAAGATTTGTTGTCAACTTCAGGAAGAGATTTTCCAAACATGTTCTTGACGCATTTCAAATAAAAAACGGAACCAGCTAAAATCCTGCCATCTCTCTGCGAATCAATTCAAAAATCGTTTATAGTTTTGCCGACGAAATAATAGGAATTTGCTTGCGTGTGTCTGTTGAACGCTTGCTTGCAATTTTATCAGATCCAAAGATCGTCTTTTTCTCTTTCTCTTGCCGAGCTTCTCCTTCTTCTCATTTTTTCCTGGGCAAATTAAGCGTCACAAACTGGAATCTCAACCGCCGCACACATTCATGTAGGTGAATGTAGATTGATGAAAAATTGTCCACGATCTGGGAGGTAGATTGCCAGCAGATGCTGAAAAATCAAACTCCGCAGAGGAGGGGGAGAGGAATAACGAGTCCATCAAGTGTCGAATCGGCTAGTTCGGTTCTTTATGAACATTCGATCTTTCTAGATGTCGAATGCAATTTCAAAACTCTGATACTTTCAGAAAACAACAAAAAATCATAAGTAAACTCGGAATTTTACTTCTACAGTGATGAAGCTAAAAAAGACAACTAAAACTTGATGTTAAGTTAAAGGTTTATTTTGTTTCTGCATCATGATAGACTATGCAAACTAAAGAGAAATGTCAATTAACTATTTATCTGGAATTCAATGTCAATTAACTACTTATCTGGAATTCTATAATGTATACCGTAAATGCTCCAATAGGAGCCCCCGATATGCGTACATTTTGAGCTGAATTATCTCAGTTCCTTCAAATGATATAAAAATTTGTCAACTGACAAAATGTTAGCATTTTCACAAAAATCATTTCATCAAATAGCACGTTTTTGACATTTTCTGATGGAACCGACATAATTGAACTTAAAATAAACGTATAAGACGAGGTTCTATTGAAACGTTGAAAGAAACGTGGAAAATCTGGAGAAAAAACATTTTCAATCAGAATTCCTGCAACATAGCAGAAAACAAGCAGATTCGAAAAATTCACCGTAAGATGAAAAAAAAACCGAAGAAATCCATATCCAACGGTCAATCTTTAAGCTATATAACATTCCTGTTTCTGCCATTGCGCGACTACAACACATAATACATCAAACGACAGGAAAGATTCACCGGTTAGGAATTTCCAGATGTTTGAGGAGCAGGGAGGTTCCTGGAGAAAAAGAACTATTTGAAGGATCCCACATTCAATGGAGGTAAATTTAGAAAAAAAACGACACAAAAATGCTTATAAAGATTTAAACTGGTATAGTAAACTGCAGTAATCACCTTCAACAAGCAGCTTCTCAATAATTGAACAATGAGAGTGTCTATTAAACTGAAAAACACTTATCTCTCCAACATAACCGTAATTGCTTTGATAAAACGGCATTCTATATTTGCACACTAATCTCAATTATACCAATTTCCGGATGGGGTGTGAAAAATCTGTAAACCACAAAAGTGCTGGTAAAATCATGACAAACATTTTTTAAACTGACATTCTTATGTTCATCTTATGGAAACCAACATAACTAAGTTCATATTGTAAGTATAGATTCACAGTCTATAAGAGCATTTTCAATTTGAGTGTCTTAAAAAGATGGTTCAAAAATCCCAATCTACTCTATTCAATTGTTTTCTTCGAACATCTAAAAGCCTTTTTGTTGAGAATGTTCAAAATGAGCAAATCCTGGTTTATGCGTCATGCTCTTTCAGGTTGTTCAGTTTACCTATAACTTCTCTTCTAGTATAGTACACAACTTTCTCTTTAGTTATCGGCTCATCAGCATAGCCGTCTACACTTATGCCCCGTAGCCTACATATCTTCAAAAAGTTTTCCCTTTTTGCCCTATTCCGAAAAACGTGCGGAATCCGTACGATTTGCACTTCTTTCAAGACAATGTCATGTCGCACACACACATGGATGTATACCAAATCTCAAAATTCGATCGTGTTTTTAATCTGTAGCCTCCTCAAATTCTCCATCAGGTTCGCTTTTTCTCCTTTTTCTTCTACGCTCCCCAACCATCACGGACCAGAAGAAGGCTTGGGAGACGGAGAGAAAGCAGTGGGGATGAAGCAGACGGAGAGAAAGCAGTGGGGACTTTCGTTGAGGGCGGAGTGAAACTCTGTTTAAAACAAGATTTTCGGTATTGTCCGACAATTCAGGGGCGGAGTTTCATTTTCCGAGAGAAAAGAAGGACTCGAATTGCGCCTCATCCCGTCGTCCCCTTCATTTCATACAGTGTTCGATATCGAATAGACGGTCTATTGTCGCATCTAGAGCGCAGTCCGACTGTGTGCTTTATCTTCGATTCATCTGCCGGCTGCTTCCATCGCTCTCTCTCTCTCACTCTTTCCTTGGGAACACAGTGTCACCTATCCCTTCATGTTCACCGAGCTAAAGCGCTACTCGATTTTGTCTCTTTACACCTGCGCTCTTTTCTTCTCCGTCCCACTTTCTCTTCTCATCTGGTTCGTTCGTCGTGAGCTCTGTACCGAAACCTCTGTCGCTGGCGAGAAGCAGGTAAGAATCTTGATTAGAGCTCTTTTGGTATTTTGAAATTTTTTTTCTCAGCTCGGAGGAGTCGAAAACAAGAAGAAGCTTAACTCAATCCACGAATCGTGCCCAGATGTCCAGCTCCACATTGAATAACAACATTGCCATCAAAAAGGTAAGCTCATTTTCTTCAATTATTTTTTGCAATAGTTTTTGACACCTCACACCTCGAGTGTCAATCAATATATCCTTATTTTCTATCCGTGACTTTCCGTGACTTTCACCTCTTCCTCATCCTGCATCATCTCCTTTCGCCATCTCAAAATTGTTCCCATTTCCTCCTTTTCCTTTTATAGTGGCTTTTTGTCGGCCCGCTACTCTGGATGCTTTCGAAATTGCACTAGTGATCCTATCTATGCGCATCCGATTTTTCTTTATGGCCATCCCTAGCAATAGAGGTTTCTCCATTCACCGGATTTTTATAATTAGTTCAGAGGGATTAGTATAGAATCCAAAGCTTGTTGAATTCCTTCAATTTTCAGATGCACGTTGTCATTGTTCATCCGGAGCAGTGGAACGGCGGCTCCGATCGGTGTACGGTGGCACTGATCAGACATTTTGTCTCACAAGGACATCGTGTCACTTGGCTCACAACCATGATAGATGAATATTGGAAAAATCACACATTTGACGGAGTTGGTAAGTTGGATAAATAGAATTTGGAAGATCCCTTTCTTTATTTTCAGAAATCCGCGAAGTCGGCCTAAAACTGCATCCAGGAGATTGGTGGTCTCAAAATGTCGCCCTTGGTTGGCATATGGTCTTCAGCAACTTGAACCCAGATGTTGCTATCATTGATCACTCTGCCAGGTAGGAATCTTTGAACTCTTTTATAATACTTATCTTTCAAAAGTTCCAGTTGCGTTCCGATGATCAAATGGCGCTTCCCACAATGTAAAATCCTTTTCTACTGCCATTTCCCACAACAATTGGTCACTCCGTCCCGTTTCTTCTTGTACAGATGGTACGCTAAGTTGATCGGAATCGTCGAGGAAGAGCTCTTCGGACAAATTGATCAGATTTTCGTGAACAGCAACTTTACAGGTACTAGATTGATTCAAAATTCAGTTCTATAACTTTTATTTTCAGCCACACAATTCTGCAAAGTGATGCCTAATATCGAAAAAAGCAAGGTCCGAGTTGTCTACCCACCATGTGATATTGACTTTATTGTCACCGCGGTAAGGCCCTTAATATTCGTTCTTTGTATCTACGTTCAAGTGTTTTGCAGTCCGAAAAACCAGTGAGCAGAGCTGAACGTGCCAAGAACAACGTCTACACCTTCCTCTCAATGAACAGATTCTGGCCAGAGAAACGGCTAGATATCATTGTGGAAGCTGCAGCAATCCTCAAAAGACGAGGATACACAAATCTGCACGTTCAGTTGGCCGGATCAGTGATGCCACATATTCCAGAGAGTAGAATTTATTATGACCTTCTGCAGGATATAACCAAGGTATGGTGTTTTTTCCAGCTATTCATTCGAAAAAGTGTGTTAATCTAGGAGCTCGATGTCACTGATATGGTCACTTTCATTCCGTCGCCAACGGATAAGGTTAAATTCCAACTCTATCAACAGTGCGATACAGCTCTATACACACCGCCAAACGAGCATTTCGGAATCGTCCCAATCGAAGCTCTTGACCAACGGAGGCCGGTTATCGTTTGTGACAGTGGTGGTCCCGCTGAAACAGTTTTGGAGGATATTACTGGAACAAAGGTTTGTGGAATTGATCATTAGTGTATTAATGTTCCTCTCAACCACCAGACAAAACGATAGTCATCTTGCATGTTTACAGATTGCCAAGCCATGCGGCGAGCTTTTGGCCGACGCCATGCTTCACCACATGAACAAGACCGACTGGCCAGAACTGGATACAGAGGAGGGATATGCTAAACAGGTTCGTGAGTCGGATCAGATAACCGAAAATCTCAGGATGAGAGGGGGGAGATGATGTTTCAAAAAAGAAAAATATCTTAGTTATCGACTCTCGGATCAGAATGATCCAAATGTATGGGCGAAATTTATCGTGTTGTTCTTTTACAGCGGCAGCGTCTTGAAACCGAATTCTCCACACGCGGATTCTGTGGGAACATTGATCGGGCCATTGCTGAGATGATGGGAGATTTGGCAATAAACTCCGAGGAGTCCAGTTTGGAACCAGTGGAGACTATCGTCCATCAGCCAGTGGCTACAGAAACGTTTGCCAAACCGTACCAGCAGAAAAATGCAGCACATATCAGGCGTGCTCAAGCTTAATATCCCCCATTCATTACCTTTAGAAAAGCAATTGTCATCCTTCTCAGTTGTTCCTTCAAATTTCCATTAAATTTTCTTCTACACATTTCATATTCGTTCATTTCGAAATTTGAATTTCCGCCTTTACTCTCCTCCCCCCCCCCCTTCTCCTATATTCTCTTATATTCCGTCCCTAGATCGATTCTAACATGTCTATCCTTCCATAGTATTAACCATTTTTGAAAATATTGATTCTTTCTGATTCTATTCTTCTGATGATTTTTCGAATTTCTGTTTTCACGGGATGTCACCTTTTAAATGCTCTTTTCTACTTCTTTGTCTCTTTTCCTTGTTCTCGTCCTGCTCATTTTGTCTCATTTCGAAAATTCTTCTTCTTTTTTTTTGACAAATCAATTATTTGTTTAGCATACCCGAGATCTTTCCGCTCAATTTTCTGATTCTTTCATTTCTTCCAACCTGATATTTATTACGTAATCTTATTTTTATTATTTTTATAATTATTTATTTTTTTTATATAATACATAAACAATATTTAAGTTTAAAAAAAGAAAACAGTGCAGTTGTTGAAACAAAGAAATAAAAAAAACGAGAAAATGCCAAAAATAATTATCCCAGCTGACAAAAAAAATTTTAAGAACGCAGTTTTTACAAAGCACCCGATACAGAAATAAAACAACAAAGTTAAGACATCAGTTTTCATGAAATATGAGAAATTATAAAATTTAAACAATTATTACTACTGTTAAAGCTCAATAACAATTTGGAATGGTTTGTTCATGCAGAACGATGTGAAGGGCAATTGGGAAGAGCAATTCAATTTGATCTACCACGTTTTTGATTGGCGATTTCGGACTTTTGAGCAGCTGTGAAACCGAGAATAGTCATCATAACCTAAAAATATAAAAAAATTGAAAAAGGTTTTTTTGTTATGCCGGTATGTAAAAATCATAGACGTGCAAGAGAAAATCTTGTGGGTTCGGTCACTGCGGAACAACCGAAATAAGCAGATATTTTTCCAAGACATTCTCTTCCACATCACTGATGTTTTATATAGGCATAGGACAAAACACACCGATAAATGTTCCTGGGAATCTCCACGGTTCAATAAATAATAATAAAAGGCATCATGTAGAAACTTGAGAGTAACTCTGTCTTCCGTCATTGCATCCATCATTTTGTCTTCCGTGATTTCCATATTAGCTGCTTGTTGTCCTTTTTTGAACATCACCAAGTACATTTCTTTCCGTTCTTCCTCAATTTCAGTTAACTTTTTCTCATACATCGCGCTTTCTTGACGTCGGATGTCTAGTTCATCTTGAAGCAGTTTAATTTGGCGATCATAATTCGGAGTAGCTTGTGAGACCCGTTGGAGCAATTCTTTCACAGTTGATTTCAGTTCCTCGGTTTCTTGCTCAAGCTCCAGCATTTTGGAAGAATCTGGTTGAGAAGCAGTGAAATAAGTCAGTTTGGCTTGTAGATCCTTATTTTCTCGAGATAGTTTGCCAACTTTTTCACGAAGTGATATCACCTATAATTACGTTTTTCTTAGTTTCTCAAATAAGTTCCAATATTTCATTCTTCAGCAAGTTCTACTTAAAATCATATGATCAAGTACCCCTTCTCACCCGGATATTTCTCCTGTCGTAATCGGTGTCGCCATCTAGCAATTCGTTTTCCAACGCTTTTTCATGCCAAGAAGCGGACATTAATGGCAACTTTCTGCAAAAATATTTCCAATCTTCTCTAGGAATCACTTTCAAAATATTATGTTTCTTTTTTTGCCATAAAAGACACTCACTGTTGTTCCTTTGATGTGAAATAAAGAGAAGTGACTGATGAAGATCGAGATACGCCTTTCGGGAGCTGAAATTACATGACTCATTCCGTCCGGATTCTTGGAATTCAGTTGCAGGAAAATGACTCACTCTCATTTCTCTTCGTTTCTCCCGCTTCGAAAGTTCATCTTTTGAAATTGGAGGTCTACGATTTGCACTTCGACTTCTTTGTCGACTTCTTTCTCTTGGCTGACTTTTCCTATCCAGGCTGTTACTTCGAATCATAATGCTACAAGACAAACTAGCTTTCGAGGATCCCAATTGGAATGGTTCCTGAGGTTCGTGAACAATAATATCATCCTTTCGTTGACCCTCATGCGCAGTATGGTAACTCAAAGACGGGGAAATTGGATATTGTGTATCTCTGGAATAAAACTATTGGAATGAGAGTTTAACAAAATCAAAATTTTTACTTTTCAATACAGTAAGATAATTCTCGTTCGCCTCTCGCTAATGCTAGTTGGTATCGGAGTTCATTATTCTGCTCGAGCGCTTCTGCCAAGTTTTGCCGAATTCTGTTCACTTCTCGGAATAGTGTTCCAGATTTTTCTTTCCATTTTTGTGTGTCGTTTTCTATTTTTGCATGATTGAATGAGGAGAAACTAGAGCTTCGTTCCAAAATCTTCGGCTCATCTTCTTTATGTGGTTTCTCAGACCTGTACACATTCAACTCCGCCATCGCCACTTGAAGATCCTTTGACATTCTATTGTTCTTGTTCTGAAAATTTCAAAATCATTAATTGAAAATTTCCGAGACTACTGTACCTTGAGAATCGTTCGCTCTTCCTGGGATCGCTTTAATTGCCGCTCCAAAGTTCTTCGTTCATCTTCAGCCCATTCGCTCAACACATCGTTCAGAATACTCTGCAATATAAATTCAACATTTCAAATTTGGTCTTCAATATTTTCAGAAAACTATGAAACTTCAAATTGTGAGCAGTTTTGAAATTTTTTGAGGAAAAGAAACTTGCACGGCACGTCGTTAAATAAAAGGGAATAGTAATAGAAAATTTATTTGAGACCATGCGTGGTATTTTAGGTTCTAGGATGACATATTATTTCAAACTTCAGATTGTTTTCACCTTACTCACTTTTATTTATCAAAGTTTTGGTTTTGAAATATTTGATTTTATTCAAATTTGGTCTGGAATTTTTAGGAGTCGGATAATTTTATTGATTGAAAAATTAAGAGGAATATAAAGAAAACTCCCAAAAAAAAACTTACGGTCGATTTTTCAAGAGAAATTTGCGGCTCATCTGTTTTCACAGTCTCTGGCTCCTCAATCTCAGTAAGAACTTGCTCCAAATCAGACCTTACTAGATTCAAAACATCAGCAAGTTGTGAAAATGGTTGCTCTGAATGAAGACTAATCACCGGAGCTGTGACACTCTCCGTCATGAAGCTGGAAATTCTTCGTTTTTATTCTTAGTCTTGATTTTTTTATTCTCACTCTGCACTATCATTAGTCGATGCTGCATCTCCTTCAACACTCATATTGTCTCCAAAATCTGGTTCTGACATTGTCTTCCGCAAGTTTGTTCGATTTAGAGACTCCTGAGACTTCTCAATACTTGGCTGAATTTGCTTCTGAAGCTCTGAATTATCCTTCTCCAAATTTGAAATCCTCCACTGAAGCCATTGTTTCTCCTTACTGTAGTTGCTCATGTCATTGTCGAGTTTTTGTTTCAGATTGTCGAATTCGGTGACCAACTTTTGAATACGACTCTTTTCAATTGAGCTGGCAACAAATCTTTCAGCTTCCAAGGAATTTATCTAAAACACGGAGTTTCTATCTTTTTCAAATTTGTTGTGGCTTACTCTTTCGAGCAACTCGGTGTTCTTCAATTCAACTTCTCTCAACTTGGTGTCCATATCATCAGAGGTTACAGTGTTCTTGTTCGTGTCTTCCACCACTGCTATCCTTTTTTTGATTTTCTGTGAGCCTTGCTGTTGAATGATGGAAACCAGCTTTTGTTGGAGTACTGTAACCTGGCGGCGTGTTGTGTCCAATTCAGCTTTACAGATTCTCAGTCGTTCCTCATTTTCATCAAATAACGCACCCTGAAAAATAATTGTTGAAAATTCACCGTAAAACCTGCAATAGAGATGCTCCACACTGTCAAGTTTGAGCACAACTATCTCGGTTAGTATGAGAGATATCAAAATTTTGTCAATTGATATAACATTGAATAAAAAAATCAGTTGACAAAATTTCGATATCTCTCATAGGAACAGTGAAAATTTGTTTTAAAGTTATGGGGCCCTTCTATTACAGGTATTTCATGCTTGTTTCTCACCTTCTCTATAATCGTTTCCTTGTTTTTCACATTTGGCTTACATCCAACGTACTTGTTGATTTGGCGTGGAATAGCTTGACATTCTACATCACGCTGTGATGGGGCGGCCTGGAAAATCAAAATACAGCTAAGGATTTTCTAAAAATTCACCTTGCTCTTGAGTTGCTCAACGTGATCGATGGTACTTGACAGTTTTTTCTCGAGTTCTGCTTTTTGCAAATGTGCTTGCATCTTCTGGTCCTCTAGATCTTTCTTTAATCCAGTGATTTCCAATTTGAGCCTTTCTATCATTGCTTCATTAGCGCGGATATGTTCAGTCAAGTAGTCATCTCGCTCTTTTTTGATATTCATCGAATCGTTGAGAAGTTTAGCTAATTCGTCCTCAAAATACTCTTGATCATGTTTCAGTCTAGCTGATATCTCATTTTTATCTTTTGAAAGCTGCATGATTTCCGCTTCCAGAACCGGAACTTTTTCAGCAATTAATGTCATTTCTTCCAGTGATTTTTTGTACTGATCTCGTTCGGTTTGTTTCAATGAGAGTTCTTTAGTCTGCTCCTTTCTGATATCTTCCAACTGTTTGGTCAGAGCATCCACAAGTTCGGTTTTAGCCAATAAAATCTCCTCGACTTCTTTAAACTTGTCGACCAGCGTTGTGTTTTTGGCACTGTACTCTTTTTGGAGTTCCTGATATTCTGATTTTCAATTTTTTTTTAAACCTGATGACTCACGTGCAAGGTTTTCTGAGTACTCAAAAAGTCCGACTCGTGTTCGGAGAGCTGTTGAGATGTTAATGTTGTTTGAACCACTTTAGAATGCATGACTTGGTACCTGAAATAAAAATTGGCAATGAATACCTAATTTACAATCTATTGCACCAACCTTGGATCAGAAATCGTTTTCCTCCAATCTTCCATTTTCTCATCACTCACTACCAAATGATGATCTTGAATTGTGTTTCGATAGACTTGCATTCTCTCCTCCATATAGGAAATAGCATGTTGCATTTGGTCTTTTTCGTGCTGAAAACTTTTCAAAATCAGTGAAAGAAGCTAAAAAAAGCTTGAAATAAAATCAAAAAACTTGACGCAACGAGCAGGAATCGAACCTACGCGGGCAAAGCCCAATGGATTTCAAGTCCATCTCCTTAACCACTCGGACATCGTTGCACGAAGGGCGAGGAGTCCGTGTGTATGTTTTATGACTGCCGGGAAAAAAGAGGGACAGAGAGAGAAAGAAAGAGAAGAACGGAGAGAGGGGGGAAGTGTTGAGAACCTAGACCAAAGCAGTAAACAACTATTAGAGGAGAGTTTCATGAAAAATGGAAATTAATTGTTACCTGTAGTCGATTGGCTGTATTCAGGGAGGCAACAATTTCAGCTGCTTTCGAGTCAATGTCCTCATTTGATTCTTTCAAAGCGGCTTCCAATTTCAGTCTATCGTCATCTGCTTTTTCAAGATCTCGCCGGAAAATGCTTGCATCTTCTTCCATCTCCTCTATTCTAAATTTGGCTTCCGAGAAAACTTGTCGAAGATTCTCAATTTCATTTTTCATCAAATTTTTAGTCTCCAGACAGGCTGCGAAATTACAATCAGTGATGATAATGGGGTCCTGGAATAAAAAAAATACGATGTAGCAAATCGAAATGAAATTTGAAAAATTTACATTGTGAGGGTCTTCTTCTTTGTTAGTGTTTGAAACGTCTTCCACAATGAACGCGGATGGTGTCATTGTGATATGGCTCTGTAAATTTAGTTATTTTGGAATACAATATCTTTTCAAGGAGCGAAAATACCTCTGGCGGTGGTTCCATGGCTTTTTGGAGCACTTCTTCGAGCTGTTGGATTTTCATTAGCTGATCTTTAGCAACAATTTCCAGTTGTGCAGCTTTGTTTCTCCAAATGAAGGCTTCGTTTTGGCAAGCCTAAAGTATCTTGTCTCGTACTTCTAAAAGGTGTCGATAAATTACCTGAATGTGGTTCAATGCTTCTTGACTACAATAAATCGTTTGATTCTTGTTATCTCTTGTCACTAAGGGAATCATCATTGGGCTGGGACTGTGAAGGTCTGGTTGGGTGGCAATGATGGATAATGGGGTCGAAGGGTCGGCTTGAATTGTTTGGGAAACTGAATACAAATTTTTTATAAGGTGGAAAAATGTGAGATTAACCTAAAGTTCCATTCTGATTAGCATCAGTTGGGTCTGGCGGGTTTTGTCGCAGATAGAATTCTCGTTCCACTTCGTCTGTTTGTGTTTCACCATCGGACCTTGGTGGATTCAGTTGTTCTTCTAGGTAAGCAACGCGTGATGTCAACTTCACAGCTTCTTCTCTAAAAACGTTCCTATATAAAATAGATTCCAATCTAAAAAGAATTACCTTGCAGTCATAGTTTCTTGAATCAGCTGATTCACTCTCACTGCATGCTTCTTTTCCAGTAACTTCTTTTCTCTTTCGATCGCCTCTTTTTCCAACTGCTCCTTCCTCATCATTTTTTGACCTTCAGCTAGTGTGTGTTGAGTTTCGTTAAATATTTCTATCTGGAAATTTAGTTTTGGAATTTTTTCAGCTAGACAAAATTTTTATTTTCAAAAATAAACTGACTTCCTTCACTTTATCTCGCAAATCTGAAAGATGTTTGTCCTTCTCATCTCTTTCTGACAACGCTTGCCGGAGCTCCTGAAAATTTCAAAAACTGGTTGCACATCAAGATATGATATCTCCCCCGTCACTCACCTTTTTCAACTCTGCCAACTCCTTATTTCTCCTTTGAGTCGGTGTGATGTATTCTCCCTGCAGATCATGATGCTTATGATTGCATCCCTTCTTCTGACAATGAGGTACGTATCGAGTATCTTTTCCATTCCACCAACGTCCGACGATAGCCGATGCTGAACTACATGTGGAACTAGTCACGCTCATTACGTCGTCTATGTCAGGCGTCTGGAATTGGGCGATCATATCTGACTCGTTGAAATCTGAATCTTCAGAATCTAGAATCGCAGTTTGTCTGAAATTGGGAAATTGTTCAGTGAAACGGAAAATTAAGTGCAAACCGTATTTGTAAAGCTCTTGGATTTCTCTCTTCTTCTCGTCGGCCATTTCCAAGGTCTCGCATCAGATGTTCAGAATCTGTGTTGTTCTCGTCGCTTGTTTCACCGATAAATGCGACTGAAAAATGAACATCGGGTTCTTTAGATTAAAAACACAAAATTTCAAAAAATTCAATTTATTTATTGTTCATAATAATTTAAAGCATTGAGTATTCATCATCATTCTTAGAATAAAAAAAAAGAAACGTACGTTTGAAGCTTCGGATCATGATGGTGTTTTTTGAAAAACGTCAAAAAGAGGTTCCAATTTCTAGTCAGGCTTTTTAAGCACCAAACAGGCTGGTATCTTTCGAACAATGTTTGAAATCTATACTAACCTGCATTCTTTTCCCACCATGTAACTTGTAGTTTTGGTATTCGTGTCGTCCCTTTTTCAGGAAACCTATCAGGTGATGATCGAAATCCTGGTAGTGGAAAGAGTTTGTCTCTTTTTTCATCGCCCACCACTGACGGTCGCTTCAAGATACCTTTCTTTGGTGGTGGATCCCCGTTCATTTGACTGAAATGTGTTGTTTTGTTCACAATTTTAAGATCAATCAAAACATTTTTAACCTGGAAAACACTTACCTCGTAGAAGTAGTGGCCAGCTCGTCATCTGCCGACGTTGATAGTTCCTCACGCATCATGATTTGGAGGGAGCGGTGTGGCTCGTCGGAAGCAAAAACACATGAACCTATTAAATCGTATGTCCCGCCACTTTGCGTTCTGCAACAATTGGGAAATGAAAAGAGGGAAGGATGTTGCAACAGCTAGCAGTAATAAAAACTAGCGAAGAAACAGAAAAAAGTGATGAAGATGATTGTGTAGTGAATGAGAGTAAAGAAAGGAGAGAATGAAGAAGAAGAAGTCTATGGCGAAAGAAAAAAAACTTGTATTAAAACGAAAGAAAATGAAAACGAGGAGAAGTAGTTTGTAACACCTCTAATGAAGGAGATCTGGTAGACTGAGAGGGAAAATGAGAGAGGAGTAAATGAGCAGGCGCATTTGGGGTAGAAAACAATGTGGGAACATCTGCAGAGGGCAGAATTGAGAAAAATGAGGGAGCATCTCCCTTAAAAAAGAAATCAAGCATCTCCATTTTCAAAAACCATGAAACTTGATTCCTCGAGGTAAATCAAATCCAGATTTCACGCCAGTCCCCATTTAAAAAAAGTTCCAATACGTCTATTGCGTGTATATAATACATCAAATTGTAAATTAAACAGAAACATGTGCAAAAAGTGTGGTCCCAGCGTCGGACGCGATTTTTGCCGCCCCGATATACGCCTGTCCGAGATTAGTACATGACGACGGAGAGCGCTCACTCTTTCATTTTCTGGACACGCGGAATTGAAGAAGCGATAGATAAATGTTGAGAATGGCGGGAGAAGTGAGTTAGTTGATCCTGGACGGGAGAAGCAAGATGAAAAGTAACCTCCCGAGACACACGGGAGGAAGTAGAAAAGAGAATAATCGAATGTGGCTAGTAGTGGGGGGCACCGGGGTGGGAGATTTTCGAGTCTTGTTGTATGTGTGTGAGTCTGTGAGTACGTTGTGTGGACCTCTATCTGTTCGTTTCACACTTTCGAATGTAAAGACACCAAATGATGTCTATTGCACCGGAAGATTTATGTTATCTTGTGTTTTTTTTTTTTGAGTAAAAGAATAGCGCTCAAAAAAAGCAAAAGAATGAAAATTGAGGTGAAAAATCAACGAATATTTAAAATCAGTAGTACATAGAAGTAATTTTAAACCTCTTTCAAATCCATCAATTACATTTTAGCTGACATGCTTAGATGTTCAGAATGATTTGTTGGGATTTACCCAAATGGCGAAAACTCCGAGTTACAGAATTTTGAGATTCCTGAGTTATGTAATATTCTGAATTTGAAAACCTCGAAATTTCGGAAATTCCGATTTTATTTTTGAAAAGAAACTTGTTTTCATTTTCTTTTCAAAATAGAATGTTTCACAAACAAATGATTTTTTCTGTTCTTTAACCGTTAAAATCAATAAGAACAAGTTTTCAAAAAACCGCAAAAATTCTTTTCTCACAATCTTCCATAAAAAATACGTAAAAAAACGGAAGGCTCAGAACACTCATAAATAATGTGTTCCCGCATTTTTTGCTAGCTCTCAAGATTTTCTCTCTAAACCAGACAAAAACAAAGAACTCACCAGAAAAAACTTCTGGGAAAATTTATCTGCTAATTCAAATTTAGATTTTTTTTCTCTTTCAAAATTAACATTTCGTTTTTTCAGCAAAAAAAACGCCGTCACGTGAAGAAAAAAAACATATTTGGAATGTGAAAAGAGAAGAGAAAAAGAGAAAAAAACAACAAACGAGTAAAAAATAAGGGAGAAAAAATGTAAAAAAAGATGTGCATTAAGGAAAAATGTAGAAGCGTGAGAATACACAAATAGTAAGAATTTCGTGTCACCAACAACTCCATGAATAGAAGAAACAGAAGAAGACATAAAAGCCAATTTCAATGAAGGAATTGCGGGGTGGTGCATGTCAGTTGGCATGTTGCCAATTTGTTTTCGCAGTTTGGCAACTGAACACACCAAATATGAGAGGCGAAATGCCGTGAGCTCCCCCTCTAGCCCTCTCACGTTGTATCGATTTTCGGTGCCACTTTGTCATTTTTCATTTTCACGTCTGGATTCCGGTTTTTTTTCAACCACTATCTAGCGTATTCCCGCAAAAGACTTTAAAGAAAACAGAAAAACAGCAATCTGCTATTATTTGGCTGTCAATGCCGTTCTAGTTATACCAGAGAACAAAAAGAAATACTGAGAAAGGAGATATTCAGGTTTCAAAGTGGCAAATTAGCTGTAGAGATAGTTTTCGTGAAGTGGTATGGAACAGCCATTCCTTATGAGAGTCTTTCAACATTGAAAAGTAAGCAAATATTTCAAAAATTTGTCAATTGATAAAATGTTTCCCGTTATTTCAGCAATTTTTCATAGGTTGTGGATTTTTAATATTTTTACAGATTTGAAAATAATTGAGTGAGAAAATCATTGAATAAAAAGTTGAGCTTTTTTTTCGTTTGGGAAAATTTCGAAAATTGATTCATTAAAAATTATTTCCGAAAAAAATGTTTTCAGCAATTATGAACTCTCTTAGGAAAAAGAACATTTCAACTCCCAAAAAATTAATGATTTTATTTTCCAAAAAAGAACTTAGTTTTTGAAGAATACTGAAAATATCAACTAACAAGATTCGTTATTGCAAAAAAAGCGAGATAAAACGCGCCACCGCCAGGTTCACACGCAACAATGATAACAAATTGATAAACTCTGTGATGGGTGTTTTTTAAAATAATTCCTACACCAGTACACAGTTCTTTGTATAACAGTAACTTTTTGGTAAACAAGAAACTGGAAAACAGTAGAAAAGGGAAGGATGAAAGTAAATAGAAAGATACACACAGAAGAAAAGTCGTCAAAAGTTATGATGTGCATATAAGGGGAAAGCGAGTGTATTTTTTTCCGAGACGTTCTAGAAATGCAGAGAAAAACAGGCGACGTCATTCAACAAAAGAGCGAAACGAAATTTTCAAAAAACCGACGGGATAGTTCAAGCACGACTACAGTTTGACTAGTAATTCGAGCAGTAATCGTAGTGTCATGTCGATCGGGAGTAGCACAGTGTTGTGCCCCGTGGCTAATGCCGTGACAACTGGTGCGACGCGGAGAAAAACGAGACATGTACGTGGCGGTCCTTTCTTCTTTTTCTTCTTCATCAGAGCAGAGCTTCTGTGAGAAACCCCGAGGCACCAGCCACCCCGAAACATTCTTTAAACATTGGGACGGATCACCCAGACTCTCCTCATTCGTTAAAGCGAGATGAGGCCTCAACTCGTGTGTGACTTTTTTATGACGAGCGGATAGGGGGTTCGAAGAGAGAAATGAAAAAAATGGACTGTTGCAGTTTCGGGCGGTTTTTTGATAAATGTGAATTCTGCGTCTACAACTGGGGTATAGTGACACCACAGAAAAGCGGAAATAGGATAGATCGGTTTTCCGACCACCCGATGGCAATTCTATTAGGTTTTGTCTAAAAACCACAAAAAATTCGACGAGAAAGATTACCAGTGTAATTAAACTTTTGGGAGGGTTTTGCTTCGAAGAGCGAGAATTCGAAAATTATTCCAGCTAACATGTGAATAATTGAATTTGAACTTCTATTTTTTGCGCTAGAGTCGTTCGCTGTGTGGAATTAATTGATCCAGGGTTCAAGCTGTACTGGCTCAGTGCACTGTCAGTAACAGGAAAAAAGTGTCACAGTTTTATGAAGAACGCCGAACAAGGTGAACTAAGTACTTTGAGCTAAATTGCTCTGAAAATAAACTAAAAAAAGGTGCAAAAAACATTTAGCCAGAGTCTATCAATAAAAAAACAACCGTAACCAATTGAAATGAAGCTAGTAGATCTTTTTGTTATAAATTTCTACAAAAAATTAACATTGAAGGTACTATGCGATTTATATGAAGTAGGGTTAGGAAATGTTCCAAAAAACTCGAAAAATGCAAAAAATCAATAGAAATGCCGCCTGATTCTAGAATCCGCATGCTTAGAAGCCAACTGAAATTGTTGTGACCAGTGATCGAGGATGAAAAAATTGTGGATGGTCGAAAAGATCGAGAACCCGTCAGAACAGTTGTCAGGTGAGAGTGGACATGTTTTCAAGATGAGTTATTGGGTAATAATGTCTGATGAGTTTGCACAGAGAGTCGCTTTACGCTTCGATAAAAGATTAAAATTTTTTTACTGATTTAAGAATGAATCAAATTGAGCGAAAAATGTTTTTTTTTGACACTTGAATGTTCAAAATTTCAGGAAAAACGCTCAAACAAAGATCACCTGTAAAAAAATCTTTAGTAAACTTTTCAAAAAATTTCTGATCTGTTTTGATAAATTTATCTCTTGAAATTGTGGGGAAAACATTTTTTTTTGTTTTTCGGACGACAGTCTTTTTATTATTTTTTTCTCAATAAATGTATAGCGTGAACACTCTTATAGAACGACCTGTTAATTTTTAGCTCGCATATCTCATTACCGGAAAAAGATTAAAAAGTGGTCTACTGAACAAACTTTTATAGCAATGTCAAGCATATTTTGTCAGTTTCCTTCAGTGGCTTAGATCATTAACGGCGCTTCCTTCAGTGGCTTAGATCATTAACTAGGTACACTTTTCAAAATAACTTTTTCTAAATCCGATTTTTTATATTTCCGATTCCGTGAAATTGAGAAAAAAATATATGCGTTCAATCATCCCAAATTTTATTGATTTAAAATTATATTATACATGGAAACATGGAAAGCAGTGTTAGGACGTCAATTATGACAGAAAAGCATTTTTCATCGTTTAATAGGCGAGGATGACGTAGCAAGCGTAGATGATTCCTGGAATGTATCCGAGAATGGTGAGAAGGATGCAGATGGCAAGATGGTAGTCGCATCCCTTCTCTAAGAAGACTCCAACTGGCTGAAAATTCAAAATATGTACTTGTTATAGTTTTCACGGTGACTATAAATAAATAAAACTAAAACTTACTGGAAGAAGAACAGCGCAGATGAACTTTGGAATGTCGGTGCAGGTAAGAGCCATGGCGAACAGTAGTTTTCAGAAGTTTTAAGAAACTGAAAAACTCAAATTTGAAAAAATTACAAAGAGAAACAAGCTATTTTTCAGAGAAAAAGATGCAAAGGTGAAGGGAAATGGAAGAAATGAAAGTGGAGGACTAAGCGAGGCGGAGAAGATGTATCCATGGGAATGTCCCGAAAACAAAATCACTATGGGTTACTGTGCATCAAGCGGAAAAAAGGTCATGCGAATTTTGTGACATGTGGCCAATTTTTGTGACATGTGGCTAGATCCACAGAGTTTGGAAATTTGTCGCATGAACTTCAACGACTTTTTATTTTACGATTTTTCTATGACTTTGAAAGTTGGAATTTGAAAAAGAGATATGTTCGAAACCCGAGTGTCATTGAAATATGAGTCAATAATACTCATTTTTCAAATAGGTATTGAAAAGGAAAATGCGTTTGGATCAGTGAGAAGAGAGGAAATCTATGAAAGAGGAACGAAAACCACCGGCGGGTCGAGTGGTGACTGACTGGTTCGAAAATGGGTGGAGTATGCCGAAAGAGGACGGCAATGTTTGCGGGAAAACATTGAAAGTGAGGAAACGATAAGAGGGAATAGTGAAGAGGACACAATGTTTCCATAGAAATGCATGACGGTTGGCAGCGGCTACCGTTAAAAGGGAAATAGTATTTTGTACTTTTGCGTATAGGAGAAATTGAGGTATTTCGTTTATAGGGGGGTTTGATTTCAGAAGACATGTGCGTATTTTAGAAACATTGTGTTCCTCTTAAAAAGAGAGAGACTGGAGTCATAGATCACAGGTCATGCATGAAACTGTTCATGTATTGAGAAGTTGCACAGATCAAGATTACTGTTGAAAATATTCGAATTTCAAATCTGTAGTGTTTCAGACTCAAATACAAATTGCCGCATTTGTTGTGATACTTTCGCTTACACAATTACCGTATTTCCACTGATTGCAGCCCCTGAAACTATCAACTTTGAGCTCAGTTATCCCGATTTTTGTGGAAGCTATAAAAAGGTTGCCAGTTGATAAAATGTTGGTAATTTTACAAAACTGTTTTATCAATAAACAAAGTTTTGATATCATTTACAGGAGTCGAAAGAAGTTAGCTCAAAGTAGACGCTTTTAACAGGCTTATACTAGAGGAAATACGGTAATTTTGTAAATGAAACGATCAGAAAAAACCTTACATTAGAAGTTGCAAAAAGTAAATTATTGAAATTAATTTGCATCAGTTCTTCATTATATGAGAAATCCCGAAGTTTAAATTTTTCGAGAAACTGTTCTAGACATCATGCAGACTTTTTTCGCATTTTGTGTTCATGGTTTTTCGTATTTTCTTCTCAGAATCAAGTTCCTTATTGTCTATTCTACCAGAGCCGTTTTTCAAATTTCCTATTTGCTTTGTTGTCCAAAAAAAACAAAAGCTCCTCGGAGTTAATTTTCTAAGAATACATTCTACCACGCTAACAGCCGTTGAATTATTCACAACAACCACAAAAAAGCAGAAGATCGAAAAGTCAAATTTTGGAAATGGAAAACGAGGAAGAAATAATTTTTCTGTAGGTTGTTGAAGACCGAAGTATGAAAACTTTCCTTGAAATTTCCCATCCAATCCTATTTATATGTTTGTGACAGGAGAAAAATCGCTGGCATAGGGATGAAAACAAGAGAAAAGAAAACAGAGAGTCAGAAGGCACCATTTCTTTTCTCATATGTGCGCTCAGCAAACACTACTGTTTCTCTAACACTGAGTAATACCTTGAAAGTAGCCGTAATTTCACAATATGTGTAGTCTCTTCTGACTGACTCACGCCTGGTTTACTGGTTCTGAAATTTTTGTTAAGAACGCAAAAGACATGGCAAGGCTGATGGGAAACGGAAAACAATTACTGAGTAACTGGACAACGCAGTTAAGATGGATGTCGACCCGGTCCTAAAAATGAAAATTTTTGGAGTTGGAAGGAAGAAAAACGAAGAATGGGCAGAGAAGAAGACAACAATAAATAAAAGACCATCGGTCAAGTGACTGGTTGTGGGAAAAGGGGCGGACTTTCTGTCCTCAGGGTCCCATGGAGTAATCTTTGATGCATGAGTTGTCATTGGTACATAGAAGTATCACACAAACGGAGTAACCATCAATAATTTCATTTCGCTGGGAACAAATCGAACCAACAAGAAAGCATACTGGTGTCTGAAACAGAAATGTCTTGTTTTTTAGGGAAAAACAAACAGTGGAAAAACGTATTTTGTTGAGTGGTCCTGGTCCCCATTCATTTTTAGCAATTTGTGAGCCATACTTGAGTAGATTGAAACCGTAAAACCGGGAAAAGGGTTTTGGCAGCCATACAAGCAATTTTGTGATCAAGGATTATAAAATAATTGTCAATGTAGTACCTTGTACGTTACTAATCTGACCAGTCCCGCAGACGAACAGTTCCCTATTTTCAGAAGTAAACAAAACTTCGAACTTTGTTCATTTGGGGAAAGATCGAACTGAAATTCTAAATTTGATAACAGCATTATTTTTCTTTTTTCAATACTCTTCAAACATCAAGCAAACTTCTTCTAGAAATTATATTTTTTCAGAGCTAATTCATTTAGTTCATTGAAACAGGCAAATTGGGGGTGTTCGAGAATTCTACTATTTCTCAATCCTCGAAAATTGACGTCCAAACTAAACAGTCAGCAGCAAACTCTTTTTCATTCCACCCCATTCATCTTCAGAAACCATTTCATTCTTACGGTTCATTTCCTGACACCTCATCTTCTTTTCTGAGTCATATTGTGGTTTCTTTTTGCTCCTTTATTCATACAAAACTGTTCACATCAACATAAAAGTGACAGAATCACATCGAGAAGATTGAAAGATGCCAATACTTTGAATAATTGGAGAGGGGAGATGATTTTTGTTGGAAAAGTAATTTTTAAAAGATGTTTGTGGTTATGGCGTCAAAAAACAAGAATTTGTGAGTTCCAAAGCAGATTTAGTAGGCGAGGATGACGTAGCAAGCGTGGATGATTCCTGGGATGTATCCGAGAATGGTGAGCAGGATGTTGATGGCCAAGTGGTAGGTGCATCCCTTCTCCATCCAGACTCCGATTGGCTAGAATACCATAACTTTAGAATCAACCACTATGTTTTAATTCAACCTACCGGAAGGAGCAGAGCGCAGAGAAACTTTGGAATGTCGGTGCAAGTGAGAGCCATAGTTGTCGAGATGAGCTGTTCTGGAATACTTCTTTTGAAAACTCGTTTGGGGTGTGGTTGAGAATAACAATATAATGAGGGCGAACGAATGAGATTAGAACCGAATGCATTATTCGGTGTCGAACTGAAGGATTTATGAGAGTGAGTGGATTGGGTATATATTATTCTGGTGGAGGGCCAGCCAGATGGGCAAAGGCGAAAAAAAAAATATATATATATATATACAGAACAGATGCATGAAGAATAAGGACGCTTCTTCTCCTTTCACAATACTGACTCACTTTTCTCAAACGAAATGTTCTGAAAGTTTTTCGCAAAGTTTTGAATCCTATGATTCAGCAAATTGAAAAGTTTTAAGAATTTCGTAATTGTAAGAACAACTAAAACATGACTACTGGAAGAAACTTTGCCAAAGACTGCTGGTTTTATATCCAAAATCCTAGAAATAAAAATAAGTGGGCGTTTCGTTTCTTGAACAATCCACAAAACGATTTTTTCGGAAATGATCTGTGACTTAAAGGCTCATTTCTGAATCCTTAAAAATCACAATTATGTCACATCTTGTATATTTATATTTGTCATGAGAAAGAGCGAGAGATGTCGCGCAAACAACTCAACAAATGGTTCATGTTTGTATTTGAAATTTGCTACCAGCAGAAGCAGCAGCAGAAATGAAGCTTCACACATACTAGACAATCGTTTGGGATTGTGTACTGCAAACAGAACGGGTAACATGAGGCCTCAAGAAGACACTTGGATTTTTAGAAACATCTTTATGTAAAAAAATGAGTTGTGCGAAATCTACCAACGTCAAAAAATGGATAGCAGAATATGCAGCAAGAAACCGATGGGAGGTAGATGACAAAGGTCGAAATTTGCCATGATCGAGTGAGGAGAGAGAGACGAAAAATCGGGTAGCGAAGATGCCAAAAAATTGTTTACAACGACAGGAAGGTACTTGAAAATCTGACCTTCTTGCAAACTTGAATTTCATAGAAAGTTGAAACAATGAATCAGCATGATTGTTTAGCATCTGAGGTTCAAAAGTCCAAAGTTGTTTCAGTGAGGTTCACAAAAGAAGAAGCTTCCAGTGTTTGAGGGTTTTCTTTCCACAGTTAATGATTTCCCTAGAGAGTTTTTGCTTAGAACTCAGGCTATGCGTCTACCCGTTTTCTCAAAACTTCTAAATATTATAACCTAACCATCACATCGTTCTGAAGTATTAACTAAATGTAAATAAGCTACATAGTCTGATTTATCAATACGTTTCTTGTAACACTAATTCCTGCATTCATAAATTTACATTGAGAATTCAAAAGATTTAAATTTCCGGTAATGCCAAAAGGAAATTGTATTTGTATTCCAGGAAGTCTGCTAGCCAGTGTGCGCGTGATGGGAAATGGATAATCCATCAAATGCATACTAATGAAAAACGAAAGAAAGAGCAAAAGGACACGAGACGCCAGACGCATCTAAAGAACCGAATAACACAAAAGCGAACGGTGGAGAAATGATGTATAGTGCCTCAAAGACCGACCAGGGGTCACCCAAAACCGAGGTCAACACAAATCCGTCCGTCACGTGGTGTGTGTGTCTAGAGAGGGCCCAACACAAGTAGGTCTGTGGGATAGAGGAGAGAGAAGAATCATCTTGTTTTTCACGCCAAATGGTGTGCTCGTCCTTCTCTCTTTTTTTTCTGCGAAATTCGATCATCTCTAAGACATCAGAGCTCGAATTTAGAAGAAGAAGATGCCTTTTCTGGAAAGCTGTTTTTTTTGAAGGGCGGAAAAAAAGAAAGAGAGGAAAGAGGAACACAAAAATAATAACAGGAAAGAAAGACAAAACGATGAACTTTTCCAGACATCAAATATTAGGGATTAGCAATACCTGATATTCTCAGGATCTTCAAATTTCCATGACATGGGTACGAAATATAATACAACCTGGTACTAGAAGTCATTTCAGTTGTAGTTCATTCTTTATACATTCATTTATTCATCAAAATTGTCACAATGTCAATAAAGAAAGTCAATTGGTGTATTTCTGAGCAGTACAAATTTAAACAAAAGAATTTTCAGCCAATGACTTCTTAGGGTTCATTTCAAAAATATTTATTCAACCAGAATCTAAAAATTCAGATAACAAGAAATTTTCGATTTCAATGAACTTCGAAGTGATCGCAATAGGAAATTTTTTAACTGAGAAAAGAATTCGGGAACATTCCGGTTGAAATATTAAATTTTTTGAAGTTCCGAATTCCGTTCCACACATCCCT